TCCCCAACATCATGAACCTCATTGCTACTCTTGTCGTTTTCGCCGCTGTTATCTACCTCCAAGGTTTCCGTGTTGAAATTCCCGTCAAGTCCTCCCGCCAACGCGGTGTTCGTGGATCCTACCCCGTTCGTCTCTTCTACACCTCCAACATGCCAATTATGCTCCAGTCTGCCCTCTGCTCCAACGTCTTCTTGGTCAGCCAGATGCTGTACTCCCGCTTTTCCGACAACATTCTTGTTAAGCTCCTCGGTGTTTGGGAGCCTCGCGAGGGTGGTTCTGCTCAACTCTACGCTTCTTCCGGTATCGCTTATTATATGTCTCCACCATTCAACTTCAAGGAAGCTCTCTTGGATCCCGTCCACACCGTCTGCTACCTCATCTTCATGCTGGTTGCTTGTGCCCTCTTCTCTAAGACCTGGATTGAAGTCTCCGGCTCTGCTCCACGGGATGTTGCCAAGCAGCTCAAGGACCAAGGCTTGGTTATGGCTGGACACCGTGAACAGAGCATGTACAAGGAGCTCAAGAGAATCATTCCCACCGCTGCCGCTTTTGGTGGTGCCTGTATTGGCGCCTTGTCCGTGGCCAGTGATCTCATGGGAGCTCTAGGAAGTGGAACCGGTATCCTTCTAGCAGTAACGTAAGTCATACTCTCGTCTAACACTATCTTTCTTCCCCTTTATTAACTGTTGGCAGAATTATCTATGGCTACTTCGAAATTGCCGCTCGGGAAGGTGACTTCGGTGCTGGTCTCAAAGGCCTAGTCCCTGGCAACTAAAAGTCCAGGCGCAATATTTTCTGTAACGGGTCAGCAAGCTCTGAATACCGTTACACAGACATTTTTCCATTATTACTCTTAAATATTTTGATTTGTATTATCAGCAATGTCAAGTGGTCTTTCTATATGTTTCTTGGGAAGGGAAGATGACTAGGCGCGAATTGTCATTTACAGGCAAAAATAAAATCCAAAGGAACCATGAGGTGTGGGTTGAGATTCGATAATTTACAAGCCAATCCTTGCTGCTTGTTGTTCATTTTATCTTATTTTTTACATGCACTTTTGAGTCTCCCCTTTCATACCAAAAAGTCGGGTACTTCGACAAAATGGCCCTTAGTAGGTTCTCTACTCTGTATATAATAGCTGCCCGTTGATACTTCGTTCTCAATAATGACCATCCAGACCATCTTGTTGCGTAATCTTTAGGTATTCAACCACTCGTGTAACTATAGCTAAGCTTATTGCACCAAAATCATGTTCTGTAGTCTCCATTGATAGTCACATATTCATGACTGAAATCACAGAACCAATAAACAGCCTCTTCACCACTCTTGCCTGCCTCTCCACTAGCTCCACCACCTAGATCCACTACGATCTCAAGATCCTCATCCTGCAAAATAGTAGAGGCTCGCTCCTCGTCCACAGACTCTGGCTCCCCGTTTACTAACAGTTTGAGTTCGGGACTTCCGTCAGCAGGTTTGAAGCTCACGCTCGTTTTCTCAGGCACAACAGTCCCGGGGGATAGGTCTGGCGTATATCCAACCGCACAGAGGATACGACCCCAGTTAGCGTCTTTGCCATACAACGCAGTCTTCACTAGCGGAGAGCGGGCAATGGTGGAAGCAATGCGTTTGGCATCTTCATAAGAAGGCGAGTTTTTCACGCGAATAGTGACGAATTTTGTGGCTCCTTCACCATCACGAACAACTAATTGGGCCAAGGATTGCGTGAAGCCTGTTAAGATAGACTGCATGGCGATATAGTCCTTTGAATCAATTGAGGATATAGGAGTTCCTCCTGCAGCTCCATTGGCAAGTATAGCTACGGTATCGTTGGTGCTGGTATCACCATCAACGGATATAGAGTTGAACGATCGTGATATAGAGTGACAAAGAAGCGATTGTAAAACCGGAGCTTCAATGGGCGCATCTGTGCAGATGATACCGAGTAGAGTTGCCATGTTTGGGTGAATCATACCAGCCCCTTTGGTCATTCCTGCAATACTATAGGTACGACCAGGAGAAGAGGGTAGGGTAAAACTTTGGGAGGTAAGCTTTGGGAATGTATCAGTGGTGCAGATAGCTCGAGCCGTGCGTAACCATGCAGCATGAGTCGATGACAGGTTCGATTGCGCTTCAGGAACCTTATTGAGAATCCTATCAATCGGTAACCTAGCGAGAATCAGTGCCCGATACGTTCTGGAGTACATTAATTTACCGCTTCCTTACAATTGGCCAATAACACCAGTGCTCATGACAAGAGTACTTGAATCGTCCTCTGTAAGCCCATTGCATTCGTCCGCCTTTCGGCTCATGCTCCTGGCATCCTGTAGTCCCTTCGTGCCGGTAACTGCATTGGCGCAGCCAGCATTAACAATAACGCCGCGAATATTGTTTCCTTTCTTCTTTCGGATCAATTCTGAGCTCACTTGAACCGGGGCAGCTTGAAATTTGTTCGTAGTAAAGACGGCAGCGGCGGAGCATGGGTCCTCAGACCATATCAATGCAAGGTCAGGAGCGGACGTATTCGACGCTTTCACCCCGGCATGGTTTCCGGATACCTTGAAGCCTTTTGGATATGTTCCTGAAGACGGTACAAATTTTTGCTTCGACGCTGGGATCGACGTATCTACCGGTGTGGTGAATTGACGGACCTGGCCCGACACCGGAGTTCCAGGCTTCGAGAAGCGGCAGGCATGGTGAGATATCTGGCCAATGGCTCTGGCATGGTTCGGGGCCATCTCTGTCGTAGCAGCAATATTCTGTGAGTATCCAATTGACCGAAGTTTGGACAGTCCCAGGGAACAGAAATATCGGGAGAACGTGAGTCAAGCTTAGGAGCTCCTATGTGGCTCCAAAATATAGTTTGATGGCGCTTCTAAGCTCGCTGATAAGCGCCAGTCACGTTGGTTCGCGTTCCTTTGCGCTTCGAAGCTTTCAGGGCGAAACCAAAATATATCTGGACGCCGCGAGAAGCAAGAAAAGCTCTGGTTTGCGCGCGACGCTGGACAGTCAAGATGAAGCGTAAGCAACGGGAGATATCCTCGGATGAAGATCCTCTACAATCAGAGCTATCAACTACTCCAAAGAGACCCAAACAAACGTCCCGAAAAGATAATGAGTTGAACGGAACTCCGACGAAGCACTCCGCTCCTGACACACCTTCAGGCCAACTGAGGTCTCGATTGACCCAACAAACGCCGAACAAGAATGTGGATTTTGCTCCTGATTCAGTGTCTCCCCTCAAGACACCAACAACGAGAGCCCTGTTTAAGACACCCACCAAGCTAAACAGTGTTGACAACGGAACGCCGAACGGAACACCATCGCGGATACGGAATGCTGACAGGTCAGCTAGGAGGAAAAGTGCAAGGGTGCTGCTTGATCCCAACGAAGATGATTTATGGGATGGCAGCAATAAGCTGGCGCGAGAAATTTGGGATGTACCCTCTGACGACAATGCGGTACCCGAAGTTGATACCGTTGCAGTGTTGGAAACGAATACGCACAAAGAGCCAGATTCTAAGCCGGAAGACGCAGCTAAAGAAGTGCCTAAAGAACCTCCAGTCACTCCCCGGAAACGAGGCCGGCCCCCGAAGGCTCGAGGGCCTGAAGACCAAACACCGAAAACACCAAAAACACCCAGGACACAAAGGAGAAATGAACGCGTTACGACACCCGAGGGGGATCTGCCACCACAGGAGAAATATTTTTTTCAGACTCGGACAGGACCAGTACAGACATCTAATAACACTATGGCTAAGTCGTCCCTGCTTACTCATGAAGAGTTTTTTGAACAGCTCGGAAAGTACAAGGACCCGCTGCAAGAGGAAAAAGATTACTTACTGGAGCTTCATGAACGTTCCTTTCCACAGTGGCATTTCGAAATGACTGAAGGATTCAATGTGTGCATATATGGATATGGGTCTAAAAGGAAACTTGTCCAAAGATACGCGGATTGGTTGTATGAACATTACAGTCAACCCCCGGAAATAGTGGTTGTGAATGGATATACACCAGATATTACCATCCGATCTATTCTAGCAACTGTTGCAACGGCTATTTTAGGCCCTGATGATACCTCAAAGCTAGGCGTTCAGCCGAATGACGTGTTGGAATCTATCCGTGCGGCTTTGCTTAAACACCCCCCCCCACAACCGATAAGAGTTCTCATTAACTCCATTGATGCACCGCCGTTGCGTCGTGCGCAGCAGCAGTCGCATCTGGCTAGACTTGCTGACATACCCCATATCAATATGCTGGCAACCGCTGATACTCCTAACTTTCTAGTGCTTTGGGATATTACCCTTCGGGATAAGTTCAACTTTGTATTTCATGACTGCACCACGTTTGCTTCATACGATGTTGAATTAAACGTTGTAGATGAGGTGCATAGCTTGCTTGGGCGTAAAGTCCGGCGTGTTGGCGGTAAACAAGGTATCGGATTTGTTTTGAAAAGTTTACCGGAAAATACACGCAAGCTGTATCGACTATTGATTACGGAAATCCTTATGATGCTTGGGGACAACCAAGACGGCGAGGAAGAGGATGAAACCCAGGTTGAGGCCGATGATCCTGAAGAAAGTGACACCAGAAATGGAAAAGTGGCAGCAATAGAATGGCGAGCTCTTTTTCATAAAGCGTCGGAGGAGTTTATTTCCTCATCTGAGATGATGTTTAGAACGCAGCTGAAAGAGTTCTATGACCATCAAATGATCACATCAAAGCTAGATCCCAGCGGTGCAGAACTTCTCGGTGTTCCTCTGTCACGCGAGGAAATAGAAAGCATTTTGGAGGACCTTGTCATCGACGGGTGAGAGTGAATAATAATAAACATTTTCTCGCTACTTATGATACCCTATGGTCTCAATTGTAACGATATATAAATGATGTATATATAGTAGCCATGAAGTGCATCGTGTACCCAACAGATGGTAAATAATGCACGTTTCTTAGCTTCTCCAACCGCAGACCTGAAGACAAAGGAAATCTATATGGGCATAGGTCTAAAGTTCACCAAAGGCAGCCATCGCCAGAGTTGTTCCAAAGCTAGCTTTGAAAGGGACATTTTCATGCGTCATCTTTCGGAAGTCAACGGATTTGATGTGCCTCTGCAACCAGCTGGTTGGCAGGATGTCGTATCCTTTGGATGCGGCCCACTACCCAATCGTTAGCAACAGCCGGGACGGACGTTATTGAAGCAGCTGCGAGTAAAACACACCTCAATGATTATAATAGCAAGGCCAATAGAAAACGCCAGGGTTCTCAAGAAAATACGTAGCCCAAGCCCAGTGAGGACCCCAAGCGCACTGCCGAGGCTGATCTGACGGGCGGTCTCGGCAGTTATTAAACCACCGAACAATGTTTTCTGCTGAGATGATGGGCCTCCATGCTTGAGGGTGAACTCAGATACGGACGGGTGCAAAGGCCCAGATGCGTAATCGCAGCGTATGGGGGAACTAATTCTAGTTTGTAGCACCGAATAGGAAGCGCATAGCGGTACGGCAAACAGGAGCGGCCGACAAGCAGATCGGAGGAATTGGGAGGCCATTGTGGAGTTGCAGCGGTGTTCTATAGTGAGAAACAGCGGTTTAGGGGTTGTAGAAGCGAATCTCGGGGGAATATGTGGCTGCTTCACGGTTCAATGGCGTAAAAACCGTTGCTCTTCTAATGCCAATTTGATGGCTGTTGTTGTTGCCAGTTGTTGCTGTTGTTCCTTCCTTATTCCTTGTGTCGCTCCTTCCTTCTTTTGCTATGACGTCGGAGGGCGCGGCAAGCACGGACCATAGTTTATCCGCAGGTTCGGGTCCATTGCCCAATCAAGACATCCAGCGACTCGTATTCCAACGACAGCGAAGAAGCTCTCCAGCTCCATCCATTCTCCTTCAGCCATGGCGATACTATATTTATTAATAAGATCATTAGATCTGGAGGAGAGCTTGAAAGATTACATCTGATCTAGGCTGGTCCCGGTGCTTATATTTGCATGCTAATACAGAGAACCGACTCAACCGTCGATGAACCGGCAAATGCACTTGGTTGTCCAAGGGCAGCACAGCAGGGATTAAAGACAAGACCATGCACAACGCCATGTGGACGTCCATGAAAAGGATTTTACCCCTTGTTGTGTATCAACAAAGCCATATGGGATCTCGGCCCTTGCTAGATGATGTGTTTCGGTGAAAAAAGATGCTTCCCTAGTGCGGCCGCGGAGAAAATAGGCATCTGCGGAGAGATGGATACGAGGGAAACTTCCCTTATCTTATTAACTTCCGGGGGGGGCTATTTCAATTGCATCTAGACAACATATGTCATCACCTGTGGTACAAAAGAATGACACAAAGATGAAAAAGAAAACAAATAATAGCAAATCAATTGATAGTCCCCAAGGTCTTGCGGCTTACTCGCTATCCGCGGGTATACGGATATCCGCGGCGACTGTTTAACCATGGCATTCAGATTGCGAGCAAGCTAAGGCCATGCTCATATGACTTGCCCGTGAGAATGCTCCTACACGGAGTGCTCGCCATAAATTAATATATGCTGCATTTATCAGCGACGCCCTGCCAGTGACGAGAACATCCCTCTTGGATAGGCAAAGTCTCCAACAGCAAAGGGGGCTTTCACCTGCGAATTGGTCGATTTTGACTCATCCCTGGCCGTAAACTTTACCTGTTCCGCTCTTGAAGCTAAACTCAAAATCTTTTTATCTCTCTCAACCGAATTTTTGACTAACTGCGGGGGCAATATTCCATTTCTCCTTTCTCTTGACAGAATCCATATCTTCACCTCCCTCTCCCAGGCAATTGGTGTTAAATCTGCGTCGCCTTCACTTCACCTCGATATCCTCGCTGCCATATTCGTTTTTGTCCACATTGAATTAACCCCGCTACCAGACAAAATGGCACAAGAGCACCCCGCCACCGGCACTACCGGCGAGAATGGAGTCACTAAGGACTTCACTGTCAAGGCTGGTCTTGCCCAGATGCTGAAGGGCGGCGTCATTATGGATGTTATCAATGCCGAGCAGGTGTGTATATCTTGAACGTCCTATCATTTCATTACGATGCATATTTGAGTTACAAGTCGAAGACGGATATCATCAATGCTGACTCGGCATTTTGATCTGTAGGCAAGAATTGCTGAAGAGGCCGGTGCTTCTGCCGTTATGGCCCTTGAGCGTGTCCCAGCCGATATTCGAGCCGAGGGTGGTGTTTCCCGCATGTCTGACCCTGGCATGATCAAGGAGATCATGGCTGCCGTCACAATTCCAGTTATGGCTAAAGCCCGGATAGGACATTTCGTTGAGTGTCAGGTTAGTCAATTCTCCTCCGTATGAAGTATGGGGAAGGACCCGGGTGGACTGAATGCTGTGCTAACTCATAGCCAAGATCCTGGAAGCCGTTGGTGTTGACTACATTGATGAGTCCGAGGTCCTTACTCCAGCCGACCATATCTACCACGTCACCAAACACTCCTTCAATGTTCCATTTGTATGCGGATGCCGAAACCTGGGCGAGGCCCTCCGCCGTATTTCCGAAGGCGCTGCCATGATCCGTACCAAGGGTGAGGCCGGAACTGGTGATGTTGTCGAGGCTGTAAAGCACATGCGCCAAGTCAACACTGAAATTTCCCGTGCCAGATCCATTCTGCAGTCCGCGCAGGACCCTGAAATTGAGCTGCGCGCATTCGCTCGCGAGTTGGGCGCTCCATACGAATTGCTTCGTGAAACCGCTGAGAAAGGCAGACTTCCCGTTGTCAATTTTGCTGCTGGTGGAGTTGCCACACCCGCTGATGCTGCTCTTATGATGCAGCTTGGCTGTGACGGCGTATTCGTGGGATCTGGCATCTTCAAGTCTGGTGATCCACGCAAAAGAGCCAAGGCTATCGTCCAGGCAGTCACTCATTTCAAGGATGCCAAGATGCTGGCTGAATTGAGCGAGGGTCTCGGTGAGGCAATGGTCGGTATTAGCGTACGAGACATGAGTGAGAAGGAGAAGCTATCTGGTCGAGGTTACTAAATTAAAGGCTTGTTGACTTTTCTTTATATTAAATGGATTTAACACACCCAGATGGAACCCCCTAAATCAGCCTCTCTGAGCCATTGTCCCTCTATTATGTTTTAATATTCTGGGATATTGCGGATATACCTTTTGTGTTCTCCTGATACGAGTATTTTTATGAGTGGTGTGACCGGAAAATCTTGTAATGATGGAATAGCGTTTTCAAAAGTTGTCCCAGGCCCGAAGAAAACTGAGGTTCATTGATACAATACTAGATTATAGATAGACCCAAGGAAATAAGGAAGCCTCCTCTCCATACTGATCTATTGTCACTGGATCATATTGTTGTATACTATATTTAATCTCATGCATGATATATCATATACCCAAAAAAATCTGAACGCATCACGCCTAGCCAAACAGTGTTCATGGAAAACAAATGTCTCGAATATACACGCTGCAGGTGTAATTCAAGTAATAAATAGCCAATCACCATTGCATCTCACAGGCTCGTCTCTGAAACATGGCTCATATCATATCAAAATTGACCTCCCAGAAGAGAAGAGCGTACAAGATGTAAATTGCGAACAACGTTAACCAACCTTCGACTTCGACCCACCGACCTTATATTGGCTCTGAGGCCGCCGGGTCGGGGCACCTTTATCACTGGGATTTTTCACAGATCCCGCGTCGAGAATTCCACCATGTTTGGATTGTTTATCAGCCGGGCGTGTATCAGCGAAGTAGGCCGCGCCATCCATGAACCAACAGCAACCACAGCCGTTATCAGTGAGGCAGCATTGGGGGTTAGCGCCAACTGTGCAGAACCAGCCCGTACAAGGACCGTTGCAGAAATTGTGGTAGCCTTTCGTGGAATTTATCAGTATCCTTCCTTAGATGTTAATGATTGGATATGCTCTTACCGTCACTGCTACCACCATCACGTTTAACCGCAGACACCGCGGGGATGAAGCCAACCTCCTGACCATTTCGGACCTGGATAGAAGCTGGTAATACAATATTAGCAACCGTATTTATGAATATCAGGTTTATCACTGTCGAAGTTAGGCGGCATAAGTCACGTACTACTAAGGCGGGCCACTTGAGCTGGGTCTGGTGTAGCAACGGCAGCCACATGAGCCACGAACAGGGAGATAATAGCAACAGAGAATTGCATCTTGAAGGTTGAGGACTTTTGAAGACGAGTTTGGTGGTTTAGTTCTGATGTGGAAGCTGAGATGAGGTTGGATATGTTGATGATGATGGGAAGAGTATCTCAAATGGGCAGGGTACCAGGCCCCTTTTATAGAAAAATCTGGTATTCAACAAGCCATGATATCAAGGATCTAGACAAACCCCAGATTCGAGGCTGAGCTCCGTAATCCGGGGCAGAATGGGGTATATTCGAAATTATCTCATGTATATCCCCACCATAGCTCATTCATAGAAATGCTTCACACGACCAGATACTCAACTTATTCAAGGGGTATCAGATAAATCGCGCAGTCACTGAAACACGTCAATCATTGTATGCATCTCCACAGTGAATGGAAGTTTCGAGTATCCAAGAGTCGAAGACAGTTTCTAGATTGTTGGGTATTCTATAGCGCCATGTTTATGAGAAAGTAGCTAGTGGCCCTAGGACTATGCATAGCTATGTCCTTAACTACCACTTCCATGCAGTAGGTGGCCTACTCGCCGTCAACAACAGTCATCTCTTGCAAGCTGCTCATATTGGGTCCGAGAATATGATACTTCGGCCTTTGGTGGGCGGAATGAGATATTTATGCCGTCATGCCAAGGGCAGAGTGTTTGTTGGAGGATTGGGATGATAAAGAAAATGAAACAACATGAACAGCTAAACCATCGCTATTTAACTTTGATGGAGCGGACCGCAGTGCATCAGCCGTTATTACTTACCTATGGATCTGTTGGGGTATATGTTGGTAATATCTTGCATCTAAGTGCACAGCAACATTGCGCTTTACCCCGGACATCATACGAACTAGGCGTAGGATTAGGAAACGAACTTACAAGTCCTCAAATCATTACAGTCTACCATGCCTTCATCCATTCATTCGGTTATTCGTTCTTTTTTTGTGTAACTAACCATACATCCCGTGGGGTTAAACATTTGCACCTCATATCCCCGGCTTAACAGCATAGAATGGGAATTCTCTTTCATGATGTCCCGGTATCAAGCCTCGGTTATACGTATGCAAACCCTTTACCCCGGTTAGATACCCAGAAATTTTTGACATTTGCATTCGTCTGTCTTGCCCCTCGGAGAGAAATAATGGTAGAAAGAAACTTTTGTAAGTCCTGCTGTGTAACAGATGGTGCCGGCAATGACTGTGACGCTCCAGTGTCAGAGGCAGGAGCTTTGAGTGAAACATCCAGAGATGCCAGTCCATTGCCAAAATAGAGCCGAGCAGCGCCCTGATGTTTGAAGACAAATTTCTTAATGACCTCACAGAAATGGTCCAGATCGGAACGGGCACAGTTCCCAGCAATCTGGTGCATAACAGTTTCGCCAAGTACGCGAAGATAAGGGTCCAGGAATCCTGGAGGTTCGTTAGGCCGGGGAGGGCCCGTAGAGGCCCCGGTTGAGATTAGCCCAGCAGGCAGGTCGGTTAGGGATAATATGGCAGCCCAGAATGAGCAAGATGCGCGAAGAGGTAAGGGTTCAGGCCTCTTGAGCACATCCAGAGTGAAGCTAAGGATTGCAGGAAGAGGGGGCGGAGTAGTATCCACGTACTGCAGGTTAAAGAATTGCACATAATATCTTGGGATGAGACGGGTAAGGAAGTCTATACAGCTGTGTGCCGCTTCTGGATCATAGCTGTTGGCCGAGACTGTCAAGGTTTGTATTAAAGTAGCTGTGTGCAGGGTCAATTCCGTAACTTCCTGTTCAATGACAAGGGGGGTTGAAGACCGGGAGGCCAAAAATGCAGTAGCGGTAGCCATCACGTTAGAAAGACGAGGAGATGAGATATTTGTGGCCTTCACAAAGCGAACGGTTACTTGGGTTGGGAGAACATAAGGGCCTGGGTGCCTCTCAGTGTAACCAGCCTTGAGTACGTCGCAAGTCGCCTCAATCATGTAGCTCTCGTTGGGAAACTGGCCCACTAATGTGTCAAGGATGCAAATAACAGTTTCCGTAACAGATACTCCGAGAGGGTCATTGGCCCAGAATGAGTCGGATGCAGGCTGGGAATCGTGGGTATCAAGATCAATCACATCGTCATCTGGAGCGCGAATACCCCTTCCAATACTCGCCGTGCAACGCATTACTATTAAACTTCGCGCCAGACCCTCTTCATATTGCCCATTGCTCGCTTGTTGACAGGCTGCCTGTGCCTCTTGGAGTAAAGGGTTAAGTAATTTCAATAGAGCAACAGCTCTCTCTCTATCAAGTTCCGTCGCCTGGATGACCGCAGCAATTCCCTCTACAACACGCTCTAGGGTGGAGTCACTGAGTGAACTCTTGGTACATAGCTGGTGAAATTTATCGATAAATCCCTGGGAATGCATAGGGAGGAACTTTCGGCATGACTGACAGAGCGAGGAGATAGATCGTGAGGCCACTGGGTCGCAAGAAGGGAAATCAAGGGAGCTAAACAAGAAGTTCAACACCGGGGTAAGGAGCTTCCCATTCCTAGCAAAATATGGAGTATAATGGTCGATCATGTCGGCCATGGTTTGCCGTACCTTTAGAGGAATTTCCTTGTGACCGAAACATACTGACTGAAACACTTCTGAGCAGAATAGGTCGTCAAGAAGATGGTCGGCATGCTCGTTTTCAGCAACAGATTCCGCAAGGGATCCCAAACAATAGATTGCAACCTCGAACCCTTCCCAATCGTTCTTCGCAATTGAGTTCGAAGCCTGTTCCAGAATATGGCGAATAACGTCCACTCCTAACAGTGGATATACCTCAAGGAGGTACTCAGCAAATTCACGGCGGAAATAAACGAACAATCTCAACTCGTTGTCATCCCAAGTCTCGGAAACTTCGTGGCTTGGGAAACGTAGTTTGTCATAACCCTCAGTAATAACCCTGGCAAGCTTTTGTTTAATTTCTTCAGAAATCGCCAGTGCACCATCAAGAACCAGCTCGTCTATATCGCTTGCAACTTCAGTCCAAAATTCTAAAAGCAGAATAACGGCACAATCGTCGACCTGAGGATAGCCAGGCGCGTGGAATAATTTGTATAGTAGGAAGAGAACCTTCTCCCGTTTTTCATCAGATGGGCCGTTGATGATAATATTTGACTGGTCAAGTGCTGAGAATCGTAAAAGGAGATCCAAGAACTTTAAGGACTCATCATCATACTCACCGTTCATCAAGGCAATCGCATACTTTTCCCCAGGACCGACTATATAGTTTATAATGGCATCCATATGGTCCTTGCCAACTAGCTTGTACTGATTGGCAATTGTTTCTGCAAATAGCTCCATCACAGGCAAAGCTAAGGCTTCAATGCCAAAGAAGTGTGTGGCAAAGCCCAACGGTTTCTTTACTTTCTCGGCAAGACCTGGAGGATTGATTTTTCCATTATGGAAGGCTTGTAGCCATGCCTATTGTTGCGATCAGTACCAAAATAACAAAAAAGGTAGCCGAATCGGACACATAATACATACATGTAGTGTTTGAATAGATTCCTTGGCTACATCAAGAGAATGGTCTGTTACGTTTTGATTTGAGACACTACCCGCATTGTTTACAGCACGCTCAAACCCGTAATCGATTAAGTGGAAGACGTCATTAGTATTGGCTTGCAGTCGGGTACCAGATTCAGTACTACTAGATGCGTAAGCGGGAGTTATAAAACACGAAAGGAATAGGAAAAATGCTAACCCTTCGGTAAGGTATCGCGTGGATTCCTCGGCTAACGCAGTGCAGAATGACAGTAAAGCGACCAGACGTTCGTGGCTGAGAGCCGATAGCGCATGTACTGCGAGAGTAGGTTCCTCCGATTTATCTTCAGGGAGGTATTTCCCATTAGCCAAAGTCACGGTGACATGACGCACGCTGTATGTCCACGGTGACCCCGGCTTGAAAAAGAACGTGGTTAGTGTAGAGAAAAATTTTCTCATGACCAACGGTTTCTCTGCGGAGTCGATGAGCATCACGAAGCAATTCATCAACTGTGCAAGAAGTCCTAGCCGCTGCTCCACGTTGAGAATTTCCCTAATAACGCAATAGAAGACCAAATTAGAGTGGGCGACTTCTTGTACTCAGGGTATGACAGATGTCTCACCATTCCTGGTTAATTTTCATCGTAAGGGTAAGAGGTCCATAGAACCTGATCTTTGGATCCTCGCATCCTAGAAAGCCATCCGCTATCATCCATCCTGCACTCGACTTCTGTAATTTTAGCAAGCGCTCTTGAATGGTAGCCACTTGGCTAGCGAGTCCAGGGGTAGTCAAGTCAATCGCAAGCTGTAGGAGATAAGTCTGTCAATAGGAAGGCTCAAGATGCATTAAAACAAGACGCTGTATCAAGATATATTCAGGACATACCTGTCTAGCCTCAAAAATCAGGGCATCAATATCAGCTTGCTGCATAGTTGACCCCTCTGGCTGGTCCATCCTGAATGCTATCTCCAGCAAGGTCAGAATATTTTTGTTATTGGTCTTCTTTTTTCTTCTTTTGGTTAGCTCTCCGGATAGAGAGAGAGAGAGAGGGAGAAGAGTGGTTCTGGCCAGGAAAGCGGATTTCGTAGAAGATATTCTTGATTTTGTTATCAAAAAAACAGTGACAACAAGTGTGCTCCTGTGATAGACAGGAGTCAAAAAGTTATGATGGTTATAGAAAGAAAGAGAGACAGCCACAGTGAAAAGGTCAGTCTCTCCCACAAACAAGGAAGGGAGGAGTGAGTAAAGAGAGTCAATCAATCAGTCAATCAGTAATGATGGAGACAGCAGTAATAAATAATGTATTAGTAGCTTAGACCGCACCAGTTGCGCCAGTCAGAGGTTGCACCACAACAGCAGGGTTGGCCAGGAGATGGCTGGCTTACCAGACGTCCAGCAGAGGGAGATTCAACAGTAGTAACAACAGCACAGTACTGATGATGGCCGTTCCATTCTCTAGACATGGCATACTCCACGAGAGAAAGAAGAGTACTTGCTAATAGTCTGGTACATGAGTGTATATCTCCTTTTATATAAGGAACGCATGGCTGCCTAGCTGCGGGACAGAAACTGGCTGGATAAATAGCATTGTTCGCTGTTACTTGGTCAAAGGAGGGGCCCCAATTCGCTTCACCGGAGGTCAGGATAGCAAATGGAGACAATGGCTCCGTAGCGGGCCTTTTTCTTCTGGTATATCTGAAAGCTACCAACGCCGGTTCATCGGGTCAGGCCATCGACTGCACCACCGCAATAAAAATACTCGCCTTCAGCACCGAAACTTGTCGTGAAGTCGAAAATTCCCTAAAGCAGAAAAAAGCGACGTCGAGCGACGAGATGGTCACGTGGCGTTGAAACTTGCAGGCCAAAGGAATAAAAGGCCGACATCAACAAACAAACTCAGCGCGCAAGGAGATACAAACATACAAAAGTACACAGCAGGTAACTAACTACCTAGCTAGCGATAGCCAAACTAACAAGCGGACTAGTTAAAGTAACTAACTAGTTAGCTGTCTGGCGAGCTCGTTCCGGCCCGAGGGGAATCGCCTTCGTCGAACGACCTGGTTATCTCTATCGCTGAACTACCCGCCCCCTGCATACTTTTTACCAACCAGCCGCTGCCGGGACAGCAAGAAGCCAACCCAAGCAACACAAAAGACTAACAGCGAAAGGTCACAGCATCTTCTCCGCAGCCGCCCTTGCATGCGGATGATCCCCCCCGGACACGAAACCACCCCTCGCTCCCTCTATAAAGAACCCCTCGTCCGCCCGATAAATGACCATCTTCCGCCCTCATCTCCGGTTTCTCTTCAAACCACACTTCCTCTACTTCCAATCTCCCACCGGACACTCCAGCAGACCGTTGTCTACCTCTCAGATACTCCGCACTGCTCTCGATATGCCGCCACCACCGGTTGACACGACCCAGCGTCTCGCAAAGCTGCGAGAGCTGATGGCTCAGAACAAGGTCGATGTATATAGTATGCAATTCAGATACACCATTAAAGCTCCCTTGATAATAACAGTCGTATACTCATTCTTCTTTCTTCTACTCCTCGCCTTAAAGTTGTGCCTTCGGAAGACAGCCATCAGTCGGAGTACATTGCTCCATGTGATGGGCGTCGAGGTTAGACCTGTCCCTCCATAAAAGAATACCTACCCGTAATACCAGCCGGCAGACGCTCATACGTATCACTGCAGCTTTCATATCCAGCTTCACTGGCTCGGCAGGATGTGCCATCGTCTCTATGAGTAAAGCTGCTCTGTCTACAGACGGCAGATACTTCAGCCAAGCTGCAAAACAGCTCGATGCCAACTGGATCCTGTTGAAGCGAGGTGTCGAGGGTGTCCCAACCTGGGAAGAATGGTATATCTGCCCCTGGTATCGACTTTTCCGGTATAATGGTTGACAGGCTGGATATAGGACCGCTGAGCAGGCCGAGAACGGCAAGGTTGTGGGTGTTGACCCGTCACTTATTACGGCAGGTGAGAATCTACAGTATGCGTCTCTTACAAGTGTCATCGTGACTAACTGTATGTTATAGCGGATGCACGAAAGCTTTCTCAGACGTTGAAGACCACCGGAGGCTCCTTGGTTGGAATTGATCAGAACCTGATTGATGCCGTCTGGGGAGATGAACGTCCTGCACGGCCTGCCAACCAAATTACGGTACAGCCTGTTGAGCGCGCGGGAAAGTCATTCGAGGAGAAAGTGGAAGACCTGCGAAAGGAATTGACTGCGAAGAAGAGGTCTGCTATGGTTATTTGTATGACGCTAGATCTATTTTTGATCAAACATATACTAACAAACGCAATATAGCCACCTTGGATGAGATTGCATGGCTCTTCAACCTCCGTGGAAGCGAGTAAGTTTCTATATAAATGGTATCTTTCACTTTATACAAAAAGCCATGCTGACTGGTGTAGTATTCCATATAACCCCGTCTTTTTCTCGTACGCAATTGTGACGCCCTCAGTTGCGGAACTCTATGTCGATGAGAGCAAGCTGTCTCCAGAAGCCAGAAAACATCTCGAAGGCAAGGTCGTTCTCAAGCCATACGAGTCCATCTTCCAAGCTTCCAAAGTCCTCGCCGAATCAAAGGCATCGGCTAGCAGCGGTTCCTCTGGGAAGTTCTTGTTGTCTAACAAGGCTTCGTGGTCTTTGAGCCTCGCCCTCGGTGGGGAACAGAACGTCGTTGAGGTTCGAAGTCCCATCACTGACGCCAAAGCCATCAAGAACGAAGTTGAACTGGAAGGATTCAGAAAATGCCATATCCGAGACGGTGCAGCTCTGATCGAGTACTTCGCCTGGCTTGAAAATGCATTGATCAAAGAAGGTGCCAAGCTAGACGAAGTAGATGGAGCCGACAAACTCTTCGAGATCCGCAAGAAATATGACCTCTTCGTCGGCAACTCCTTCGACACCATCTCTTCTACCGGTGCTAACGGTGCTACCATTCATTACAAACCCGAGAAGTCAACTTGCGCTATCATTGACCCGAAGGCTATGTACCTGTGTGACTCTGGTGGCCAATACCTTGATGGTACTACTGATACTACCCGAACTCTCCACTTTGGAGAGCCCACGGAGTTCCAGAAGAAGGCTTATGCACTTGTTCTAAAGGGACATATCAGCATTGACAATGCCATTTTCCCCAAAGGAACCACCGGATACGCCATTGACTCGTTTGCTCGACAGCATTTGTGGAAGGAGGGTCTGGATTACCTCCACGGCACCGGTCATGGTGTTGGCTCATTTTTGGTACGGGGTTTCCTTTTTCTTTTTTTTTTCTTTTTTTATTTTTATTATTACTTCTCTTAGGCTAACACATTCTCTCTAAGAACGTCCATGAGGGACCTATGGGCATAGGAAGCCGTGCTCAGTACGCTGAAGTTCCTCTCTCTGCCAGCAATGTTCTTTCCAACGGTAGGATTTCTGCATCTCATCTTTCTTGAATCACTACTAATTGCAAAATAGAGCCTGGATATTATGAAGACGGCAACTTCGGCATTCGTCTCGAGAGTAAGTTCAATGACTGCGTATTCTAGTTTTTTCATACTGACGGCCTCTTTAGACCTCGTAATCTGCAAGGAGGTCCAGACTGCACACAAATTCGGCGACAAGCCCTTCCTCGGATTTGAGTCCATCACCCTGGTACCTTTCTGCCAAAAACTCCTTGATGCTTCTCTCTTGACCGAAGCTGAGAGAAAGTGGGTGAATGATTACCATGCGAAAGTCTGGGAGAAGACCAGTCCCTTCTTTGAGAAGGACGAGTTAACAACCGCCTGGCTAAAGCGCGAGACACAACCTATTTAAATGTCATTTGGCGGCGTCGTGTGAAGCCCTGCTATAAAAGCCTGTATATACGTATCAATAGTGAGACCGGATAGGTTCAGAAAAGCAGGAATGTGCCAAATAAAAATGTATTCTCTCTGTAGTTCCTTGGCCGCTAGAGTTATGCGGATATGTAGGAATATTATTTTCTAGGGGATAGGTTTCTGGTAACCGTGACATGATGAAGAGAAATTTTTCTCGAGTTTATATTAGGTGAACGAAGGAGGCTATCAAAACCTACCGAAAGAGTGACATATACAACTAGTCGATAGACAAAAACATGTTAACCGTCCCATGCATCCGAAGCCATGTAACAAAAAGGGGAAAATTTTGTTCATCGGAATTCAAGACAAGGAAATCCAGAATTCGCCATGCATAAATCAATCAACAGCTGAAAAAGTTGATTCTATTGTCCTTTTTCCTTGCAGCACCAATCCAATGGTTCTGCACTAGGACTGACTGAGATTGTATTTGACTTTCCTTCTCTGCGTCAACATCCAACGCCTTCGCTGCGGCTGAAAGCCGGAGCCAGATATACCGTGATATAAACCATGCAAGTACAGCTGAGACCAAAACATAACCCAAAGTAGGTACAAGGGAAGTTGGAAGAATGTTGAAAATATAGGGGTCGAGAATGAGGTCGACGAGTACTGGTGGAACATCTGCCATCAGTCCTTTGTCAGATGTGAAGTAGTCTGCAGCTGCATCAATGACAAGATACAGTGTCACCCCAGCGGGACGGACCGAGGCTCCTCCTAGTGAAGTGCTGTTTTTGTTACGATAAGCCTGGATCTCCGAGAATTCAGCTAGGGAAGCCAATAGATTTGGAGACTGGAGTATCTCAGATGGTTGGTGAATTGATAGAATGAATTCAGTCGGTTGCTAGAGGAAGTAATCAGCAGAGCTTATTATAGCTAATTTTATATACGTGGAGATAATAGAGTGGTTACTGGCGTGGAATACTTACTGTTGCTAGCCAGCATACTCGAACTTCATAGCGCTGTCCAGGAACCAGCCCTTCGAGACGGTACCACGACCTCTTCCCAGAAGGAGCCATATCAGTTGGAAATGCAGCTTCAAGGTGTTCCCTGATGCTCGGTGCTGAAGGTGAAAGAGCCTTTAACTCAACGTTTAAAAGGGCGGACTGAGCCACGTCCATGTTTGGCGATATAAACATCGTCTTCTCGACGTTTGCCAGCACAAGGCCGACAAAGCCACTGACTAGCCATAGCGTAAACCTCATATTTTATTCTCAAAAGTACAATGATGTTCCTTTAGTCCTGTTTGTATTGGTATATCCGTAATCTCGATTTCACCTGCTCAAATGCCCCAGGTATACAAACGATAAGGAAAACTCCTCTTGGCTCTGCAGCGGGGTAGAGAAAGGTATTATTATATCCTCCTAACTGATATCATCCACGGGATCTTCCTTTGGATTGTCACTAGCCAACTTGGTAGCAAACGAATGGCTCCAATGACAAGGCGGCGCTCATGTGGGATTGGACTCGAGCAGCCCCAAAACCATGCACAAGCCAGCTAAGCTGCAGCACCTCTTGCAGCAAGCGTCAAGCCACCAGAAGGCAGAAGGCTATACACTGCCAGAGTGAGCCGTAAAGGTCCTCACGGCCGACAACTCGGCCTGGTCGACCCCGGTGGTCTGGTGGCTGCTTCAGCTGCCCAGTAAGCCCTTCCACTACTGCCTGGCTGACAGCTGTCCCACCACACGAACCGGCCCTGCTGCTCACGCCAGCGTCGCACTCATGTCGAAAGGGAAAGGGTCGTACCACAAATGGGCGATATGTCATATAAGAACTGTCTATGCGGTCTCAGTATCAATAGTAGCTGTCACCCAGGACGAGTAGACGCACGCTCGTGGTAGGCTGTTGGTCCCCGTTGGGGAGGTTAGCCGGGGTCGGGGCGCTTCTCCCAGCGCGCGCTTATTTTCCCTCCAGCCCAGGAACCGCCGGGCGAAAAAAAAAAAAAAAAAAAAAAAAAAAAAAAAAAAGGGAGCCAATGACACAACAGCCGCCGTTTTTTTGTTGACAAAAGGGGAGAGAGGAAAAAGATAGAAAGGAAAACAAGACTCCCTCGCTGCGCACGCTCACTCAGTCAAGCTTGAAAGGGCCCTCAGAGATACTACAGAGCACCTGTCTGCCGTCGAGGAGAGTAGAAGCTTTTACTCCGTACTAGGATTGCCCATCCCACCTTTTGAACCCTGCCGTTGGTGTCCTTTTTCGGCCGTTTCAGCTTGGGCAGCAATCCTCGCATTACCGGAGCAGAGCCTCCCCTATTACTGTCAACCGTGGGGCGAGAGACTCGCTTCATTTCTGCTTAAACAACATTCCCCGAGAGCTTTGAGACTTCCAGTGATTCGCCATGAGAGAGGTTATTTCTTTGAACGGTAATACATACATGAACTTGGGCTGCAGGCTCCCGTGTTTAAGACGATCTTAGATCTGTTTGCTGACATTGCTGCCTCGTTAAAGTCGGCCAGGCCGGTTGCCAGATTGCAAACTCCTCGTGGGAGGTATGATATTAACCTCATGTCTAGACCTATGAGACTAGATAACCTTGTGGATTTTGATTGTATGGACATGCTGATCGTCTGACTGTCCCGGTCTTAATAGCTATATTGCCTTGAACACGGACTCCAGGTACCTACTACCCGACCTCTCCCTCGACACCCCGAGTCTCTCTGTCTCTCTCTGCCTCTGTTGAATCGCATGAGAATCGTCTCCTAATATGTCAATGTCCATTATTATAGCCTGACGGTTATCTGACTGAAGAACGCAAAGCCGAGAATCCAGATAAGGATACCTTCCATACTTTCTTCTCTGAGACAGGTAGGTCATGCTTTCTCTTCCATCCAATGGCTACCAGGCCCTTCTAACAGACTTTTAGGAAGCGGTAAATATGTTCCCCGAACGATATACTGCGATCTTGAACCGAATGTGGTCGACGAGGTGCGGACTGGTACCTATCGCCAGCTCTTCCATCCTGCCCAGATGATCACCGGAAAGGAAGATGCTTCGAACAACTTTGCTCGTGGACACTATACGATCGGCAGAGAGATAATTGACGATGTTGTGGAAAGAGTCAATCGTCTTGCTGAGAACTGCGATGACCTACAGGGATTCTTACTCTTCCACTCCCTCGGCGGTGGTACGGGTTCAGGTTTTGGTACACTTCTCCTAGAACGTCTGGCCACCCACTTTGCAAAGAAGAGCAAGCTTGAGTTTTGTGTCTACCCAGCTCCCAACCTGTCAACTTCGGTAGTCGAGCCGTACAATTCGGTACTGGCTACAAGCTCGACTATGGAGTTATCGGATTGCAGCTTCCTCCTTGACAACGAAGCCATCTACGATATCTGCACGAAGCAGCTCACCATTGAACGGCCAGGATTAGAAAACTTGAACCGTCTCGTTGCACAAGGTTAGCAGATTGAGACTTGTTTTCAATTAACGAGCTAGAAAGAAACAGCTGACATTTTTAAACAGTTGTATCTTCGGTTACGGCATCTGTCCGTTTCGGTGGCTATCTTAATGTTGATCTGGCCGAGTTCCAGACCAACCTTGTTCCGTTCCCTCGTGTTCATTTCCCCATGTTTGCCTATGCACCCATTGCACAGGACTCCAGGGCTACCCATGAAACAAACACTATCCGCGAAATGACATTGGCCTGTTTCGATCCAAACAACCAGATGGTCAAATGTAACCCGCAGAACGGCAAATACATGGCAACCTGTCTGCTTTACCGCGGTAACATCATTCCCAAGGAAGTCCATTCTGCAGTTGCTACTGTCAGGGCCAAACAGACCATCCAGTTTGTCGACTGGTGTCCCACTGGTTTCAAGATTGGTATCTGTGATAAAGCTCCTGAGCACGTGCCAAACGGTGACATGGCAAAGACGGACCGTGCAGTGTAAGTCTGAAACGAATCCCCGCCCCCGTAAACGGATGGTGGAAGAGGAAGATATGAAACAACAGGAAGCAACTAGGCTAACATCGTCATAGGTGCATGCTTTCGAATACAACTGCCATCGGAGAGGCATGGACGTCTCTCTGCCACAAGTTCGACCTTATGTACTCCAAGCAAGCCTTTGTTCACTGGTTCGTCGGCGAAGGCATGGAAATGGGTGAGTTCGCTGAATCTCGTGAAAATCTAGCGGTCCTGGAGCGTGACTACCAGGAAATCGCCCACGCCGAGGGTGATGAAGAACTTGAGCAGGAGTACTAATCAACAGCACTCCAAATCAACATATCACTAACCAACTCCCCTTTTTCCTGTTGGTCTATCACTACAATAAGCACAGCCCTCTCTCTGTTCGGCTCTCTGGCCCATAACAACTAATCTCCAGACGCTAACCAGCCGAAGACACGGCTCTCTAATAACCTGCGTGCTGTTGCTCCTGATGGCTTGATGGAGAGGCGGAATTGGGGGTGCTGGTTGTCAATCCATACTATGTCCTCGATTTTAGGGAGCGTCTCCCCGGTATAATATGTTTTTGTTGTCTTCTCTTTCTCTGGAGGTGCAAGGAGTTTTTTCCTATATTTTGCATTTCTTGAGTAGAGTCTCTTTCCCTCCCTACGTGCAAAATTTCTTTTCTAGAACCGGTAATCCACAGCAAGCGTTTGAATATATAAAAGACAAATTCTCCTTCTCTCATCTCTCTCTCAATCTTCCATTCGCGGCTGCTTCACATGATGATGTAATTATTAGGTAATTCAACGTTCGGCGTTAGTTTATCCGAACGCCGCGCGCCTCCTGATTGGCTGCAGCGACCTCGTCAAGCTCTCCCCCCCAAAAGCAGAACGACGACGACGAGGTCGACGACGACAGACAACAACTTCCCAAAAAACACCTTCAACGCCTTCATTTCTCGCTGCTGTTACGCCGCCGAAGAGCTTGTCTCCTTCGTTTTGCTCCGCTCTCCGTTTCTACGCTGCGACAAACACTCCTGCTCTGCTGTTTGCTGGTTATCAGGGGCACCCCATCCATCCGTTGTTTGGGCTGGCTGATATAACTAACAACGCAGCCTGCGCGCCGCCGCCCTCCCGACATTCGCACATTGTACGATATCGTTGTCGAGCGGGGTACTACTCTCTCTCTCTCTGGGCTCCTTGCAATATTGTCCACTAGAGGGAGGGAGATACTGGCATTATGGCTGACTGTAAGCTCTCTTTCTTGCTTTTACTCCGCATTTTCCGACTGTTCCTATATTGCCGGTATTTTACCTACCATACCACCGCACAACACCTTGACTGACTCGTTTTGATATTGAACTATATAGCTGCACAACATCCTAATTTAAACCTAACTCCCGAAGAGAAGCGAGTGTTCTATCAATTGTTCCAAACCGCAGATAAGACCAACTTGGGTGTCATCACCGGGGAAACGGCGGTTTCGTTTTTTGAGAAGACGAACTTGGCTCCTGAGACTTTGGGTTTGGTTTGTCATTCTTCATCTACCCAGGACACACGAATGGACCTGTATAGCTAGAGAAAGAGGCTAATCTTAAGTTCAGATATGGCAAATTGCAGATACACAGAACCGCGGGCTTTTAACGCCGTCTGGGTTTGGGATTGTGATGAGATTGATTGGTCATGCGCAGGCAGGCCGACATCCAACAGAGGAATTGGCATTACAGCGTGCGTCTACACGATTTATACATCTACAGTTACCGGGAGGTGCCACTTACTGACATATATTGATTGTATAGCTGGACCGCTACCTAGTTTCTCTGGCCTCAACATAGACGTCCCAACGGCTACAAGTCCACCTCCGACCGGCCCACCTCTTAGAGTGCCACCGCTAAACCCCGACGATGTTGCGAAGTTCTCCGCGCTTTTTAATAAGTCAGATACTCAAAACGGATATATATCCGGTACGAGACGTGTTTAGCCACTGATACTACCTCTTTGACCAATTGCTGACCATAGTATAACAGGAGAGACTGCCAAGCAAATATTCGAGAGAGCTCGTTTACCAAATGAGATCCTAGGCAGAATATGGAATCTAGCTGATTCAATGCAGCGCGGTGCCTTGGATGCTACGGAGTTTATAATTGCTATGCATCTTTTAACCGCCTACAAATCGGGCGCTTTAAGAGGGATACCCCAGTCCCTTCCACCGGGGCTGTATGAGGCTGCGGCGCGGCGAGTAGTTGCCCGGAACTCGACTGGCTCTCGGTCCATTCCAGATGTGCCGCCAGTACCTGCAATCCCAAAGCAATTTAGTGGTTCAGGCCATGTTCCCCGTGCACAGAGCCCCTTAAGCCAGGTACACACAGGAAATGACTGGCTAATCACTCCTCAGGACAAAGCCCATTTTGATAATGTGTTTTCAACAGTAGATAAAGCAAGAACTGGGTACATTAATGGAGACCAGGCTGTTGGCTTCTTCACTAATGCGCGACTGCCAGAAGAGGTCCTAGCACATATCTGGGATCTATCAGACATCGACTCTGATGGTCAGCTGAGTAGGGATGAATTTGCTGTTGCTATGTATCTAGTGCGACAGCAGCGGACAACAAAAGAGCTGCTACCACAGACCCTGCCCCCTAACCTAGTTCCCCCCAGCATGCGACGCTTAGGTGCTCGTGCCATTCAGCCCCAGATAACAGGAGCCAGATCGGCGTCTGAAGACCTTTTTGGTTTGGATGTGTTCACAGCTCCGACACAGGTGGCCCAGTCTACAGGAGGCTCTGGCTCTCAATTCCAACCTCCTTCTTCACCCACGCGCCAACCGCCATCCTCCACATTTAAACCCTTCGTACCGGCGTCTTCCTTTGGCCAGAGCCTAGGACCCATTGCCGCTGGCCGCCCGGCACCAGGAGCCCAAAATACCACGGCCTCTCCATCGGACGATCTCCTTGGAGACGCGGATCCTGAGGAAAGTAAGAAACTGACACAGGACACTACCGATCTTGCAAATCTTTCTAACCAGGTTGGTACGCTTTCCAAAGAGATGCAAAATATCCAAACCAAGCGCAGTGCTGCCGAACAGGATAGTGGTCAAGTCGAGCAACAGAAAAAGGATTTCGAGGCCAGACTTTCGCAGGCTCGAACAATGTATGAAAATGAAGTGAAGTCACTCAAGGCGCTTGAGGAACGGCTAGCCACCTCGAAGGCAGAGGTCAAGAGACTCGAACAGGAATTCTCCCTTATCGAAGCCTCCCGACGCGACGTGGCTACTCAGTACAATCAAATGGCTGCAGCACTGGAAGCCGACCAGCGCGAAAATGCCTCTTTGAAGGAAAAGATCAAGCAGGCTAATGCTCAGACAAGCCAGCTAAAACCACAGCTGGAGAAGGTTAAGTCTGAGGCCCGCCAACAAAAGGGACTGGTAGCTATCAATAAGAAACAGCTTGCGACTGTTGAGGCTGAACGCGATCGTCTCCAGGAAGAGCTCGACCAGTATAGTCAGCAAAACGAAGGGTCAGAACGAGACGCCGCTGCTCCTGGCTCCCATAATTCACCATTCGAAAGCCCTGCCGCGTCAACCGGCAGTCAGGCAAAGAACCCATTCTTTAGACGTGGAACCGGCGTGTCATCCCCAGGGGCCCTCTCTCCCCAGGCTACCGGTCAAAAGCAGCAACCAAATGATAACCGCAGTGTTTTTGACAACATGTTTGGATCCTCTTTCGCTCCGTCGTCTACTTCTACCCCACCCCCACAAACCACCTTCAGAGCCGCGTCCCCTCGCAGTGGAGCATCCACCCCCGATGCCAGCAGGGTTGCAAGCGGTTCCTTTACCCCTTCAACAGCTTTTGATACTCAGTTTGGGGCTGCCGCTGCTGAGCCGCCGGCGCCACCGCTCTCGAGGCAGATAACCCCAAATAATCTCCCTCTTGGAGGTCACGCAACATCCGTGACTTCATCCAACAGACCTTCCCCACCAGCAAGTCGTTTTGACACCTCAGGTGTTTCAGAGGCTGATGCTCTAAGAAAGCAATCCTCTCCTTTTGACGAAGGGCCTGGAGATGAGGCTGCTGGTGCTGCCGATGATACCACAAAGAGCGGAATAGAGCCGCAGCCAGTTGTTCCCGGCGCATTCCCAACAAACAGTACGCCACAGCCTGAAAACAAGAAGGAAATTAGCTTCGATGAACTCTTTAGCGGTGTGGCACATGCCAGATCTCCGTCTCAGAAGGCCTCTGATTTTGAGGAAGCATTCGCGTCCATGAAGAAATCAGGTGGGAAGACAGAGGGCGAGAAAGATAAATCCAACAGCTCTGCTGCTGCTGGTAGCAACGAATTCCCCCCAATTAGGGAATTTGACGACGACGATGATTCTTCTGACGATGACCACGCCGGATTTGACGATGATTTTGCCCCTGCCTCTCCTCCCCGAGATACCACTTTCTCTTCACAAGAATCATCGAAGGATGGAGCTCAGAAGTCTAGCTTCGCTCCCACGGACTCATTCAGCAAGCCTCTTTCTCCACCGCCTGGACCAGGTGCCCAGAATACCCCTCCCGAGTTTAAGGGGTTAGTCCCAGGAAGACATGATCCGACCGCAGGGGGCGATGCACCCCATTCAGTGGAATCAACAACTAAAGACCCAATCATTGGAGGCGTCCCCCAACATGATGCTGCCAATAAGAAACCAACAAACCCTGACTTTGAAGCGGCTTTTGCCGGGCTTGACCTAGCCCCAGCTCAAGAAGTTGAAGATGATAGCGATGAAGATACCTTCGAGAGCCCATTTAACAAGGACGCGTCTAACTTTGATATGTCGTTCGATACCGCATCTGGACAACCCAAGCCTGCAAACAACTCCAGCAATGCAGATTTCTTCTCCTTCCAGCCAGGCCCTGGCACAACATCTTCCACTAACAACAAATCTCCATTCACCAGCGAGGCCCCCTCTGCTGGTCCAGCAAAGAACGCTAACTCTAACCATGACTGGGATGCTCTGTTTTCTACCCTTGACTCAACTAAAGCCGCCGCTGCCGCAAACATGGACGGTGCCAGTCATGCCGCAACCGAAAACACTTCAGCCATGTCGTTCCCGCAGCCTCCCACTCAGAACAAACCCGCCGGATGGGCCTTAGATGCTAGCACAGGTGAAGATGATATGATCCTCCAGCGGCTAACCGGTATGGGCTACCCACGCGACGAAGCTCTTGCTGCCCTGGAGAAATTCGACTACAAGCTTGATGAAGTAAGTAATCTTTTATGATTCTACTCCAATCCTCATACTAACAACATGTCTAGGCAGCTGATTTCCTCGCTTCAAAATCATGAACAATTAAATGCCTTTCTCATTGCCGTTGGCACGGCCTCTGAGTGAAAATAGTTATCAACATTCCACCCCTCGTTCTCGAGCCATGACACACCTTCAGAGCTATGTTTCATTTGTCTCCCTTTGCTCTTGACCGAAGAATACTTCAATTCCCGCCATCAACGTACATACGTCTTGATATTTTACTTTCCCTTTTATTACCTTTGTTGTTCGCACGCGATCGCGATGTTTGATTCCATTCCTTTTCTCATATCTGCGCCTTGTAGCTTTAATTCTAACGACCTTTCAGTTAAGCATATATTTCTTACTTTTCCCTACTCACGAATGGTGTTTCCTGCGCCGAGGTCTCTTTGGCTTCTTTTGTATAGATATTGCGCTTGTATATGTACAACCCTGTGTGCCTCGGGGACTATCCCGTATTTTGTTTTGCTTCTTCCTTCGTCTACCAATTATCAAGATGATGTCAGTGTATTGAGAGTTCGAACCTCGTTTTCGTTCATGCCCTGAACCAAATACCGTATATAGTTAAGGTACGGCCCAGGAGAAGGAACCATGTTTACAGGGAGCTAAGATAAACCGGAAGTTTACCCGTAAGGGGAAGGTTCATACCTGATTTCATACAGCCAACCTTGCCGATATTTTGTGCTGTCCACCAACCAGAGTCACACGGCACCATGCATAAACGAGCATTGACGACGTGGAATGGTCAGGGGTGAAAGAGTTACGATGGGACAAATGCTAGACAGCAAACATACAAATGAAGACTTAAAGAAGTTCCCCTATTAGCATCGCGTTAACACGCATAGAGAAATCAATAGCTAGACTAAAGGCTGATTATCAACTTAATGGGTATCATATATTATAAGCACCGATGTAAACTCTTGCGGCTCGAGAAGGGCATTCGTAACTGTCAAGGAAAAAAGATAAAAGATAAAGGACAGAACAGTCGTTCAGTTAACTAGAGCCGAGAGCAACCTAGACTGCAGGTTGCTCTTGGCCTCCGGAGGACCCTTTGTTTCGGTTGTTAATCATAGGCATCACGTTGAGTACGAACGTAGCAACGAAAGCCGCCCTATAAATACCAATGGTCAGCGGCAGGCCTAGTTAGGGTCGAGATATAGTTATCTAACGGAAAATCACCCACCATTCGAAAGCACCAAAAGCTATAGCAGCCTTGACCACGCTGCATACTGTACACTCTCCAATATTACTGGTATCGACAGCCAGGGAAATGAAGGCAGAGAACCAGAAAAGAACAGTGGCTGCCTCAACACCGAGAAGCGCATACTGGTGAGCGAGCGCTGGGAAGAATTTGGGCGAGAAGACGATGAATGGCAAGGCGATGAAGAGTGTCCAGATGCTGTCGAAAAGTAAGAAGTTGGCACTGTCGAGGCTTCCGAATACAATTCTTTCGCGGACCCAGTTAACAACTATTGTTCGACGAGTTAGTATTGCGTGTGGATAGTTATGGTTGACCTAGAAAAGTAGTTAAGGAGGTACATACAGTATGCGATCAGCCCCAGAGTAACAACGGCCAGAAGGGCCTGGATGCCGCGAAGGATGAGGATAATGTTATGCATGATAACGGGCTTTTGTAGACCTGACGAATTTGATATAGAACTGCTAGTCGAAGGATTTTGGCCAACTAAAGAAGTTGGGTTTGCCTTGGTTATATGCACCAGTAGCCTGCAGAGGTGAATAGAAAGCAAGAAGACCAAGATTCCAAAGGGGGGCAGTGAGAAATAAATATGAGTTAAATAGCTGGTAATATGACGTCGGCTCGAAAACGTATGAAGAGCAAAGAGCCCACTTGTGCTATTATTAGATGCTTTAACTAGCAAGCTTGCGATGGGGAAGGGCTGAGATAGATCAAAATGGGCTAAGCCATCCACCTTTCACACATAATCAGGCGTCCACATTTTAATTCGCAGCCTACGAGCACGAGTTGTATTGGACCGGACGCTCGGCTGAACGAAGTTGGAGCTCTGTCACAATCGCGGCTCTTGGTGACAGGTAACAAACCCAACGTCAGGGCGGGTCAGGATGTTCGTTAGTTAGAACAATCAAGCTAAAAACCCTTAACACTAGAGTTGCTAAGTTTGCTCACAGCCTCGTTGATAACGACCCTTTCCGTGCTGCTGTACAAAATCATCATCGATGTTTGTTTGGTGCCTCAGTATGGAGGTGTTGACAGACTCAGTATTTGTCATGTTAGTTAACTGGTTAAGGTAGTTATCCTATTACCTTGCCCTGCTGGGCCTCGATAAGCCTCTGGTTAGTTATGAGGGGCAACTGGACAGGCCAGGATACAGTTAGTTTGTGCATCGTGTTTCTATGCAGGGTGCGAAGTGGCTTGCCGTAGCGGGGAGACGACGGCCCGCACTTCACGAGAAAAATGAATCTCAGGATTTCACTCTCTGAGGCCTGAACACCAGTTGCTGCCCGTGATAAAATATGGACTTATATCCGAACACATCCCCAGTGGTTCCACGACCGAAGCCGATGAGGTTGCTGGTTCTGGGACTACCGCGTACTGGTACCACATGTGTGTAGTTATATACCCAACTGCACCACACTTAAGATACATACCTAACTAATGTTGGAAGTCAGCTATTTGCGCCGCCCTGGGAGTTCTGGGGTTCAATCCGTATCATTATAATGAAGTGTTAAAAAACAACAATAATAAACACTTCGAAATCTGGCTGAAGGCTGTCAGAGCAAAATACGACGGAATCGGCGAGCCGTTTCAGGGAGTGGATTTCGACCAACTGCTCTGGAATTATGATGTAAGCTTCCTTCTCCCTTGTAGTTTTTATTATCCCGTTAAAGCTAAGGGCGGAGCCATGTTGAGAGGTTTATTTTCCATTATTGTTTTCCGCCCAGTTTCCGTGGTTCACTGACTGGCCTCTAGGCAGTGACGGATGACCCTTGTTGTCTCTTTGCTGAAGAGCTTATTGCCGCGTACCCCGATGCGAAGGTGATTCTAACCACGCGGCCGAGTGACGCATGGTTCAAGTCGATGAAAAAACTAATTCTCGAAATTTTGTCCTGGAATTCCTGGCGTTTGCTCTGTTTCTTCGACAGGGAGTTTTCAGCTCCGTACCAAGCTCTTCTTCATCGTACCACTTCCGTTTTATCGAAAGGTCGTCCTCCATGCGATCCGTCCTCCCAAAACGCTTTTATTGAATCTTTTGAGGAGCATAATGAGCGTGTGCGTGCTGCCGTACCAAAGGAAAGGTTTTTAGAGTTCAGAGCAGACCAGGGTTGGGGCCCATTGTGCAAATTCCTTGGGGTGCCTGTCCCAGAGAGTAGATACCCGCATCTCAACTCGGGGAAAGATGCGATGCAGCTGGAGCACGACTTGTATTGGTCTCGGTGGTATTGGGTTGGCCAGCGAATGGGAAAGAAGGTGGGAATAGTGGTCTCCATACTGACTGTGGTGTGGATTGCCCGCAAATATCACTCCTGAAATATCTCTAGAAATCCCCCTTTGTACTGAGACTAGTTGATACTCTCTGGTTGTGTGTATCATAATTTCGATGTTGCACAGCCTCTGAGGCCCGCTGCACATGGCCTCGTGAACTCGCTAGTTAGCTGTGCACGCTGCACACTCTGCATCAAGGTGTAAAACCAAGTCGCATGAAAACTCCTCGCTTTCCAATTCCCTTTGTTGAAGCTACGTGTTCAGTGGCTAATAATGAATCGTTCTTCACAGGCTAACCGCCTGTTGCCTAGTTAGTTCTGTTCCTTTGAAGAGCTCGGGCAGCTGAAATGCAGTGTTTATCATCTTAGGCCCCCTGCAGGCGTTTTCTTAATATTTTAGTTACCCTGATGAAAGGTTTAACAGGAAACAAAGAACACCCATGTAATTTGCAGCGTTCGAAGGGAAGGATTCGAAGAGCCTCATAACTTGGATAACTAGTTTGTTAATAGTTAGCTAGTTACACCGTTTGGCTGTCAGATTATCCGTGGGCGTAGATCTCTTGGATCTTACCCCTCCAACGGACGGCTCGGGAATAGATGCCCTGGCGATCATGCTGGATAGCCTATTCAACGCGACGAGTTAGTCAAGTTGAAGCCCGCAGAGTCGAGATAGACTCACTAATGATGCACGAAAGGATGGGACCGGATTGTTGCTCCTCGGGGAAGCAGGCCATTTGCAAATCTGCCAGCAGGGATAACTAACTAAAAGAATCCGTGTGGTTGAAGACTCGACAAGTATTGTATACCCGCATCTCTATACGCAAAAGTAGCTACTCAGTTGATGAAGCTGGGGATCTGATGGAGGAAAAGAGCGAGAAGACAAGTGAATTTGTAGGAAGAAAAGTCGAGTCGTCGGATATTGCCTAAAGCGGTATCTCCAACGTCCTCTGATCGCTCACACTGTAAAACACTGCAACTTCGCGTATCTAAACAACTTCATCACCATCAAACCACCATTCTAGCATGTATAGTGCAGATACCACTTATCTTATGAGTAGGTACTCCATAGTTACTGTCCGGCTCGCTCGCTTCGGAATCTACTAACAAAGCTGCTGGAATAGAGTCCCGCGGTACATCTAGAGACACCCCCCAAGTCAACTACTTAGTTCTGGATTAGCTACCGGCTTGCCGCGATGCCTCTGCTATATAACTCGCTGGCTGCAGGCCTTCAAAGTTCCCCGTACCCACCTGCAACCCAAAGCCCTTTGATAGCCATCGAACCTACCGGATCACGCAATACGGGATACATCGAGATCGGAACTGGTGTTAAGGTGGAAAGGCAGCGAAAGCCCTGGCCTCGCGCTGAAAGTACAAATGCTGGCTTCTTCTCCCTGCGTATTTTAATCTTGCATCCTCATCTTTTCGCTTGTCCACACCCGGGTTTTTACGTACGCTTGCTTCTCCCTGATCGGTTGGTAACTAGCGAGCAAGAGGCCATATCCCTACCCTCATCCTACGTCCTGCCCTCCCTGGCCTAACTACCCCGCCTCGACGTGGCTCTGGCTTTGTTTAAATACGGCTGTCGAGTCTGCAATTGACCAGTATAACTTGATCTCTGATCATTCTCATCTAGTTTCAGTTGCTGTTGTCTCTACATAGAGTGAATATCGCTCATCATGGCTTCTGACAACCGCCGTTTCGAGACTCTTCAACTTCATGCTGGGTAGGATTAAATTTAACCATTGATTCGCATGGCGCAATGCATACTGATGGAATAAATGACTAGACAAGAGCCTTGTCCGGCTACCAATGCCCGTGCTGTCCCGGTCTATGCTAGTACTGTTAGTTGAACTACGGATGCCGCTGCTCCTCGAGAATCTAGAATACGCTTTTGCTTACTCTTCCTAGTCCTTCACTTTCAAGAACTCTGAACATGCTGCTCGGTTATTTAGTCTGAAGGAATTTGGCAACATCTACAGCCGTTTGATGAACGTACGCATGGCCCCCCTTCCCCGCTCTAGTTTTCTTACCTCCAATTGAAAAGCGAAGTGGCTGATTGGCGCATGACTAGCCCACCGTCGACGTCTTTGAAAAGCGTATTGCTGCCTTGGAAGGTGGTGTAGCAGCTGTTGCTGCATCTTCCGGGATGGCAGCTCAGTTTATGGCCATCTCCGCTCTCGCCCATGCTGGTGACAATATTATCTCTACCACCAACCTCTATGGAGGCACATACAACCAGTTCAAGATATTCCTACCCCGTCTAGGAATTACCACTAAGTTCGTCGAGGGAGAGGATCCCGAAAAGATTGCTTCGTTGATCGACGACAAGACCAAGGCTGTCTATGTCGAGACCATTGGAAATCCACGATTCAATGTGCCTGATCTCGAAGCCATCGCAAAGGTTGCGCATGATAGGGGCGTTCCTCTTATTGTAAGTTGATTGGCTGCGCATAATTTAAATAGGGAATAGGGGGAGCGTTTTAGAGGCTGACGGTTCCAGGTTGATAACACCTTTGCAGCAGGAGGTTATTTCTGCCGTCCCATTTCCCACGGAGCAGATATCGTCGTCCACAGTGCCACCAAATGGATTGGAGGACATGGCACGACGATCGCCGGTGTAGTCGTTGACGCTGGCACTTTCGATTGGGGCAAGCATGCTGCTCGGTTCCCCCAGCTGGTCGAACCGTCTGAAGGTTACCATGGACTCAAGTTCTGGGAGACCTTTGGCAAAGTCGCGTTTGCTATTCTAGTCCGCGTCGAGATCCTTCGCGACCTTGGCTCCGCTCTCAATCCCTTTGGTGCACAGCAACTGCTGCTTGGTCTCGAGACACTCAGTCTGCGAGCTGAACGTCACGCCTCCAACGCTATGGCCCTCGCTAAGTGGTTGGAAAAGCACGAGAATGTCGCGTATGTATCGTATCCTGGCCTCGAGAGCCACGAAAGCCACGAAACGGCGAAGAAGTATCTCAAAAACGGCTTCGGCGGCGTTCTGTCAGTCGGAGTCAAGGGTGGTGCAGCCGCGGGTGTCAAGGTTGTCGACGGATTCAAGATGATTTCCAACCTCGCCAAGTAAGTCCATCTCGGATACTCCGTAATATCAATTCGATAGTGGGTTGAGGCTAATGTTTGTATGCGGTGACTAGTGTGGGCGATTCGAAAACGCTGGCCATCCATCCATGGTCGTCAACCCACGAGCAATTGACCGAAGACGAACGTCGTGCTGCTGGTGTCAGGGACGACGGCATCCGCATCTCAGTCGGAACAGAGCATATCGACGACATCATCGCTGACTTCGAGCAGTCCTTCGCCGCCTGCAACGCCGCGCTTGCCGACCGTACTGCGTAGAGCGCACCGTCGTCGCCGTCGTGGTTATTGTAGGAAAGGAAAACCGGGTGATACGTTAAGGGAAGCAGACGACCAACGTAAATAGCCAACTAGTTATATATTTCTCTGGCTCAGCCAGCCCCAGCTTGAGCGATAGAACGAATGACGATGCATGTGAAGTGTTCGCTGGCCTGTCAGCCGCCGTCTCTATCTCTCTCTCTCTCTCTCATTTTTTTTCCTTTCGGGTAGGCGACGTCTCAGACACTTCTGCTAACTCGGAACCAGCCAGTCCAGTTACAGCTGGCCCCAGCCGAGGCTTGCATCGTCGCAGCGCAAGTACCGGTACCCGCGCCGCCCCCGACGTCCCCAGCGCAGGCCCACCAGGGTGCAAGTACCGCTTCGCTGGCAGCCCCCGCAAAAAAGTACCTGCCGAAGCCCATGTGAAGGGGCGAGGAGGCCCCAGTCGCAGAAGTACCGGTACTTCCTCGGCGCAAACACCAAACGACGGGCATCGGCCGCAAAGGGAAATCTTCGTCCATCAATCTTCTTCCTCTCTGCTCCATCACCTGCATATACTCCTCGCTCTCCCTCCCTCCCTCGTCTTCTTCTTCTCCTGCTTCCTCCCTCCTGCTCCTCTGCTTGAATCCGTGGTGTGGAATGACCGGCTAGTTATCCTTATTGCTCGCCGTCTTAAGCTATTCGTCGCTCTGCGTACTGGTGCGTCCATGCCGGCTCCCGTCTATTAATTCCCTTCTGGTGCCACGTCTGCAGCCTTAGCTCTTCCATGCGCATGTCCCCCCAAGCAGTTCCGGAGCGTCTGTCAAGCTAACAGTGAGCCTGGTGGCCGTTGTAGTGACGGGTTAATCCTCCCTAATATCCATCTCCCTAGCATTCGCCGTATTCGACCCTTTAGCGGAGGACAGAGACAGGAGACTGCAAAATCCGTTGGGATACCGGACAGCTGGCATTGGCTATTGTTACGGCCGGCGTCGATACCTACATTATACCTATCCTCTAGCGCTGAGACACGCCTGCCGCCGCAATGCTCTTTTCGTCCGAACCAGCGCTACAGGCGGCTGCTGCGCAATATAGCCAGCAGCCGCCCAAGGGGACTCCAGAGTCCGTCCCGGTGCCGAACTCTGAGCTACCAGGCCGGAGCAAGGTGTATCGGCACTGGAAGGTCGGCAGCAAGGAGCTACCCAAGACCCTCGATCCAAAAGTGAGCCATACACAGATCTATACACTATTGCGCTACAGGCAGAACGCCAGAAGTCTCGAGCCTATTTTCTTTGTTTTACGAAGAAGCGCCTTTTTACAATGATAATGCGATATGTACTGACCTGCTCTTCGTTTCAACAATAGGTCCGCACATGCCATGATATGTTCGAGTCTTCCGGTTCGTTTGGCCCCCTTTGTTACACATAATGTGAGTTCCAAGAGAGCTGTTTGGCTAATTTCAATCTAGCCTCGTTATATCCAAAACGGCCTTGTCTCGGATACCGTCCTTGGATCCCCGCCACTAAGAGCTATGGACCCTATGTTTGGATGGACTATCAGACCGTGCAGAAGCGACGGGCAGCCATCGGTGTTGGCCTAGCTGAACTCCACGAGCGCATCGGGGTCCAGGGTCGAAACTATGGAGTTGGTCTTTGGTGCCAGAATCGACCGGAATGGCAGCTTGTTGGTGAGTTTATTCTCCCTATGTCCGATGCAGCGTTGTAGCTAACGGCATATTAGATCTGGCTTGTATGTCTCAGGGAATATTCTCAGTCTCCATCTATGAGACCCTTGGTCCAGAAGCTACCGAGTACATCATCCAGAATACTGAGCTTGCCTGTGTGGCCTGTTCCTTGCCACATGTCCCAACGCTGCTTAAGCTGAAGCCCCGTCTTCCTACCTTGAAGTTCATCGTATGTCTTGAAGACCTCGATTCCGACGAGCCCCAGGGCCACACCAAGCGTGATATCCTTAATCCTATTGCCAAAGAGCTTGGCGTTACCATTTATACTCTCAAGGAAGTTGAGGAGCTAGGAGCATCTCTTAATCGCCCTTACACGCTCCCTTCACCGGATGATATTGTCACCATCAACTATACTTCCGGTACCACTGGTTTGCCCAAGGGAGTTGTCCTCACCCATGCAAACGCCGTTGCTGCTGCTTCCTGCTCCCTGAGCGCTTTCCCACAGGGCCCAGGGGACGTCGCTTGCTCCTATCTACCGCTTGCTCATATTTATGGACGTATGATTGAACAAACTCTTCTCTGGGGTGGCGGCCAAATTGGATACTTCCACGGAAACATTCTCGAGCTTGTCGATGACTTCAAGCTACTGAGGCCGACCGTGCTTGCTTCTGTTCCACGTCTTTACAGCCGTTTCGGCGGAGCTATCCGTGCCGCGACTGTCGAACAGCCTGGCTTCAAGGGCGCTCTCTCGAGGCATGTCGTTGCTACCAAAACTACCAATCTAGTCGACGCCAAACCACAAGACGCCACCTACAAGCATTCAGTTTATGACAGGATCTGGACTAAGAAGGTCGCCGCTGGACTCGGATTCGACCGCATGAGATGTATGGTCTCTGGCTCAGCACCTCTCGATGCATCCCTCCACCAGTTCCTTCGAGTTGCATTTGGTACCAATATTGTCCAGGGATACGGATTGACTGAAAGCTACGCCATTGCCACTTGCCAGGGCAACCATGACTTGACTGCTGGCCACTGCGGCTCCGTTGCTATCGCTCAGGAAGCCTGTCTGCTCTCTCTCCCTGAGATGGACTACTCTGTCGATGACAAGCCATATCCCCGAGGTGAATTACTGCTTCGTGGAAACACCGTGTTCCGGGAATACTTTAAGAACCCTGAAGAAACCGCCAAAGCTATGACGGAAGACGGATGGTTTCGCACTGGAGATGTCTGCCAGATCGATGAACATGGCCGATTCCACATAATCGATCGCCGGAAGAACTTGCTGAAACTTGCGCAGGGCGAATATGTATCTCCCGAGCGCCTCGAGGGCATCTACCAGAGTTCTTGTCCATACATCGCGCAAGCGTTTGTTCATGGCGATAGCATCCAGTCGCATCTCGTCGCCATCCTTGGCGTTCAGCCTGACATCTTTGCTCCCTTTGCCAGCAAAGTGCTGAAGAAGCAGATTGCGATGGGCGACACCGAGGCCCTGAAGGCTGCCGCCAGCGATGAGAAGGTCGTTCTCGCTGTCCTAAGGGATATGGAGCATGCTGCTAGAGTGAACAAGCTCTCGGGCTACGAAAAGGTGAAGAACGTTGCTCTTATGGTTGATCCATTCTCTATCGACAACGGTCTATTGACTCCTACGTAAGTTTCCATCAACTATGGTTTGATATCACCAGATGCTAACAAGATATTCCAGCCTAAAATTGAAGCGTCCTCAGTCCGTCAAGATGTACCGTGATATCTTTGATAAACTATATGCCCATCTTCCTGACCTCTCAGCAGGAAAGGGGGCTAAGGCTAAATTGTAAGGGGCAAAGGGTAACAGGTGTGAAGCGCCACGTTAGACATGTTTTTCTTCTTGTATCAAGTACTAGGGTAGATATTGTTATTCGGTATATAAACACAATATGATATCATTACGTAGTTCATACTCCACACGGGAGATATATCCAAATTACAGGCACCAATTGCCAGGCTTTTGAAAAGAATCAGGCCCAGGTCTCGTGTTCGGTGGCATCACTGTAAAATTAACAGGACGGAGTATCCGAGGCAGTGCCAAGCCAAAGAGAAAGAGCCGCCCGCCCAACCCTCGTCGGAACTTTGAGCTTCTCGCAACATCAACAATCTCGCTGCAACGGAGTACACAAGGTGGCAGCCAGCAACTCCGCCGCCATGCGTTTCTCATATTCGTCCGTCCTGTTTTCGCTCCTTGCTCTATCCTCCAACGCTCTCTCCGCCGCGTCCTCACTAACGGTCGCACTCCCATCTTCCGTCCGAATCGGCTCGCTTCCGTCATCCACCTACGCAACGCTCACCACCATCTCTCAGCCAAACGGACCTCTAAAGGCACCATTATCCCACCTTTCGACCTTTGTGTTTAATGATATATCGCTTCCGACAGCATCTACGGGCTCCGAAAAGCCGATATCATACCTCCTGGATATCCATTCGAAAAGCCATGTCTTCGCGCCGTACAGAGTCGATGTCTCCTCGGAGACTGGCAAGATCATCGGTGTCTGGGGGACTTACCGTGGTAATCCATGGGATAACAAGGGAGCCGAAAAGATTATCTCAGGCGGCGATTATGAGCCTGGAGTAGTCGTTGTGGAAGCAAAGGTTCTCGCGAAGAAGGACTTTTACGAGCAAAGAGAGAAATGTAAGCCCTCCTCCCCCCAATACGTGTTTTGCTTCAGTCGTGAATGCCTTATATCCATTGAGCAGGAAGACTAATCTTTTTTTTGGTTTAGTTTCTCCATTGGCATTGCTCAGGAACCCCATGCTTCTTCTCGCCATCTTTGCCTTGGCCGTTACGTTTGGAATGCCATATCTCATCGAAAACAGTATGTATATGTTGCATTTTCTTTTTTTCTACACCTTCTGTTACTGTTACTTGTTCTTTGACTGAACCTAACTATGAGAATCAGTGGACCCTGAAACCCGTGAGGAGTTTGAGAAGCAGCGTGCTGCAAAAAGAAATAAGCCTGCCAACCCTGCTCAAGGGTTTGATCTGGCTGGTTGGATGGCCGGCACAAATCCTAACCTGATAGATACTGGAAATCCGGCAGCTTCTAGTGGACGAGAGCAAGAATCAGCCGCAGCAGCAATGCGAAGAAGAGGCTAAAATTTGGTGTTTTGGATGAAAATCTTTTTCCAATGCTACTCCATACCTTATACTAAAATACCGGGCATGATATAATGATACCAAAAGCACGCAATTGAATGTGTTATTGTATGTTCTGAATAAAAACTCAATCGTATTGACTGAGAGCGAAGGCTCATTGCAGCCCAAAGCTCAGACAGTTGGAGTGGTACCACCCACACTGATATCGCAAATATTAATCTTTCCAAATAGGAAGTTAAGCGACTAGGATACGTTATAAATAATGTTCTCCATCCATACCACCCTTTGGCCTGAAATACTCCCTACTTCCACTTCGATATATTTGTAAGATAAACGTCTGCCCCACATTCTGCATATCCGAGTGTGAAGACCATTTACTCGTACCTGAGCCACAGATATATAACCTCCAGGGGTACATATTTCTCTAAAGGTCATGGACAATATATCCTGGGTAGCTATAATATAAACGGTTGAACGGCTCTAGTGAGAAGGGTTGGCAGATAGTAGCTCGCGCTAAAATCAACCAATGGAAGCTTCGGACTCGGATTATCTTTTCGCCTAGTGGCGCTTATGCAGCCTAAATTTAGACATCATCTGCGCCGCACTTGGCGGGTTCCCGGGTCTTATATAAGCCAACGGATCCCCCGGATGGTTCGTTCATCGACAGTTTCAGCGCGGATGGACGCGAAGGGTTGCGTCATCGACAGGAGAACGCCCTATTACAGAAAAGTCTGTCCTTCGCCCCTTAAGTATCTTTATAGGTCTTGCTAACGCCTGTCAAGAAAACATATTCCCAGAACTGGCCGACCTCATATCAGGTGGACGATCTACTCGGCGCTTACCGCCATATGCGCGACCTTCACGATGCCGGAGGAGCACATACCCAGTTCAGACGGGCAGCCAGTCCTGTCTGAGCAATCTGCTATTCCTATAGACGATCACGATCCGGACCAGGCCAACAACGACAATATCCTTCCCTTCGGCCTTGCAAACGACGTTCCTTCAGTGGTACCAGTCTGGCTATCCGAAAGTTCTAAGTCCTTCCGCTGGGGCTGGGTGCCACTTCCGTTGCGCAAGGCTGGACGTGCAACAGTGAAATGGTTAAAGGGCCCAGACCCGCCTCATGACCTACGATTTGAACCTCTCTTCCCAAGTATTCAGGCAGCTCCTGTTCTCTTCTTGGAGCAATACTTCCCGAAGAGAAAGCAGAAGATATTCTTATTACTGGGACTTTATTTCGCGTGGTTTCTGTCATGGGGTCTTGTCCTACGACATTCAGCATCTTCAGGCCATATTGAAGGATATGGAATTCCGAGTCCAATAGGTTGCAGTGCGAACTACTGGTGAGAATCGCTGACCCCGGAGATTTTGTCTATCCTTCTCGTACTTATCGTCCTCTCCGCATAGGACCAACGCTCATCGTTGTGGCTTAAACGGCTATGACTGCAGGCCTTTTGAAGCCTCCTCGTTTGCCTTCCGGTGCCCGGCTTTCTGCACAAGCACAAAGCTACTCAACCCTTACATTGTTGGCAATCAAACGCTGAATTATCAGCCTCTCATCGTTGGCGGTCCTGCGCCGGGAGCTCCCGAAGAAGATGCAATATATCGTGCAGATAGCTACGTTTGCCAGGCCGCAATACATGCTGGGGTTGTTTCTGGTGCCAACGGAGGATGCGGTGTTGTGCAGTTGGTAGGTTCCTCTGACGAGTACTTCGCTAGTGAAGCGCATGGATTCAATTCCACCGGATTTCCATCCAAGTTTCCCAAGTCATACAAGTTCGTGAAGTTAGAGGGGAAAGAATTCAAGTGTCCACGGGATATGAGATGGGTTCTACTCGCCCTCACCGCAACCACGCTCGCTCTTCTGTCTATATTCACCACCTCACCTGCCGTTTTCTTCTTCAGCACGTTCGTTATCCTCATCATGCATGTGGGTCTCGTCTCAGACCCGCCTGGCGTTGCTGGTATGGCCGAACTACTCTCCATGCTATTTTCCCGTCTTCTACCGGCCAGTTTCATTGCCTATGTCCTATACCTATACTGCGCAGTACCGCTACTTAAACCGCTCTCCTCTCCACCGATGTACCAGATCACCAGAACTATCTTATACCTAGTTCCAGCCTTCATCGGAGCTCTCAACAACTACACTTTCGCGAGTTGGATACCAATTCAACGCCTCACCCCACATGACATACAGCATCAACCGGGTGCTCCTCTTGCATTGGCTATTGTTTTGACTATCGTCATCTCTATAGTCCTTACCCAAGCCTGGCAGATACGCCAGGGAGGCCTATTTTTCCACTTCATCAAAATTTATCTGGTCATCGCGATTTCAATATTTATCCTGCTTGCTCTTCCGGGACTACGTCTACGTATCCATCACTACATATTAGCTATTCTCCTCATGCCTGGGACTGCTATACCTACTCGACCCTCTATTATATACCAGGGCCTTCTCCTCGGCCTCTTCGTTCATGGTGTTGGAAGATGGGGTTTTGCATCCATAATTGAAACCCCCGATGCACTAGGGGAGATTCCGGGCGTTGGTACTTGGTGGGGTGCTACCTCCCCAAACATCACCAACTCATCCGCTACAGTCTCTCTTGCTTCGCCATACGAAAGTCACTATTTCCCCGGCAATGGCAATATTACATTCAAGCTATGGGATCGGAAGCTAATGAAAGAGCTAAATGTTGACGGTGTTAGTGTTCTTATTAATGATGTCGAACGCTGGCGTGGATATGTGGATGAAACCAAAAAAGGAATATTCACATGGCAGCGTCGCGGTCGTCAGGGCCTAAGTACTAGGGATCTCAACACCCTGTCTACACTCGCACAGTCTCCGTCGAGAAATTACCATGACAATGATGATAATGACGACGACGATAATGACGATGAAATATATTTCCCACCCCAGGACTTATTCTTCCGGTTTGCGTTTTTGCGTGGCTCGACCGCGGGGCTATACGGTGGTGTTGGTGTTTGGTTAAAGAATGGGACTTGGGTGCCCCCACCCTCACCAAGAACATGAGCATAGAGGATGTTATTCAACTATCTCGAGATGATTATATTTGGCGTTTCTGGGCCGCTGAATCGCTTGCTAGACCCCTTCTTGGACCATTAGATTTTGTTTGATATTGATTTGTTTATTTGGGGTTATGGGTAGCTAGATTAGAACTTGAAGTTGGTAAATGGTACATCTTGAACCAGAGAGAATTGCTATAGTTAGCTGCTCCTTCCTGTTTCAACTGGAATGGGCATGAATACAAGTCCTTTAACTTATGTTTTGTTAGCTCACCTTAGAAAGTCAGAATAAAGTGATGATTAATAAGCCAAACTTAAACCTTATTCTGACGTCCATGGACGGATCGAGGAAGGGCGTTACATTCCCCCGCTGTCAGCATATCTGCAATGTCAGCACTTTGAGAACTGCTAACACCTCCCATAGTGATGTACTATGACAATGCATAAGGTTTACTTGGCATCTCGATCCCTCGATCCGCTATACCCGTGTTCACTCGTGACAAAAATGAGCATCCAGGGATGTTTTCTCAGGACAGTCTTCTCAACCTTGAGATACCCTTATATCCTGCCTCAATAGCATCAAATGCAGCTCAGTCCTATATTTTCATTATACTGAAACATGGGGGGCCAATGATCCAAGATGGGCCAACCGTTTACCTACCACGAGGTTCAAACTGACTCCGATATTGAGGATTCATTTCGGATGAAAAGGAGATCGAATCGAAGTTCAGATCGTCGATGTTGGGCAGCACTCTTCGTGTTCTTACTCGGAATAACAACTCTCAATGCTATAGCAGTCTGGAAGCTATGGGATCTTAGCAAAACCACAGCTTCTCACACACATATGGCATCACACACTCACTCTCCTTCCACCCTTCATTCATCCGTACCGTCATCCACGGAACCCGAACCGATAACAAATTGTGGCAAGTCGCGGACAGAAGCCATCTCTCGCGGTTGTGTCCTTGATATCATGGCTGGGGCGTGGCTGCCAAAAATATGTTACGATGAAGAGCTTGCGCTAGATGTTCTTTCAAACTCGACAGACCTAGCGAAGATTGGAGGAGCTGGGCCTCTCCCTTGGTGGGAAGACCATAATCATACCATTCCTATCGCTGCCGATTCGCTGAAAGATCTTGATTCACTGGTTGCAAATACCTGGGAGCCATACCACTCTGCGCACTGCTTGTACAATTGGCGCATATTAACCAAAGCAACGAAGCGCGTGAGGTGGGGAGAAAAAGGAGTATATATCCATACGCAGGCTATTAATTTCAACCATGTTAATCACTGTAACGAAGCCCTTATTACCCAACCACCAGGGCTAGGGAGAAAGACGCAGGTTGAATTTGGGCTTGGGACATGTGTTCGCTTGGATAAGGATTGAACTCTCAATGTTTGACTTCGTTGTTTCCACTCCTAACAATTCCGTGATGTAAAGTATCTCCCTGCTTAATTCAGAGTTTACAGAACGCAAATACAAAATTATGACTTCTAATCCCATGGGATACGCAGTGTATGATAAATTCCCGGGGGTGGAAAGGTCGTTAAGCAATAGATTCCGAGGTAATCTCTAGTCGATACGATCTTGGCTTCCTTATATAGATTCTCGATAACTCGAAAATAAAGGTATTGATAGACTGGCAGTTATAAGTACTAGACAGCCAAAAAGACTTATACAGTTAGGGGAGATTGATGTGGACTTATAATTCTTTAATTTAGCGGCTATATTGTCTAACCTTATGTCAACACTGATGTGAAATTTCTTGATATGCCATGTTAGCCCTCGCAGGCCTAACATACAAGCCAAAATTACCCTATACTGCAGTCTACGCATTCTGCACGTCATTTCCGTAATCTTCATCGTCCTCCGCAGCAGGGACATAGAAGCCATAGTAAGTGTTAGCGCCGGCGTCGGTGGCTGGGGTTTCACGGCGTGCGATCTTTCCATAATCTTCATCGTCATCCGCAGGAGGAATATAGATGAGATAATCACCTTTCCTTGCCGATGTTCCATGGTGCTCAGATTTCATGATGTTGGCATCCTGACAAGGGACTATCAGCATATTCAAATATTTATAGCATCAAGGAGTATACTTACCATCACAGGAGCAGCATAGGCAGAGGCAATGGCCATAACAAGTGCCAGAGTGACAGAGAGTTTCATTTTGGCTGATATGCTTTATCTGAATATTTGATGAGATAGTTGTCGTCGCAGTTGAGTTGTAAGGGGTAGTTGATGCGGGTATGATTCTGAACTGAAGGTAGAACATGTGCAGTTATGGGGATTTAAAGAACGCTGAAAAGCGTTTTCCAAAGCCATACATACCTATATCGCTGTTCTACCCTCCGCTAGGCTAACGTTGGATTGATGACTCCCTGCAAGGTCAGCATCTATACAATTACGAGGTTGCTGACCTGCCCCTACTTGCTTACCTGGAGGACCACATATTTCCGGCCCTCAGGGTGTCATCATGATCTGCCGGTCAGTAAAGCTGTCTCTATTATGTAGCACCCTTTTCTATCTATCATTATTCACCGACATCAGGTATGCGACGGCAATGCCAGAAGGATTTTTAGATCCTCCTTTTCCTCAAGGTTCTCGAGATGTTAACTTCGAACGGTGTATCTGACACGAGGCTGTCTATTGACGCATACGAGAATGACCCCTTCTTGAATAAATATAAGGGAAATCGCATTCAACGACGCAGAATCTCCATTCTCATCTTTTCGTTGATTTTTGTGCTGGGTATCTCCGTCTTCTGCAACATCATATTGATCTTTGAGCAGTATAAGCGTTGGGACCTGGATAATGTCTGTACCACTTATACTTCACAGTATAGTGAGTGTATTCTATTCCAAAATGCCAAAATCCTGTCAACTGACCAATCCATAGGATCGCCAATTTCAAATGATGTCAATCTAAAATATAACACGGTCACATTTAATGGTTCCCTCTTCGGTGATCACATCTGGCGTCGATGGGTCGGCGATGATGTTGACCAAGCATGGCTTGACCTTGGTGTTGAATGTAGGCCAGTTCCAGTCTGATAAATCAAGGGATAGAGCCGAAAGTCTGGCTGCTAATAATAGTCATCTCAGACACGCCCGTTGCTATCCCGTATGAAGATAGAGCTCTGTACGGCCTCCAGGAAGGCCAGGTGAAGATGATGGAGAAATATGGAGGAAATTTTGTGGCACATATTGAAGTTTTCCACCATCTTCATTGTCTTGTAAGCACGAAGATTTCCCTTGTTATTTTCTGATTGGATCAAGGCTGATTAGGACGGAAGGACGTACTTCGGAAAATTTCATACTATGGCTATGAACACTATCTGAAAAAAGGGGGGAGCCTGTTTACCAACGACGAGAAGACTGTAAAACACCATGCAGGTAAATATACCACAATAATCTATCCCGCGGCTTATATATGCATTAACCAGCTCATCATTAACTAGCGCATTGCCTTGATATCCTTCGACAGCAGATAATGTGCACTGCTGATACTTCAGTTTTTGGGCAATGGTGGGTGAAAGGTATTGGGCCCTTCGTCGACTTCAACACAAAGCACCAGTGCAAAGATTACGAAACAATCCGGTCTTGGGGAGAAAAACACCAGATATCTCCGGATGTAGAGGTGGAAATGTGGCCTGGTGACCCAGAGCTGCCAGTGGTACCCTGATACTTGATTGTTTAATAGAGTTGAAATCAAAACTACCAGCAATTTGAACTAGCTGGAATCGTCACAAAAACCCGTTATTCAAATATACTGCTCAAGTTCAAGCATCAATGTCAACACCCGACTCTACTAGTAGACGAACTGCATCCTCATGTCCTCTTTCTGCCGCCATATGCAATGGTGTTCGTCCCTGATAGTCTTTGACATTTCCATCAGCTCCATTATCCAGAAGGGCCATTACGATACTTGTGTGCCCCATTTTTGCAGCGTAATGTAAAGCTGTAGCCCCTGAATTATCTTTGATCTTGATATCGGATCCATATTCAAGCAGGCACTTCACAGTACCAGTATGGCCCCATTCCGCTGATAAATGAAGTGCAACCTTGCCGTCTAACTTGCTCTCATGATCTGCGTGGAGAGGCATTATTAAGGAACTATCGGGAAATTGTATACTTCGATCAACAATGTTGGGGCACGTTCTAGCTTTTCTATGTAAGCTGGGAACTCCTAGATCCCCTGCAGATGATTGTCGTACGAAACCAGGGTGCTCTTCAGGTGTTGAAATTTGCATCATCTGTATAGACGGTTCAATTGATTCAAGATTTGGCTGTAAATAAATCCCCATTGGTTGATCGGGATTCCTCACGGTATCAAACCCAGTCCCGAAGGGTGATTGAGCAACCCTACGGGAAACTATGAAGGGGTTTAAGGAATGTATATCCCGGGACTTTGTGTTTGAATTCATTTTTGGGCCTTCAAAATGCTCGCTATCGAACAGGCTCTCAGGAGCAATAGGTACGCAATAGCCATCGTTGGCTTCGTAGAGGCATCCTGGTCTATCAAGCAAGATCTCTGGGCTTAAACTGTCTGGTGGTGACAGATATGCATATAAATTCTCTTGAGCGTCAGTCACATGGCCAGAGGCAGCGGATTTCGGTGAGTTCAGCAAGGAGCCTTCTGGAACTTCTGGAACTTGTTGTATATCACCGCCTAAAACGTGGTTAAGAGGCTCTTGGGTGTCAAGCTCTTCTGGAATTTCTTGAGAAAGGCTTTTATTTCGGTTGTGCTTTCTCCTCCCTATACCAAATGACTGTGAGTGATTAGGCTTATTCAAAAATCAAGATCGTTGCCATACTGTGATTCCTTTGAGCTATTCGATTCTGGAGACGACGCCGCTCTTTCATTTCATTCTCTCTTTGAGCTTCCTCTTGCTCGTTCGGTTTTTTAGTAGCATCTGAGGGTTGTTCCATAGGCGTTGGTTATAAATTCGAATTACCGATCGACCAGTTAGTCAACAGAGCTTCGAGGGCTCATGAAGATGGGCAAGTAACTGGTAATCACTGGATTGATATATACCGCGTAGGGAAGAAGCGGAACTTATACCCATGATACCCACGAGTCAACAAGTTAGTATATCTCCGAAGACCATGTAGGGTTGCATGCCATTGGGCTGGTGTCGACAATATTCATCATCCTCCAGATTGCTCGAGTTCTTTCCCCGCTTCCTTCTCCATCGTATTACCGGGTTTTATGGTCTACCCTTGTAGACAATGCGACCGGAAACCTGGAGGATGAAGGCGGGAGCAGGCTCTCCCAGGGTATGTATGGAGGATGCTTGGTAGAGCTCAGGCGAGTGTGGTGAACAGGGACAATAGGAATAGGGAACCATGAACAACCGGAAGGCCGGGCAGCGTATAAAGAAAAGGCAAATATTGCTTTGAAAACGTTGCTATATGTATTTTCCGTCCACTCTTGCTTGTCCCACTATATCGTAAATGGCCAGCGAGATGGCTGGGAATGGATAGGTTCATAGTGAAGAGCGGTTTACGTCGGGAAAGCTTTGCTAAATATTTTGAGAACCCCTGATGTCAACCATCGTACCTTACATAATGCTCTTTTCACTCGGCGCAACTATCAAACAACTTATCAAACGATGTATCAGGAGGTATTGGGATATGAGTTGGAAAAGAACTGTGCACTGTTGGAATCAAACTCTCCCTCCTGGTCTAGAGTAAAAGGCTCTTGGAAAAGGGCCGAGCTAATGGTATGAACGTGATCCTGTCGTATCTGTACAGAAGTTTTGTAAATATTCCTCAAACGTAGTTAATTGTTTCCGAGTATAGGTTTACATCTATCCTAAGTTGATTGAAGCCAAGGTAGTGAGTTTAGACTAGGTAATGAACAAATAAATCGCTCTTGAAATTAATGGCTATAGAACCACTTATAGAGTGGCGTGGACATGAAGACTATATAAACACAAGGAAATTTGCCGGAGAGGGTTTATCCTTCTCTTATGCGGCTTTTTCCCCTTCCTTTTCGCCGGCATGGAAGTCTGCCACAGCAAGTTGGTTCAGTTCGTCCTCAGCCTGGTCAGCCTTCCGGTTGCTAATCCAGAAACCAACACATCCAATAAAAGATAAGCAGGCGGTAACAGTGTAGTTCCAAATGAGAAGAGGATCAGCTGACAAGCCAACCAGGGCCTGGAGCAGAGCGGAGGAGATGGCGTTCATGAAAAGTGCGAACGCTTGAACTAGAGATCGCATGTTTCTCGGAGCCTTCATGAATGCATATTCAAGAGACGTCACGGATGCAAAAATTTCAGAGACACCACCGAGGACATAGGCAACAGCTTGAACCCAGACACTGATGGGAGAGTTCTTTCCATACTCTGTCTTGCATTTGCTTGCCTCGTTTCCACATGGGTTGGTTTTGTAAATATAGTACTGCAGGACTGCTGAAGAGACCATTCCACAACCAGCAAGGAAGAAACCGGTGGTAATACGCTTGATGGGGGTGAACCGGATGCCACTCTTTCGGAGAGACGGATAAACGATTCTGTCCATAATTGGAATGAAAACAATGAGGGTAATGGGGTTGAGATTGTTGATGATATCGTTTGGTACTCCAGCGAGCTCCAGAGTGGCAGCCTGGGACGTAAGGTTGGTAGTTCCTTGATTGTAGGCTACCCAGAAAAGAGGGTACCACAGGAAGACGGAACAAGCAATGATGCCTCGTCGAACTTCGTCAACCCAAGCGTCATCAAATGTCATCCAGGCTGGCTTGTTGGCAAGGCGACTGGGCTTACAAGCATTCCAGCTGTCTGGGTGCTTGAAGTTACGGCCCCTATTCCATAAATAGGATTATTAGTATGTGAAACAGAGGAAAAATGCGAATGAACAGACCACTTACATCTTGGCGATGTTCCAAGAGCCCTTGCCCTTGGCGACGAGTCCGATTAGTTTCATGGCCTTGTAGTAAATTGAGCCACCTGGTTTGGTACGGACGTATCTCTTGCGGCAAACAAACAGCACCAACGGGCATAGGCAGAACATAAGTGTTGGAAGGAGGAAGGAGAGATAGAATCCAACATATTTTTCAGCGAAAACCATGCCGATTTGACCACAGAGCGAGCCGATATTGATCATGAGGTAGAACAAAATGAAGATACGAGACACTGTTGCAGCAGGGTCGACAATAACTCGTTCTCCTGACTTTTCCGTTCGGATATACATCTGGGTTTCTGTGTATTGCTCAGCAATCAGGGGGGAAATGTTGGACCTACGAATACAGTTAGCGTGACGTGTGCCTCTCAACACTCGGCTGAAATAAGGGTTATAAACATACTTGAATCCGCCAGTTCCGACACCCATGATAACAAGACCAATAACGAAGCATGGAAGTGCACCATTCGGATTCTTGATAACTGGAGGTATGGCGGAGATGATGAGGATGGTGTGTCCAACAAGGGCACAGGCAATGGAGTACATGATTGTTCTAAAACGTCCAAGATGCTCCTCCGCGATATAGGCACCAACCAAAGGCATGATATAGGCCCAGAAAGAGTTAACTAGAGTTAGGTCAGCAAGATTCAGGTTGTGTTTGATATCCGAAGAAAACAAATGCATACATGTACTGATGGCAGTGGACGCTCGTTGACCTAGACCGAGGGCACCGGGGACACGGCTGGTGATGATACCAGGCCCAACGCTGTTACCAGCAGTCGAGCCCTTTGGAAGTGGCTGTTGAATGAAGTTGACGACTATCATAAATATATGTCAGTCGAATTGTGTAATTTTACAATTTAATAAAGCAGGGTAGATAATAATGGGATACTTACAAACTGCGGTTGTTCCATAATATGAGAATCGTTCGCACAATTCGACAAAGGCAATGCTGAAAGCAATCCATGGGATCCTATCAGGGACACGACGCAAAGTCGCTATCTCCTCATCTGTAGGAAGTTCCTTGCGGAGGCCGGTCGCTTCATCGTCACTCTCGTGGGCACCATTGGCGGCAATGGCCTGGACAGTAGATAACTCCTTCTCGTCAAGGGCTGAAGTGTATTTGGGGCTGTCACGGCCATCGGCCTCAGAGCCTCCTGAAGCAGTCATGGTCGTAAATATTCGGCCGCTTGGTCGACTGGCACTCTTCAGTTGAGATTTGGCTGCGGACAGGTTCGAGTGGCACAATCAGGACCAGAGCTGAAAAATCCCCGGAGCGTCCAAAGGGGAAACGGCCCCCTCTATATGTAGGCACCACATGGTCCAAGGGATCTTCAGTCACCCAAGGTCCAACAGACGACCCGCTTGTAACCGTGGAGAACAGAATTCCCTCTTGTGGTGTGGGATTGTTGAGTTGCTTGAGCCTGGAGGGACAGGGAGGAGGCACGCTACCCCCAAACGAGCAACGAACGAGATGAACCAACGCGAGAGTTTTGAGTTTACTCGCTGTGTTTTTTCCTTCTTTGCTTCTTCTGCCCCTTGGCCTTCCAGATTATTCGCCATCTCAGACGTCGCCACTAAAAATGGGGATTCCAGTCCACTGATTTGGCGACGACGGAGCTGGGGAAGCTCGCAATTGAGCACCCTGTCGAACAATCCACTGCAGGCTTGGGGGGTTGCAACGGGGGTCCCGTGTGGAGTGTGTCGGGGGAAACCTTCTAGGGGACCAGGAAGTCATTTCCACATTAAACATGCATAGATCCCGAAGATAGTGGCACATTAGCGTAGAAAGTGCAGGTGCTTGTTTGGTATCCGAGCACTCATTTGACAGCCTGAAAATAGCTGAACTCTGTGCCACCGCCAGTCATTCTGCTAGAGCCTCCTCCTCATCCGATATACATCAACAGATGCTTATTCGGAAATTGCATTTGGGCAGGACCGTGTTTGAGGCTTGCTAGTTTGGCTAAGTTTGATTCTATTTTAATATCCGAGTCTGCTCCTTTGGTGCGGTCGCACGTGAAATTGGCCCTCAGAGGCGGACAGAGCTGACACAGAGAGGTTCGCCTCGCATCTGTCCACGATCAGTTTAAGTGTGGTGGTGCTGTCCAAAGGGCGGCGTCCAGTGTGAGAGTGTGTAGGGGTTTGCATGGGCTGCCAGGTGCCGTAGGTGAGATTTGGGCTCCTCGACTCACAAACAGCAGCAGCATTTCTATGTTGTAATGATATTATAGGAAGCAAACCTCCTCCCGCTTTCGTCCTAGGGGAAAATTTCTTCGAGGAGTAAATACCCGACTAATCATAGCCCACCAATAGGTGCTGCATTGTATTCGTCGCCCTCCAGAAAGCCCATCGCAAGTTCAGTTGGTTTTCGGAGGTTTTATTACGACGTACACCTTACCGGGCACCCATGTCACTTTCTTTGGCGTCCCCGTACCCGACCTCGAGGCAATCCCTTGTCTTCTTCCTTCCCCAGACAAGACCCTTGCTTGATTGGATACGAAGTGGCTAGTTGATAACCGCCAGAGTTTTGGACAGATATGGGGACAACCCCTGACCGAGACCATTAAGATAAGAGGCTGTCTGAACAAGTTTCCAACGGGAACTCACTTGTGTAAAGAAAACCCTTGACTTTTTTTCGCTTAGTATAATATTGAACATCAAATTATAAAATGTTCGTGATAATAGGTGAGCGGTAATGGAGTCGGAAAGATTTCTCCACAATAAGCCTATAAGGGGTACATTCCCTTGACCAGTGAAAGGTCTTGAGCTCTGTTTTCTGGGCGTTTGCTGGGCGAATCCTAATGTAGACAATCTGCCCATGGCCAAGTCATCAGTGGTTTCTTCCCAAGAAGGGCCAAGCTGTTATACGGAGGAACCCGGGCGAGCGAGCTGGGCGTACAGGACACAACGAGAAGAAAATATAGAGTGGCGGAATTTAAGAACGGAATCATCCCTAGGTTGTTTGGGCGAAAGAGAGGGATACTGAAAGGGAGTCGAGAAAGCAGGGGGCTGGTCGACTGAGATCGTTCCAACAGATAGAGATGCCGTTTCCCACTCCATCATTGGCTGACGCCGTTCAACCCATCACTCACGCGGACCAGCGTGGGCATCCTGGGGTCAAACCCTGGAGGGTCACGCAGCCGCCAGAGACCGTTGGTGGATTCCCCATGGACCTCAATATGATTTGCTCCACGTGACACGGCAGCGAGGCAGAGAGTCTAGATAGGGTTCAGAGATACGACCAACCGGCTGGTTTCAATTAGTTGCTTTATTCGTGTGTGGCCCGAAGGAAGAGAGACACATCAACTCATGTCTCCAGCGCCATCCTAGACCCTTGGCTTAATCATAGCATTGCTGACTCGTCCAGAACAGGGTTAGAGCGATTTGCGCCTTTGTTTCTTCGCTCCGGCGAGCGACCGATGTGTCGGACACGCCCTCCGGCGGACAGGAACCGGTTTGCTAATGGTTTCATAAACAAATCCGTTGGTGACTGTAAATAGCTTCTCAAGGTGTTACCCCATAAGTCGCGTGTCTGCTGGTTCAATCTAACAGCCGACAATAATACAAAATAATGAATAGAGGTTGGACAATCATGAGGGTGGTACGACGGGGTGTCCCACGGCTGAGGATCCGTCTAGGGCTTCGGCCAGGGTCGCTCGCTAGGCGATGATACCCTACCTCGCTTGGCGCCGAAGCTAGGCTAAGTATAGAGAGATCCCCGGACTCGTACTTTTACATACTGTAGTTGAACTGTGGATGGAAATGCTGGGGATGCATGTACGAGAAGAGGTCTACCTCTCATATCGAAATAATGGCCTGCCAAGTCAAAGAGGAATGCATTTGCGCTGGGGGTTGGATTGACTCGTATGGAATTTATTATCCTCATCGTCTCCCATGCTAATATTCAGTCAAGGCTGTTATGTAACTCGGACTTAGGATCAACGTCTTGTCAACGCAGTGAGATGGGGTGTTCCTGGGTTGTGTTGTCCATATGTAGTTTGAAGTCCTGACCACCTGGCTTACTGTCGAAGCCTTGACCAGTCCCTGGTCTGATAACGAGCACTTTGACCTGTCTGCATACGGAGAGAGCACTATTTCCCTCATTTCTTGTTCAACAGAGGCAAAAATGCTTATAATTAGAAGCTGTGATTAGCGATTCCGTCGAGGCGAAGACGATCAATGCTTGGACCTACTTATTTATTGAAGCAACGAAAGAAATATTCAGGCCGTCTTCTAGAAAGCCTTCGCTTCGCACTAAGATATGCAGCTCATATTGTCCCACACGCGCGAAGGCTGCTTTCGTGTACTCTTATTGGCTTGTTTCTCGGTAAAGCATCACATCACGGCAAGAGAGGAGAAAGGACAGCAATTCACCAATGATGCGCGCTGAGGATGATATTATGATTGTTCTGTCTCGGGCAAAGTCACCACGACAACTCGCATGCTAGGATTCCCCGCATCTGCACCCAACCAGGGCTCTTTGGGTCGCTTTCAGAGCGATGGAGGTCATTCGAAGAGTGAAGGGGAGGGGACCAGGGTCGACAGCGCCAAAGGGGAACCAGACCAGCCCTCCCAGGCTTTCGGCTGGGAAACTCTCATCTGTTCGAAACCCGCCCGTCCAGATTGGTGGAAACTCGTCCAAACTTGGGCATCGTTGACCTCTTTTAAGCCTTCGCCTTCAATCCGGTCAACCATGAAGCGCTAGCTAGTCAGGGACCTTTTTCTATCAGGTAATGCGAATTGCACCAAGGTGGTGGTCTCCCTTCACGCGGCCCAGGCAACAATCCTCCTTGTTTCTCTGTCTCCCCCCCACAAGCCCCAACGTAAGGATGAACAAACGTACTCCGTAGCTTCGTCTTATCTCAGGCCATATTATTCCGAGATACCCTGGCTAGAAAAGGTTGGCGCAGCGAGACGCTTAGTTCAGGACCTCTATTACCACGCCCTCTTGTCACTTTACGACGGATTTTCCAGAATTATCAGAGCAGCAACCCTTTTTCTGCTGGACCCCCATGTTATCAGCCAGAGTCGCAGGGGTTTTGGCGTGGTCCCCACCGGCCTAACTGCGAATTGTGCATTGCAGACCCGTTGATGGCCTTTATCTGGCGAGAAAAACTGGGGCCCAGCTACCTCGTCAACTTAGCTGTTGGTCTTCCAGGGCCGAATTCCCTGTCGTTGGCGTTGGTGTTGGTTGTTGGTGTTGGTTGTGGACAGCGAGACGAAGGCGTCGCTGATGTTGTTGGACGTCGATGGCCGGCCGTCTGTGTTGCCCCTTTGGGACATCTCAACACCGCATCACATGATGCTATCTCGACGTCGTCAACTTCAGCTTCAACTTCAGCTTCAACTTCTGCTGCTGTTGATCTCGCAATTGAAGTATCAGATCTTGTATTGATCCACCGCTGCACCTGGATGGGGCCTCTTATCAGCCTGCCAGCGTTCCGAACGCTGTCAGGGTCAGGGTGGCCGGGGAGGGTCGGCTGGGAGATATGGGCTGGAGCTGCAGTTTCTGATATCGCTGCAGCAGCAGGTCTTATGATCCAATTGAGAAGAGATATGACGAACATCTGGTGCATGCTATCTCTAATGATGGCTGCTCTATATGATCGATCCTCTATTCACAGCGGCATATACAGATAGGAGATGAATATCACTTTTTAACGCCAACGACGACGAGGTTTCTGGGGCTCTGCGAATACTCGAACACAGGCTCAACCCAGGCGTCTTTGACGCACTCTTGCTCTCGAAGATACATCCAGCGATCAGTCACAATCATTGACTCCACAACAGAGGCACTGAAGGCCATCAGGCTCCAGACCACGCTCAGGTTCTTCTTCGCGGACTCATAGCGGGCAACGTACGCCTCTAGAGTCTCGTCAGACAAACCTTCAACCCGCTGCTTGATCGCACTGCCGTATTGAGGATCGTGCACTAGCTTTGCCACTGCCGCCCGAGCATAGGCCGTGAACGACAGGAACGCAGACTTTCGCAGTGATCCAACTATGAGCGGACACCCAGGTACCTCTGTGTCCTGTTGTGTAACTCCTGGCTGCGTCTCGTCTTCCCTTCTAGCCGTGTCACTGGAGCTAGAGCTAGCTCTGCCTGGGACAGGGACGATACCATAATCAACCAACACCCGCTGTAACAAGGCACGGAAGAAGTGGCGCGTGAAGAATGCCTCACTGTCCTCCTTGCCCCAATTGTACGGAGCTTGCACGGCCATCATTCGAGCGGTGATGTTGAGCCGGATTCCATTGCCGTTTTTGTGCGAGTACTGCTCAAAATGTCTTGACATTGGGAAACCATGGGGGTCACAGGCATTGGACGTTTGTTCTAGACGAGAGTTGGGCAGTCTTAATGAGGGTAACTTATATGTTGCGGGACCGAGCCGTTCGGTCATCAGGTTATAGCAGCACCCGATCATTGCGACCGCAACGACAGACGGGTTCAGGATGAGTGACTTGATGCCGTGGTGCACGAGATTTCCGCATGAGTGAAGGGATACAACCATTACTCGTGACGATAATGATGCCGCGGCAGGTGAGGACATGCAGCCGTTTGCAGCGACCTCATCTTGCTCTCTGGCCTCTTCTGCTGGCCCAATGATGTGTTCGATGATGGGCTCGAGGTAGCCATCCTGGATTTCATGTTCTACGTAGTCCAATAAGCCTCTGGGACCCGACTTTGTAATCTCTTTGCCTTTTTCGCCATGTTCAACAGAACCGGAATCAGCAACCAGTAGTATCGTTGCAGTATCCACTGGGCTTTCTTCTTGTTTGTCTTGCTGTAAATCCGGCGTATCTGTGGAATTCGTTTCCCCAGATAAGCATGTAGTCGGGGTATTAATGCCGTCTAGAGCAGCAGCTTTCAGTTTCGCTCTATGCTCCTTTTTGTTCCGCATCACAATCGTTTTCTCGGCAACTTTTGCCCTGATATCCTTCCTCTTTGCACTTGCAATATCATTATGTCGCCGCTCAATAGCAATGACGTGCCGGTTATATGGCGGGCTAACCAGCGCCCTGCCCAGGTAGTTCTGTCCAGATCCAAAATCCACAATGTGAGAGATTCGCTGCTCTGCTGTAGCGTCGTCCCCCGAGACTCCCCTGATTCTATCCACGTCCTCCGTAAGCGAAGCAACGTATTTTGAAAAATTCTCTACCTCATGGCACTTCTTTGGCTTCATGCCCGTGAAGACATGGTACGGTATTCCCTTCCTGCCCACAGGCCGCTTGATATCAGGCTGTTCGCCCGCAGGCGTAAATTCCCGTAGCAGAGCATGCCTCCTGATGCTATGGATATATTCGACCAGACTTCTGGGCGGCACCGGGCCGTCTCTCCATGTATCTGTCTCTTCTTGCATGTCTTCATCGGTGTTCACAAAGGGGCTGATGTCTTCCCGCATCAGGAGGTCCAGGATATCTAGTATTTCATGGCGGGCAAAGAACTGCCGCCAGTCCTCGGGGATGACTGAGGTGTATAGGTCTGGCTCTCGTATAAGGAAGTCTAGAATATGGACTCCTCCGCAGAAGTTCCTGAACAGCTGTGACGATGTAGCGAAGGACAGGAGGGAGTCCAGGTAGGCGTCTGCGGACGTCCACTCTGCAGGGAGAGGCAGAGGCCGTCTGGAGGGCATTTCCCCGTTGCCCATGGTTTGTTATGGGATATCAAGCTTGAAATGGCCGTTTAAATGCATGCAAAGGGGCGTATGTCGGATATAGAGCAGCGATATAAAAATCCTTCTGAGGCTTGACGGCGCATTTTTTATTTTTTTTTTTTTTCCTGACAGCCAAAACTTTTGGCCTGGGACGAACCGAAGATCAACGTCAACACAAACAGCGCATCTACAGCATACAATCTACAACCTGCAGGGCATCCAGAAGACAGTCTGCTGCGTCCATCTATAGAGTGCTATCCAGATATATTCACCTTACAGACCTCTTCTCTTGCCATCATGAACTCCGATATGGACCCCTTTCTCCAGGTGCAAGCGTACGTCTGGCTCCCATCCCAGCTACCTACATACCTACACACATCTAACCAGGATCTATAACAGAGACATCCTATCTACTCTCTCTACGACACGGCCGCTCTTTTCCTCGTACCAACGGATACGCTCCCTCGCAACCTCGCCGTCAAACCCCGAACTCATCCAGGCGCGCGAGGAGCTCGAGGCTACAGTCGCAGACCTCAGCGCAGACTTAAAAGACCTCGTCGAAAGCGTGCGGGCAATCGAATATGACCCCTACCGATACGGGCTGGAGCTGGACGAGGTCGAACGGCGTCGAAAGCTAGTTGATGATGCAGGCAAGGAAATCGAGGAGATGCGACAGGAGCTTCAGCGGACTGTACACGAGCACCCCGGAACGGCCGGTAAACGGGCATCAGCAGGACCATCTTCGGCGTCAGCAGCAGGGGGAAGTGGACTGCCTGCTCCGTCTACGTTTGATAACCTACTTGATGAGGAGGGACAGGAGCGAGGAGAAGACTACTACTCGGAGATGGAGCAGCAGCGGCAAGTCGAGCTGATGCAGGACCAGGACCAGCAGCTAGACGGGGTGTTTCGGACGGTGGTGAAACTACGGCAGCAGGCGGATGATATGGGGCGTGAGCTGGAGGAGCAGTCTGTGATGCTGAAGGATGTCGATACGCTTGCTGAGAGAGTTGGTGGTAAGCTGCAGGACGGCGTCAAGCGGGTTGGGCATATCATCAAGAAGAACGAGGGTGAGCATTATCTTCTTTTCTGCCGTTTTCCATCATTGATACGAGTGGTACTGATGCTAATATGGGACAGATACGATGTCGAGCTGCTGCATTGCGGTTTTGATAATGGTACTGATCCTACTTTTGGTTTTGGTATTAATCCTCTAGTATACACCAAGGTCTCCTATGGTTACAAAACAAAAATCGAAGGGAGCAAGAGAAAAGAAAAGAGAAGAAACCGAAGTCAAGGCAAGGGAGAAAGATTAGGCCTTCTTAGCCTTCTTGCGAGGTCGCTCTTCCTTGTCGGCCTTTTCGCCCTTTTCTTCCTCCTCGTCGTCGTCTTCGCCTCCGGCAACGAGGGCTTCCATCTCCTCGACATCGAGCTCATCGAAGTCGTCAAAGTCGTTAGGAACCATGTACGAGTCGACTATATAAGTTAGCAGGGGAGGGGATTCAAGAAGGGAGTCAATCATAAAGAAGAAAAGGAGGCCTACCGTAGGACTGGAGAGCTTCGGGCCAGACTTCTTCGCCAAAGGCAATGGCAACGTTCTGGCCATCAGCAAAGATCTCAGCAATGGCCAACGAGTCCTCTTCCTCCTCTTCCTCGTCGTCGTCATCGTCGTCGTCTTCTCCAGGGATATCTTCACCCTTGCGCCTCTTCTCGGTGGTCTCCTTGTCCTCCTTCCTTGCAGCCTCAGACTCCTTCTCGGAGACGTCAGCGCCACGGTATCCGAACCAGGCGAAGAAGCTCAGTCCAGCGGGACTAGCACCGTCCTCGTCGCCGTCTTCCTCGCCCTCGTTGTCTGGAGCAGCCTGGGCCTCGACCTTGGCCGCGAGTTCAACCAGCTTCTCGAACTCGGGCAGATTCATGCGCTCGTCCTCGCTGATCTTGTCCTTCTTTTCCTTCTTGATGAAGGCCTTTTCGGCCTCGGCCAGGTCACACGCCGCATCGAGCAGGCCGTGGGTGGGATCCATGTCGGGCTTCCAGTTGATGCGGACAGGCTCGGACACCAGCCCTTCCCAGACACGGCGCTTGCCGGACGCAGTGATCTTGAGCTCCCGGCGCCAGTGGAAGTCCTTGACGAGCTTCTCGTTGCTGAACCAGAGGTTGTCGTCGCCGGTGTCGAACTCGAAGGTGAAGCGCAGGGACCGGGGCTCGCCCTGGCCGGTGGCCTCGTCGACGCCGATGCGCTCGATGTTGAAGCCCTTGAGGCAGGAGGCGAGGATCTGGGCGTCGGAAGGGAGGATGAACTCGTCTATCTCGGCGGGCAGGTTGGAGAAGACGCGAGGCCAGAAGTCGAGGTCCTTGAGCTTGGAGGCGATCAGCTCGTTGCGTTTGGCGTACACGGGGCGCATGAGGTTGACGCCGACGCGCACTTGAAAATCATCAGTATCAACAGATATAGAGTAGATCATACAGAGATTTAATGGGATATAATGATGGCAGAGGGTCTTACTGTGCTCGACCTGGGCGTCGGCGAACTCGTCCTGCAGCAGGGTCATCTCGCGCTGCAGCTCCTTGGGCAGCTTGGAGGGCATCTCGACTCGCTCGAGCAGCGGCACCTGGTCGTCTCCCGCATCGGCCATGGTTTCGTGTATCCTAGAGCAGCGTCGCCGGCAAGATCTCGATGGCCAATTGGCAGTGGGAGTCGGAGTTGATAGTCTGATCGTTGATGGCTGGCGAAGACGAAAGTTGAAGTGTGGGAAATAAACAAATTTTCTATTTTCTTAGTCAACTTGGCGGCGTTAGCGGACATAGAAGGATTACACGAAGTAGATATACACGAAGTAGGTATAGAAGAAGTAGATATAGAATGATATTAGAAGATTATTGTATAGAACTTTTGTATGCTACAACATCCAGTCGAGGCCGTTGGCCTCCTCCTCGACGGGAAAGGCCTCGCGCGCATACTCCTCCATGCTGCGCCAGCCCTCCCACAGACTGCGCGCCTCGTCGACGACGGGCAGCGGGACGACGCCGTCGGGCCCAGCCTCGAGGACGACGGGCTTCTCTGAGCCGGCGATGCGGGCCGGGGTGTGGAACTCCGGGTTGGGGAAGTAAGGGGCCTTCATCTGGCCGAAGAGGACCTCGATGCCCTCGAGCTGCTCGCGGTAGCCGGAGGGGACAGACACTCTGATCTCGACCTTGGGCGACCAGGCGTACCTGCAGGGCCGCTGGAGGGCGCGCGAGAAGGCAGCGCAGACCTGCCTGGGGGTCAGCGTCTCGAACGCGAGGGCGATCCTATATAATGTCAGTATACAACCATCGCTACTAGAATATATACACGCTGGAGACGCACCGGTCGCCGTTCCAGCGCTTGGGCCCGTCCTTGAAGAGCTGCAGCACGGTCGGCCCAACGTCGTGCTCGGCGTCGAGCCAGGGCAGCGGAATGTCAGGCGGGAAGGGCGAGCGCCACTCGAAGCCGCCGTCGGGCAGCAGCTCCATGCAGAAGAGCGGGTAGGGCAGGCTGGTGAAGTTGTTGTGGTATATGCCGGCGTAGACAAAGGTGGCGGGCAGCCCCAGCTGGCGGATGTAGTTCTCGACGGCGAACTTGCAGCTCCAGAGCGGCAGGCTGATCCAGCTGGGGTTGTAGACGGAGTGGTCGGGCATGCTGCTGTAGACGTAGTGCTGGACGGTGCCGGCGCGCTTTGCGGCGTCTGCGAGGGCGCGGCCGATGGCCACCTCGTCGCCGGCCTGGGAGGTGGTGTTGACGAAGGCGTGCGTCGCGCCCCGGAAGAGCGAGTCCATGAGGGCCGCATTGTCGAGCAGCGGGCCATGCAGGAGCGAGACGCCGGGCAGGCTGGCGAGCTCGCGGGGGATGACGCCCTCGAGGGAGTGCACCTGCGCGCGCACGGCGTATCCGACGGCCGAAGCGACGCGGACGAGGGACGCGGCTTGACGGCCGGTGGCATTGACGACTGCGATCGTTCTGGCCTGTGGCATCGATGTCTATATCTATATCTATATCTATATCTATGTCAGCGTTTGTGGTGATATTGGTAGACGGTGGAGGGGATGGCCTGCCGGAGGGGAGGCAACGACTCAGCAGCAACAGCAGCGACTGCGCAGGCGATCAGGGCGAGTCTGGGGCCAGCGGCAGGCAGTCATCCAAGCTCGCCGTCTCGTATATCTCTGTATCTCGTGCTGTTGTAGATGTCGCTGTCGATGTAGATGCAGTGGCAGAGGCGGGTGAGAGTCAAGGCTGAACGGCGCTCCCGTCGCCAGGATCCTCCATGTAAGCGTCGACAGTCGCTGAGGACGAGTGGTAGTCGCTGTCTCTATCTCTCTATCGCTGTCGCTGTCGCCGTCGTAGTTGATGTCGCCGTCGTAGTTGATGTCGCCGTGGTTGTCTTGTATACAATATAATAGTCGGTGAAAGACGGCGGAGAAAAGGAGAAGTAAGGCCACCGCAGGCAAAGACGCAGCGACAGCGAGGAGCACGCAGATAGGAGAGATATCTATTATATTACTACCATTGGTGTTCTCTTCTACCCTCTTCTACTCTCTACTGTGTGTGATCAGCTGCAACTCGGCTAACCAGCGTCTCCGAGCTATCTCGCCTGTCTAGCTATCTCGTATAGAAAGCGGCTGCCGGCTGGGGATCTGGGGATCTGGGGATCGGCCGTCTCGATCGCTGGCTGCTTGATATTTGATAACTACTACTCGCAGCTGGCCGGCCGGTTGGTTGCGTGGTTGGCCGGCCAGGGGTCGCATCGACATCACCATCGCCGTCACTCCCCGTCTTCCTTGGATGTCGATGTCTCTGTAGATGTGTCTGGCCTGGCCGGGTTGCCTGCTTCTGCCTGCAGCTTTTCCGCTCGCTCGCCGTTCTGCCTGGTCGACGAGGGCACGTCGACGCCCGCCAGAGCCCAGATATCGGGCAGCCGTCTGGCATGCAGCTCGGCGACGGCGAGCTCGTCCGCGTGCAGGTGGGCGCCCGAGCGACGCAGCAGCTCGACGTGGTCGACCAGGCCGGCGTTGGCCGCCAGAAACAGCGGCGTCTTGCCCGTGTTGTTGCGCAGATGGACGGAGGCGCCGTGCAGCAGAAGGTACCGCAGGATCGAGATCTCAGGGGAGGTGGCCGCGAGGTGCTATCTCGTTAGTCTTATACACTCACACAGCCGTATAGGGACGTACCAAGGGGGTGTTGCCAGAGTAGTCGTGGTCGTTGAGCAGCCACTCCTGCCCGCCACGCAGCAGGTCCGTCACCTGGGCGAGATCGCCGTGCGAGATGGCATAGCCCAGCGCCGTCAGGGCCTTGACGCGGTCCGGCAGGGTCCCGTCTGGATGGCGGAAGCGCGGGTGGTGGTGGTCTGATATCTCGCCGCGCAGGTCCAGCGACATGTCCCTGGCGACGGACTCCGGGGTCGCATCGTGCATCGCCAGCAGGTACGCCAGCTTCGTCAGGGCCGCCTCGGTGGTCATGTCGCCGCCAGCCACGACGCCGGCGCGGGAGAGCGTCATCCCAGCGGCATATACGGGGGAGACGCTCCCAGAGAGGCCTATCGACATTAGCATAGAACCCACACACCACAGCGAGGTAGATAGAGTAAGAGATAGACACACATTGAGTAACGTTGACGATGACTATCCCGCGCTTGATGGCATCGGCCAGCACCTTGGTCATCCGGTTGTCCTGTCCGCTGGGCGCATTGCCGGCGCCAAAGGTCTCCAGCACCAGCCCGCGCAGCCCCTCGAGCCGCAGCACGGCGTCGACCATCTCCGGCTGGATGCCCGGGAAGATGCGCAGGCAGGCGACGTGCGTCGTGTCCAGGTTCGTGCGGATGCGGAAGTGCTCGATGCTGGTCGGCTTGCGCACCAGATGCCAGGCGACGTCCGTCTTCGTCGAGCTCGTCGTCGCCAGCGGCGGCGCATTCGGGCTCGCAAACGCCGCAAAGTCGCTGGCGGCCACTTTGGTCGTGCGGTTGCCGCGGAACAGCTTGCCGGCGAAGTACAGGCAGACCTCGGGCACCATGAAGTGGCCGGCGACGACGAGGGCGCCCAGCAGGTTGTCCGCGGCGTCGTTCTGCAGCTGCAGCATCGGCGTCTGGCTGCCCGTCAGGATGACCGGCTTGCCCAGGTTCTGCAGCATGAAGCTCAGCGCCGAGCAGGTGTACGCCAGGCTGTCCGTCCCATGCAGCACCACGAAGGCGTCGAACAGCGTGTAGTTCCAGGCGACGGCGCGCGCGATCTGCGCCCATCCGCGGGCGTCGATGGAGCTGGAGTCGAGCAGCTCGTCGAACTCGAGCACGGCGTAGCGCACCCGCGTGTTGTAGCTGCTCAGCGGCGTCCGCAGCGTCCTATGGGCGACTCGCTGGCCCGAGCCGTCGACGGCCACCTCGAGGTCGCCCGGCTTGCTGCCGTCGTTGAAGGTCGGCGACGGCTCGAGGACGGCCTCGCGGAAGCCGCGCGCTGGGACGAAGCCGGAGGGCGACGGGCGCATGCAGATGGTGCCGCCGGTCATGATGATGAGCACGCGGGACTCTGGCCGGAGGCCGTATTCCTTCAGCTTGTCCATTGTATGTTGATGCTATCTGGGTATATCCGTGGGTGTGGGTATCTTGTTGAGGCTGGAGTTGCATGTCGAAGGTCGAGTTGATACGGGCTGTGGAGCAGATGCGCTTATTCCTTTTGTCAGACTCAGCCCGTCTATAGCGTCTGTCTGTCTGTCTGTCTGTCTATACTATGTAGAGTGTAGAGTGTAGATGGCTATGGTGGTAGATGTTGATCAATGCTGTTGTGTAACTATACTGCAAGGCTACCAAATAACTATCTACAGCCATCTATATATCTCAACATCACCCTATATACTCTCAATATCAATCAACATCACCCTATATACTCTCAATATCAGTCAATATCAATAATATCAGTCGATATCAATAATATAATGTGTATCATCAAGACCGACGCTGTTCACCGGAGTCACTGGCTTGCCGTCGCCAAAGAAAAAGGCCTCCAGGTTGTCCATCGCGATCCTCTCAAAGTTCTATCACTGTCAATACTAGTCAATCCCCAATATATAGAGTAGACATACCGCTTGAGTGTCGACTGTCGCTCCCCCTATGTGCGGCATCAAAGTGACCTGCCAGCTGTCCAGCAGCCGCTCGTTGATCCTGGCCTACAACCGTCAGCAGACAATCCATACAGAAAGAATACCAAGAATAGAAAGGGGGAGATACTCCTCCTCGTAGACGTCCAGGCCGGCCGCACTCACGATGCCGGCCTCCAGCGCATCCGCCAGCGCCTCCTCGTCCACACACTTGCCCCGGCCGACATTCACCACCCGCACGCCCTTCTTCATCATCGCAAACGTCCGCGCATTCAGCAGGTGGTGCGTCTCCTCCGTGTGCGGACACGCCAGCACCACGCAGTCCGCCACCGCCAGCAGGCTCTCCAGCCGCGCATGATACACCGCGCCGCCCAGCCGCTGCTCGACCGCTGCGCTCTTCCGCCGGCGTCCAAAGTAGTGAATCGCCATCCCCAGCGCCCGCTGCGCCCGCTCGGCCACCGCCTGCCCGATCTCCCCCAGCCCGACGATGCCCAGCTGCCGGCCGCGCGGGTTCTGCGCCGTCGCCGCCACCGCGCCCTCGATGTCGTAGAAGTCGCCGCGCCGCAGCGAGCGCACCGTGTGCTCGCACAGGCTCGTGCGGCGGAAGCACGCCAGCAGCAGGAACAGCGCCAGGTCGGCCGTCGAGTCGTTGGCGGCGCCCGCCCCGTTGCAGTACCAGATCCCGCGCGCGGCCAGGGCGGCCGTGTCCTCGCGCTCGTAGCCGTGGTTGACGGAGGCGACCAGCCGCAGCGAGCGCGGCAGATGCGGGATCAGGCGGTCGTCCAGCGGCGGCAGGTGTCCGCCAGCGTGTTGTTGGGCCGGAAGATCGCCTCGATGGCGCTGTAGCGGCCGCCGGGCTGGAGCTCGCGGACCAGCTCGGGCAGCGCCAGCGGGCGGTAGTAGAGCACCTGCAGGCGCGCGGACAGCTCGGCCCAGCGCTGCGTGTGGCTGCGGATCGGGTTGCCCACGTAGAGCACGACTGGCTTCATTTTATTCTGTCTATTGTATCAGGATGGATTTGATACTTTGTTATGGTGGTGGTGGTTGTGCCTTGTGGTTGTGGTTGGTGTTGTGACTTTTATATAACTACTTGATATACTCGGTGTTCGTATTATAGACCGCGAAATCATGGATAGAATAAGATTTGAATGGATAGATATAAGATACTAAAGGCATGCTAGTTCAAGCTCCAGGCGACGGCAAAGCGCTGGGCAAACTGGCGCTTGAAGATATGGAACGCCCGCACCTGCACCTTGACCTCGCCGGCAGGCACCTTCGCCCACACCACCTGCTCGACGTTGTTCGCCCGGTCAAACTCCTTCTTCTCGCCCATGTTGCCGTGCCGCTCGCTGCCGTCCGCCGCCGTCACGATCAGGTCCAGGTCGTTCTGCAGCGACGCCCCCGCCGGGTCTGTCCACACAAGCGTCACCTTCAGCGTCCGCCCCCCGTCCTTCGGCACCTTGATCACCAGCTCAGAGTCCGTCTGGCCCTGCGTCAGGGGCCCGCCCTCGCGGTAGCCGCCCTTCGGCTCGTCCTCCTTTGTGGGCTGCTGTGGGATCGAGTTCTTCAGGTTGACCCGTCCGTAGCCCGAGCTGCTGTTTGGCGACGGCCCGGCCTCAGAGGGCACATACTGGCCCGGGAGCTCGACCGCCCCGTTGATCAGCATCGCCTTGATCAGCGCAGCGGACGGGTTCTTGTTCCCGCTCTTCACCAGCGCCTCGCGGATCAGGGCCACCCCGCCTGCCACCAGCGGAGTCGCCATGCTCGTGCCCCCATTGAAGAACCACGCTGGGTCCGCACTGGTGCCAAACGTCGTGCTGGGCTTCAGCAGCTTCGACGAGCGTGTCGACAGGATCGACGTCCCCGGCGCTACCACGTCCGGCTTGATGCGTCCTTCCTTGGTCGGCCCGCGCGAGCTAAAGGCCGCCATCCCGTTCGGGTGGTCGGCCACCCGGTCCGTGTCGAACGGCTTGTTCGGGAACCACGAGGCATACGTTTTCGCAATGTCTGGTCGGTCGTTCTCGCTGGCTCCAACCGTGATGCAGTTCTTGGCCGCAGCCTGCGAGCCAATCTGGTTCTTGTCGATGATCCCGTCTTGGTCTGCGTCGATTCCCGCGTTGCCCGCTGCAAACAGGATGACCATGTCCTGGTGCTCCCACACAAACCGGTCGATCTCCTCGCTGTTGATGTTGTACGGCAGCTGCCGGCCGGGTGCGTTGCTGCCCCACGAATTGGTATGGATGCGCGCACCTTGCTCCTCGTACGGCTGGATGAACAGCTTCGTCAGGTCGTCGGGGATGCCCCCCAGCCCGTTCTGGCTGTCCAGCAGCGACTGAAGCACAAGCGTCGCCTTGGGTGCCGTGCCCTGGATCTTGCCGCCCATCTTCTCCGATGTTCCGTCTCCAAGGACAGACCCGCAGACGTGCGTGCCGTGGCCGTCGGGATCGTCAGACCGATCCGTGCGTCCAAGAGCATACAGGTGCTTGACCCGGCCCTTGAACGCTGGGTGTGTGTCGGTCGTGCTGCCCTTGTCGAACCCGGTGTCGCCAACCGCAACGATCTGTCCCTCTCCCTCATACGGCAAGGCACTGGCCTTGTCCTTCGCCTCCGCAGTCCCAATGGGGTGGTCTCCCCTCGTGTCTGCATCACCCTTGATGATTGGGACCGCCTTGTTGTTGAACAACACGGCTGCATGCACTTCATGGATGCTTCGTACCCCGTCGATGGCGGCCACTTCATCCAGATGCTGGTCCTGGACCATCATGCGGACCTTCTTGGCACCAATGTTCATCGACGAGGTGTCGGCCCTCGTGGCCATACAAAGGGCCTCCTGGATCTCCTGCGAAGTGGGATCTACATCGTGGTGAAGCACAACATCGACCATGCGGCGGCGGGAGGATTTCGGCACGGCCTTGGCGAATCCAGCCACGGCGTTAGGGACGGATGCAGACTTCATGCTTGACTGGACAACAAACATGTCCATGTAGACGTTTGCCCAGGCCACAAAGGGGAGGGAGCGGATGGCAGCCAGGTCACTTGGCTTGTAGCAGCACAGGTACGTCTTCTGCGAGACATATTCCTGGATATCAACGCCCAGACGCTCGAGCTCGTCCTCCTGCTCATCCTCAAGCAGTTCCTTGGTCTGGATGAGAATGTAGTTGGATTTGGACGCATCCTCTGACTCGAGACCAAAAGCCCGGAGGACAGGGCCCTGGTTCTCAGGGTTGAGATCGTTTCCGTTGATCGAGATGACAGGCATGGTTGCTCCTTTGTCACTGTATTGTTTTTTAAAAAAATAAAAAAAAAAAAAAAAAAAAAAACTTGCAGCGGGGCGTATTGGATTGGTAAACAGTAGGTACGAATGTGCTTTTAGCAAAGACTTGCTATCTGTTACTTAGGCAAGGAGAGCAGAGGACAGTTTATATATCGAGCTCCAGCGGGGGTATCTGCAGGACTCGGCTGATATGAGAAGGGTATTCTTGCAACCGGATTAACACAGCTGATTCGTGCAGATGCTGCGATCACCGCAGCTGTGACTTGACTGAACAGATCATATTCAAGCATTGAACATGGTCTTTTTCCCGCTTTTATAGACAGATCGACGGGGGAGGGACGGCAGCCCATGCTGGTCTCCCTTCCCCGCTCCTCTCGATATCAGCTGCATGGCCATTGCCATGGAAGAACTGCCCTCTGCAGCTCGAGTTCGGCAGCAGAAACTCAAACACGGCCATCGTCATAGGAGCGGTCCGTCCAGTCGATCCGACTCCACGCGGGACCAAGCTGCAGCCCTTCGCTGGCAGTGCTTCTGGCCCTTGATGACGTGATGGGAAGCTGAGGTATCGTAAGGCAGCAGCCAAACAAAAGTCACTACTAGACGACATGAGGAGGCAATGTCCGGTGGTTGATAGCTCATCGCAGCTCAAGGGCATGGCTAGGCGAGCCCCCCTCCCTCACGCTCGCCTTCGAGCTGCAGCTGCTGAGCGGCGAGCAAGCCACAGCTGCCCCTGACTGGTCAGGTCAGCAGCAAAGCATATCCTTGGTTAAACCCGGCATGGCCCGTCCAGCTGAAGTTCTTCGCTGAGGGCTCGTACTACCTTGGGCATGCTTGTCTGCCTGCTCGCGTAAGACAGGAAAAGGAATGCCAACATCACCGGTTTGGGGTACAAGTTGGTCAGTAGCTAGTTAGTTCTGTCAGTGGGAGATGTTATTAATGAGGTACCCAGTCGTAGTCCTGGTGATGACGATGACGTGGTTGTTGTCGTTGTTGAACTTGAAGTTGATGAAGTTGAAGAAGTTGAAGAAGTTGAAGAACTCCACGGGTTAAGAAGCGTCATGTGACACTTAAGACGAAACTCTCCTCCCTCAGTATCAACTGTCAATTAACTCGATATACGGCACTTCTGGATATTCCACGTATCTAGACATCTAGATTACGGGGTTAGCACATACTTCAATCGTGGCTGATGCAGAGTTATTGATATAACTATGCCAAAACCGGGGCCTGGCCTGTTCTTCGTGTTATTAGACTCACATCGATATCACGTCTCGTTACCCATTCACAGCTGCCATTCGAGTTATATAAAGGAAAGCAAAAGAAAAGAAGCGTTCATAGGTGATGTATGACAATGCCCCGTACACGTAGCTGGAGCTGTCTTGTCCGTGTTCTCATATCCAGGAGGCATATAAATGTCTCGAGCCCCAACATCACAAAGTTAGACCTCTTGGCCTCTGGAGCCTCTGCTGTTGCATATTCGTCCGGTCTGTTGATATCTAGATAGCCCTTGAGTATGAACATGACTGGGACTCTACCAGTTAATACATATCCTACCATATAAGGTATATCGTGGGTTCAAGGGCGTACGATTGCTTAACTACTGCATCCGAACTTTGAGAATAGCTTCTGGGCCTGCATGCCAGCCTTCAAGCTGATGTTCCAGCTGATAGTAGTGATATACTTCGTGGGTCTCGGTTAGAATACCCTCAAAGTCGCGATTTGCATAAAATTCCATGTACTTCTCGCTAATCTTTCAGCCAATATCCACTGGTTTTGATCTAGGAATTTGATAATATAGCCATCGAAGTGGTCATCTATCAGGTCATGTATGCAGTGGCCGGTGGTATATAGCGGTAGAGAGAGTCTGCGTGCGGCATGAAGATGGTGCTTACAAGGAGAGATGGCGCATCCTGAACGTTGAAAAAAAAAAAAAAAATAAAAATAAAAATAAAAAAATAAAAAAATAAAAAAAATAGCAAAAGGAAAGAAAGGGAACACTACCTCTCCTAATCCCACGTGGCCTCTGCAGTGCCATTCATGCTCGTCTGAAAATCAATACGCTTGTACTTCTCGAGATCCCATTCCTCGAGGTCACGCCTGTCAGCTTTATATGGTTCTATTTCTCTTTCTTCGAAGATAAATGTCTGTTCATGGTCGATGAACCAACTACACAATTAGCCCTGTAAAAAAGGTGATAATAATTTAGAATAATGAGCCATACCATTTGTTCTCTACTTCATCATAAATGATATTTCGAAGAGCTGGGTCCGCTGCATCGATGGGGTAAGATTGAAATTCACTGCCATAGAAAGTTAAATCAAGTATAAAACATTATATTGGGTTAAATATACCTGAAATCTCTTAGAAAAGCTTTTCGTATTTTCTTCTTTTTTGATTCCTCGAAATTCCAGAAGTCAGACAGCACCACTCCAGGGCATTTCTCCATGATCAATATAGCCATATAACCTCCGGGTATAGGCATATTTGGATCCTGGGAGTAGACCAAGCAATGAAAAAGACGCGGGACCACAGAGCAGCCGTTTTCAGTAAAATACTGTAATGTTGATATTTCTGTAGCTGTGGGATAGGCCAACCCCTGTGCGTAAGGTTTAGATGAATGCTTGCTCGGCACCCTATAAAATAAATAATGTTAGAATTTTATTCCAAAGGGGGGTTTCATTCTCCGAAGGGTATCGTACTGCATCCGAACTTTCACGATGGCTTCCATGCCAACATGCGAGCCTTTAGCTTGTCGACATAGATATACTGCTTGGGCTTCTGCGTATAATTCACCGGAGTTACTATACGCATGAAATTCGACTGATTTTTCACTAATATTTTCAATGATTCTCCACTTGCTTCCGTTTGGACATTTTAGTGTATAGTTATCAAACGTGTTGCCTATCCATGGTGACATAATTCGACATGTGATGTGGAAAGGGTGGGAAAGGGTGTAAATGGTATAAAGTAGATGACATATATCAAGAGATAAAGCGCATGTTGAAGTCGTCAAAGCAAAGTAAGACGAGGAAAAGGCGGGCGGCAAGGGAATAAATGAAATAAATAGACAGCAACGGCAAGTCGTCGTCGTTGTTGTTTTTTGCTGCCGCTATTGCTTTTCTTAGCCAGCCAGTCAGAGCGCGACTTTTGAAGTTGGATTACGTAAACAGACAGAACCTTACTAGCGCCGGCGCTTAACGGAATGAACTTTCTTCGACTTCAAACCTCGTCCTTGCTCTAGGGTGATGGCAGAAGACAGCAGAGGATGGGACTGCCACTCCCTACTGCTTGCATCTGCTATAACAGCTGTTCTCTAGAGATTTCCTCTATAACATTGAATGAGAATAGCTACATCTATTTGGATTTGAAGTCGAATGTGTTGCGATAAAAATCGGACGGAATGCTCCTGTCAGGTTAGGATCTTCTTTCATGCCGCCGATAATAGAAGCACCCCTGGATGATACCCATAAAACACTAGTAGGGGCCATCTTCATGTGACTCAGTGCAATATTTCCCGCCCAGTTGCTATAGATAGGAGCATGTCTTTACCAACATATATTGACTGGCTCTCCGTTCCTCTATCATTTTTAGGCGCCTGCCATGGAGGCTAGGATCATACCTACGACGCATCTCCCGAGTCATCAACCCATTATATCCAACTACTACGCGCTGGCTCTAGTGACTATCTGGAATCCTGGTCTGAGTCGCATGTTGCCCAAAGTATTATTCCATACTTCAATGCCACATACTCCACTCAGCTTCTATGGATAGGAACGTGCCTTTTACCAACATTACTGACTGGTTCTCCGTTTCTGCTATTGATTTTTTAAGCGCTTATCACGAACGCCAGGATCATGTCTACAATGCATCTCTGGAATTACGGGCTGATTATGTCCAATTATTATGCGCTGGCCCTAACGACTATCTGAAATCCTGAACGGAACTGCTCTTTGCTCAAACTTATAAATAAGAGGTAAAATCCACCTCATTGTAGCAATCAATTCATCAATTCACTGCTCCAATTCACTGCTCCAATCCCCGCCCTATTCCTTCCTTCTGCCTAATTAGCCAGATTGTGACAATACCGCGCATTCTATTTGCATCAACCGGCTACCCTCATTCCTTATGGATTACCATGATAGTTACACCATTCTCGCCTCTCCGGCTCCTAGCATCCTTACCCGCGAAGGTTATCAGACAACGACCAATGCTTTCCACCAAACCTATTACGTGGGCCCAAGAAAAGTGTGGGCTCTATCTAGTGAAGTATGGAGTGTAATCAATATAATTACGAGCAAAGAGTTACTCGCCTACACCAATTACGAAGTGGCATAAAGTTCCTCTTGTCTAGACCATGAGCATTACCTTTGCGGCGATGAACAATCAGTATGTGGGAGATTTGCGCAAAATGTACTCAGTGACGGCTGTTGCATTTGCAAACGGAATCAAAGCCCGATTTGGCGACTTCAAGGTCTGTGCTGAGTCACAAGGCGAGGTTGACGTTCCAGATTTCGTTGCAGTACACTGCACCGCCAAGAACCTCCACGCTCTTGAGCAACTAGACTCCCGCGAAGTCCCGTATTTGAAGTTTGTTGGAGAGACCAAAACACCTTGGAGGCATGATCTGGGCAAAATTTACCATGATTTTACTACCAGAAAGAAATCAACCATAGACCGTGCGCTAAGTATGTTCTTATCAGTTGCTATCCATGAAGACTAAAGCGCGCTAATTCAGGTATTCGAAGGACAAATTGCGAAGTATATGTACGATCATTAAATGCGTTATGGTTTCCTTACAACCTACAACGAAACCATCTTCCTAAAACAAGAGTGCTTCGAGGGATCTACGTGGGGTCTTCTTGTTTCTCCTCGGGTTCCATTCGACACAAGGGCAAATAGAGAGACTCATATTGTCTCTCTTCGTCAGTGCTTATACTACCTTATGCATGTTACCGAAAGCCCCAAAAATCGCATTGCGAATAACACTACTCCCACGTCATATAAGTGGGTTAGCGATAAGTCTCCGAAAGACTTGACCCAACCCCAACTTCATACCCCCGTTAGCCAGCAACCTCAAACCACAGTCGAGCTCCTACAGCATCTAGCTCAGTCACCTGAGCTTAAAACTGACCTTTCTTCTATCACTGGCCGGATCAAGCTTCACTAAATCCCTGGCTCTGGTATATATTCGGCCATCCTTCAATTCAAGCACGAGGATATCAGAACTGAAGGGAAAAAATCCCATGTTCGAGTCGGGGATCAATGGATACAAGCGGAAATAATAAAATCACGACCAGGGCCATAGATCTAAGGACGCCGAATCTAGCAGTCTAGGCCATGGATTTAGTTCCTCCCCCTCGCCCTCTGCACGTCTCAGAGCACAAGAATATGGCAGCAACACTCCATCGAAGCATCGGAAAGAAAAGGTTTCTTTTGATAGAGAGTATGCAAAACCCTAAACCTTTCGAGTATACCGACACCAATTATGAATCAGGTCCTACTTTATCTGTAGTTACCCCTACACGACTGCCCACTCAGCCACAGGGCTATGGAACCCCAGCCTTATCCTTGCCCCATTACCCAGTACCGCCAGCGGAACATTACCAGTCCTTGTCAAGAGACACCTCCGGGATGCGAGGAACATTCCATTCGCCTTATGCACAGTTTTCTACAGAGCAATCCCCGCCTAGAGAACTCTCACAGACAAGGGAGACGACCTTACCGCACCGTCCACCACCATTTGGTCACCATCAATCTCTATCCAGAGATCCATCCATGAGACAAGGAGGATCTCCAGACAGACAGACTGAGAGACACGACTCGGGCCCCAGGGATAAAGGCAAAGGGAAAGCCAAAGAGCGCCTCGATAGTACTGGAGGGTGCAATCTCAGGTCTCGTAGCGACAAGGGAGAGAGCAGCAAAGGCAGGGGCAAAGATAAGGACGATGATGAAAAACGGGGCAGGTTTCCTGGACCGTTTTCCAGGAAGTGCTGAGAGGATGTCAAGGATATAACTACTCTCTTTGCCGCCAACCAGCAGGGCCCATCTTTTTGGCCCAGAAGTTTAACAGGTGAGTATGGGCTGGCCCTTACTCGAGTGATGTTGGTCGTTCTTCCCTTTTTTTTTTTTTTTTTTTTTTTTTTTTTTTTTTCCATTTGCTTTCCTTGATTGTTCGTTTGCTTTTCGTCTCGTTCTTCTATGTTCCTTTTACTGCCCACAGAACTTCGAAACGGGGGGCGCAGAGCAAGATGTCGTGGCAGCGGCACTGGCAGCTGGGAAGGTGCCCGCAGTGTCAATAAACAGACAAGACGAGGGAGATTTTTGTGGTTCGAATGGAATCAGGGGGCTCTGTTCAACGTTTCGATGGCTCAAAAAAAAAAAAAAAAAAAAAAAAAAAAAAAAAAAAAAAAAAAAAAAAAAAAAAAAAAAAAAAAAAAATATCACCATGCATACCACTGGCTCAACCTGGTTGTTTTTTTCCTTTGCGTTGCTTTCCATTTTCATTATTTGATTCCTTCACTCGTTTCCTTTGCATGTATTACCTAGTTAACAGCAGCCTACGAATTGGCCGCAGTACGCCTGGAGCCACCAGGGGATCAGCAGTGACTGTGAAATAGACCTTGGCTGGTGACAAACGGCTGTGAATGACACGGGGCAGTTATAACAAATATGACAATCGTTCGGTACTTTTGACGTAGTTCCAAACAACGATGGGCATAGCTCTAGCGTCTCTGTCAATTTCCCTCCTTATCCCATGGCCGCCGCTAGTTCAGATGGGACCGATAACACCAGACCCGAAGAGGAATGACTTATCGATCAAACTCCAAAGATATCAGCTCTCCGAACTCCCTCTCCAGATATTATTTACAAAGCTGGCCGGGAGATTAAATCGATCGACATCGCTTTCAAGGGGAGCCTCTGACGTGTCGCTCAGCGGCTAAAAGATTCTAGTCAAAAATGCGGATGTGCAAAATTCCACGGTAAGCAATAAGAACAGAGCGGATCAGCAGTAGATGAAGTCTGCAACAGTCAATGGAATCCTTCCAGTGATTTTACAATGGGCCTTGGGTGATGACAAACGACTGTACATGACACTAGGCTGTTACGCTGAATATGACAATCATTCAATACCTTTCCACAAATCTGTTACATCGGATAACCCTGGCTTGATCTGCCGTTACGGTGTGGCGGCTTGGAAGCTTAGCAGCTGACGGCGTGGCTTAAGCCCTAAAGCATGGTAATTAGTCGGGAACAAAATCAACCATCACACCGAGTACGATGCTGGTGGTGGCGGAAAGAAAGTTGGATGGATATGGAACAACGATGGAAGTTTGGTAGAAACGGCGGCTGTTTGCTTGTGAGTAGGAAGAAAGGCCGAGCAGGAAAAGAGGTATGTGTACCACTCGATATCATGTCCATAGGATATCAGAATTGGCAAACAAATGTGTCCGGAAGAAGCAAACTGCCGTGACGTATCGACCACTTTCTGATCAAGCTTCGATTGGTCATAGGCCGTCAAGCATGTGGAGCAAGCGTTGTCATGCAATTATTAAGTGAATCCTCCTGCTAAGCAGGATGACCTGTCCACCAATCTGTCCAGTGAGCTTTCGCCTCCCCTCGCAAATATCTCCTATTATTCACCATCGAGGGAACCCTTTGTTTTTTCATGCATCTTTGTTGTCAGAGCTCGCTTGCCATGGCGAGCCAGAGCATGTTATAATAAGGTGGTGGCTATAATTAAAACACCCCCGGGCCCCACGTCTCATTGCGGCCCCCTGGGCTATAACACAGGGCATAAGCTGACCGAGGACTGGGATGGATTTTTTAGCGAGGACGCTATGAATAATCAATCTCTCACGTAAACAGAGAGTTCAAAAATACACTCCTGCTAAGTATATACCCCCCTGTCAGAGAGGGGAAGGAAAAGGCGGCAAGCACTTGGCAGGGCGCTATTTTTTATCCCCTTTCTCATTCGCACCAAGCAGCGGAGTACTCCATCCCATACGGAAAACTCGTTCCTGGGAGGCAAGGCCATGATTTAATGGCTCAGCCGCGAGGGGACCGTATACCTGCCGTATTTCTGAAGATCTCTGGTTCGGATGGAGCCCTCAAGTCAACTCAGCCATGTCACCACTCTTTTTCGCCCGTCGATCCGTCCCGAGGAGCTGAGCAAGGCTGCATCCAACGGGTGTGGTTGACTCTGACACGGCACCCCTGGACGGGAAACAAGGGACCAGGCAGCCGTCCGCACTGAAAGGGAGGGAAAAGAGCGAGAGAGTTTGGCCATGTTATGCATGAAGTATTCGGAATATATATCTTCGCAGCCAGTTAGAGTGACATTATGGCATGTCTATGCGCCCAACCAGGGCCACTCACCAGGTCCACGACTGGATTCCCCCCTCCCCCTGCGCAGGAACAAGGCCAGGCAAATGATACTTCCCGTCCCAGGGGCAGGACACCCGCGAATCGGTGTCGAAGAAGACGATCGAGAGGCGTTATTGGGCCAAGGACACACTGCCAACGCAGGAACAGAACCTTCATCTCAGGATGCGGCCACCTCATCGCCCGTCCATATCTGGCTGCCCGCCCGGCCATGTGTCGGTCTGCGGTTGACTGCCCTGCAGCCAGCTGACCGCATCATACCATCGCACTTAACTCTGGTACCGCAAGTACTCCCACCTGCCTACCTGCTTGGACTAAGTATGGAGAGGGTGTCGCGGTTTTAATTGAACTGTGTCAGATCGGCGGTTGGGCTGTTTCACTGATGCCCGCTTCGGGACTAGCGGCGCCGGGGCGTTCTCGCTGACTAGCCGCCCGCCGCTCTTTTATCAACCATCGCAGGCCCCGGCGACGGCGTCACTTTCTCCTCTGTCTGTCCTCTTCTTCTGCTTCTTCTTCGTTTCGCCGTCTCTCTCTCTCTCTCTCTCTCTCTGTTTGCCTGGCAGCGCTGCTTGTCGTCTTCTCTAGACATCTACACTCCTTCGCGCGCCGCCTAGTCGTTCCTTTTAGTTGCCTCAGTCTCTGGCTGCCTCTGATATTGACTATCAGAACTCCGTCTTGCTGGCCGTCTCTGCTCGCTTCGATACCAGGAAGAACCCGTACATACAAATACGTCTGGAACAGTGGTCTTGCTCGACTCGCTGGAAGATAAAAGACCTGTGAATACACGCTCCTTTGTTGACATAGATATCTACATCTCGACTGGGTCGGGATCACGAATTCCCTTCTGAAAACTTCCCCGAGACCCAAGAAGAAGGAGAAAAAATAAAATACCCAAGAGAGGACTTCGATCACGATGCATACCGTTCAGTTGACCGCTTTGGCGGCCTCGATGCTCTCCATGGCTGCGCCGGCCGCTGCGTTCTGGCGTATGCCTTGCCAGGGCCGTCTGGGTCTTGCCCGCATGGACCCCATCGTCAACCCAGGAGAGCTCTCGCCTCACGCCCACGCCATCCACGGTGGTAAAAGTACGTTATTTAACTGCTGCTGCCAGCAAGAAAAGGGGGCTACAAGAGAAAAGAACGTTCTAACATGCTGTTTTAGATTTCGATTTCAAGGTTACTGGTGATCAGTTGGCTGAGTCTGACTGCACTTCGTGTGCTGTTACCCAGGACAAGTCTGCCTACTGGGTGCCTACTCTCTACTTCCTCCACGCCAACGGGACTGCTGAGCTCGCTGAGCAGCTGGGTGGTACTCTTGTGTATGTCCTCGCTCTCCACTTCACTCCCTGACACATTACCCTGAATACTAACTCGTTCTTCTAGGTACTATCTCCTGTATGGAAAGGATATCAAGGCATTCCCTCGAGGCCTTCGTATGGTTTCTGGAGATACCGGTCTCCGTGACTTCCCCTTCGTGCAGCCTGATCCTCCAAAGTCCAGTTGGACCAAGGAGGAGAAGACTCAGTCTGCTCTGGGCCAAAAAGCCATCGGCTTCAACTGTCTCAACTACGCCAGCCCTCCAGAGGCTTCCATGTACAGACACACTTTCCCCGAGCGCTCGTTCATCGACAACACCTGTGCAAACGGTCTCCGTCTTGAGATCATGTTCCCATCCTGCTGGAATGGAAAGGACCTCGACTCCAAGGACCACAAGTCCCACGTTGCCTACCCCAGCGAGATCAACGGCGGTGATTGCCCCGAGGGCTTTGGCACCCGTCTCCCCACTCTCTTCTACGAGACCATCTGGGTCACCAAGCCATTCGCCGGCATGGACGGCAAGTTCGTCATCTCCAACGGTGACCCAACTGGCGCCGGTTACCACGCTGATTTCATTGAAGGATGGGATGATGGTGTGCTACAGGAGGCTGTCGACACCTGCACCAACGACTCCGGTCTTCTCGAAGACTGCCACGTCTTCAACATCCAGGACCAGAACAAACAGAACGAGTGCAAGATGAACGTTCCCCCATCCATCATGGCCGAGGAGTATACTCTCTGCCCCAAGGGTCTGCCCGGTGGTGTCAAGGTTTCTAACGGACCTGGATACGTTAGTGGCGCAAGCCACCATGAGCCCGTCGTCAACATTCCTTCAGTCTCCATCCCAGCACCCGGCGGACCAAAGCTCAACGTCCCAACCCCCTCTCCCCCTGCTCCCCCTGCTCCTCCATCCGACCAGGCTCCTCCGGCTCCTCCAGCTCCAGAGACCACTCCAAAGCCATCTACTCCCGCAAACCCCCCAGGCACTACCACTACCTACACCAAGAACGGTACTGTATTTGAGGTTGCCATCGTCACCAAGACTGTCACCACCACTGTTCAAGCCCAAGCTACTCCAGCCAAGAGAGACACGAACCTTCTCCGTCACCACGGTGGCCATGGCCACGGCGGTCACCGTCGCCGTCATGGACACTTCTAAGCTGTCCGCTTTCCCCCAGATATGATGGCTATCTTCGGATTCTTTTCTTACATCTGCACCTTTTTTTTTTTTCCCTGACAGAGAGCTGTATTCACGAGAACCAAATTCTATCTTCGCTGTGTATCTATTTGCACTGTTGAAACATATTACTTCTTCAGCCGATAGGGGATTCCCGTCCTCTTGATTTTCCAATTTTCCCCCTTGAACGTTTCTGTCGAGATTGGCAGTCAATTTCATATGGGGGAGGCGTTGGTGCAACGACGTTACCACCCAACCAATCAGACTCTTTTGATTTCTTTTCTTTCTTTCTTTTTCTTTTTTTTTTTTTTTTTTTTTACATAACTTCGAGTACATATTTCTTCGATCCCCCCCCCTTTTCACCGTGTATATGTTCTTTGTTTCTTGTATGGTGTTGCTGTTTGCTTTGTTAGCTGGACGGAGAAAAAGAAAACCAAAGGGCGCAGTTAAGCGTGCATATCTGCTTCTTTGTATGCATTACGAAATGAATATGGCTATGGATATAAGACTCAAACATTCTTTATCTGTCCCCATCTTCGTGTACCACATTATTTATTTATGACTCAAGGTCATTGATAACAAAGAAAAAACAAAACCATTCAACTCGTCCATTAATAGACATTCCAACAATAAGCTATTCAATCAACCACCAATCAATCAAATACACTTTCCTCCATCAACAACAAAATCCCCACCATTAATAAATCTCGCCTCATCAGACCCCAGATACAAACACATGTTAGCAATGTCTTCTGCCTCCGCCAGTCTCCCCAGCGGCACATTATCAATGAACTTCTGCCGATTCTCGGGGGTATCGGGTATACCAGTGAACATCTCAAACAGGCCAGTTCCAGACAGTAGCGGGCACACATTATTCACTCTGATCCGGTGCTTGCCATACTCCGCCGCCAAACCCTTGGTGGCGTTCGACACTGCCCCCTTCGAGGCATTGTACCATACTAGCCCCGGCCGGGGCCGTTGCGCACCCGTCGAGGAGATATTTATCATCGATCCGCCATGTCCTTGCTTGATTAGGACCGGAATGAACAACTGAGAGGCGAGGAAGATGCTCTTCACGTTAACATTAAAAACCCGTTCAAATTCATCCATTGTAACTTCGGTGGATGGCTAGAGCATCGTTAATAACCCGTCATCTGTCTATTGAGGATCCAAGGGCCCTGTTGATGGAGAGGATGGGATACCTTGTTCCTGTAAGTTGTCCCCGCGTTATTCACAAGTATATCTACTTTTCCATGCTTCGACACCGCAAGGTCTAGAATCGCTTTCCAGTCCTCAGATCTAGTGACGTCCATCTTCTGGAAGGTGATGCTTAACGGGTCGCTGGAAGCTACCTTTTCGCCTCCCTCGACATTTATGTCACCTATTATCACCTTTGCGCCTTCCTGGGCATATCGGATAGCAATCGCAGCACCAAATCCAGACCCGCCGCCTGGTTTGACATTGTTAGCTATCTATGAACTGCTTGTTGCGAGTGTAGATGTGGTGAGCGCTTACCGGTCACGATGGCTACTTTATTTGCTAGCCGGGAGCCCTGTGATTGAGACATGGTTGGTTCAGCTTCGAGGTAGACAGGTATATTGACCAAGGTGAAGAGCTGGATGTACGGCTTGATGTCTTAACAGGCGACTTAAGAGCGGTCGTTCTATAGTTTGCGGGGAAAATATGCAGCTAGCCGCGGGCCGCGGGTAAACATCGGCTGTGGCGCCAGGAACACCCGCGCCTCATAATCTTTTATAACCGCCACGAACGCCCAACCCCAACCTCAACCCATCAAGATGGGTTACATTGTTTGGGACTCTCTGCTTCTCTAGAGACTTGATTTTCATGTAGGCTGCCGTGTGCGATAGCAAGTGATACTTTCAAATGAACCAATTAATCTATTCATTTGCCCAGTCGAAAGACCAAATTGGCTGTATACGGTGTTAATGGCTGGATGCCATCACTGCCTACTAAGTTAGAGAAGTCCCCTCGTCCGATCTAATCGCAATCAGTGACTTCTATGAACTCGAGGCATGTCCTCCAGTGAACCTCATTCGAGGGTCTTTCTCCCGATGGTGAAAACCGGTCGTCCCAGCAATACCCAGACAAACCGCCGTCAGTGAAAATTTACTTGGAACCTTCATAAATCAGGTATGACGAACGGGTATAGACGGTCAAGTCGTGAATATATTGTATCTGAGACAGTCGTTCGCGATGCAAGTTCGATTACTCGAGGTGATCCTTGAGTTAATACTATATATCAAACTGGGACTCGATATATACTCCGCATCTCACCCCGCGGCCCTTTTTTAAACTAAGAGATACATCAAACGACCGCTCGACGGAGAAAATACTTTCGAAAACAAGTGTTCATGGAGAATATGGAGCATTAGCCGTTTTATCCGCCTTCCGAATGGGAACAATGCTTGTCCCTGTTATGCGTTTTAGCCAAGGATGGCTATATGGCTGCTCCTGGTCTCCCTGGGGCTAGAGCATTGACCATAGCCGTGTAAGGAGAAGATGAATCTAGTTGAGACTCCCTCGTAGGCCCCGGTGTTACGAATAGGAGCTCTGAAACAGCGAGATGAGTGTTGTCCTTTCCCCGCGATCTAAAAATCTGAATATTATATATTTTTGGGTGTCATATAGAAATTAGATTACATATATGCATGCATATATTACCATATTTTCCCATCGTTGCCTTTTTTGTATATCCCCTTCTTTTGTTCTTTCAACTTTTATTTCTAGATACCCATTTTGGGATATGGAAGTAGTGAATGGATCACTTCCCTGCTCTTGAAACGAAGCTAGCGCCTCACTGCTTTACCTCCGGACTCACCAGATCCTGAGGTCGCCCTTCAACAAACTTGGAGATACGTGCACTCGGGAACCAGGATTCCTCCGGGATGACCCAGTAGGATATTAATGCAATAATCGTGACACCAGCCAGGATTATAGGAGCATCTGTGTGGAGATCAGGTATCAGATACAGTTCTCTTGAAATGGTAGGAGAGGGAAGAAAAAAGGACTTACAATTTAATGTCTGGCCAGTGACAGGGAAAACGTAAGGCGAGAATAGGATAGCGACAACCCAACCGTTCCAAAAAATTCCAATAATTTGAAACGGCTTGCTGAGGACACCTAGGCTCCATCTTGGCTTGGGGAATTTCTTCGGGGTAAGGAAGACCCGCCCAAAACAGATGAGGCCGTATGCAGCTGCAGACGGGACACCGGCGGCTGAAACTAGCGATGTGAATGCAACATTTGATGGGAGGATGGTACAGGTTACTAATGCAGCGACGCCCCAGACTACCTTGATGGCATTATAGGGTTGACCTGAAGGAGAAACACGGGAGACCCAGCTAGAAAATGGGAGTACGCCATCTCGGGCAACGGCAAAAACAAGTCTCGATGCAGCTACGATAGCAATCGTGGTATTCTGGATGACGTTAGAGCATTTCCCGTGTGGGTTGGGGATTGGTAAGGAGGGTACTCACAAACCAGTAGGTGATTACGCACACCACATTCATAATAATATGAGCTCGCTGGCCCAGCACAACAGCATACAGAGGGACAAATGGCTGAGGGGACCCGAAAGAGAACAAGGTCTTGGGGTCGGGCTATCAAACAGGACCCGGTGAGCAAGCAATTCAAAGTCAAGCAAATGAAAAGGTGGAGATCGACCGTGTATACTTACTGCGCAGAACAAGAATAGAACAATTGTACAGGCAGCACCAATTCCGCTGACTACAGTACTCCAGAAAATACCCCTGGCCGCGGTCAAAGAAGCGTTCTTGGTCTCTTCAGCAATATGGCCTGAGGCGTCAAATCCAATGAGAATTCCGGCAGTGGCAAGGTAGGAGAGACACCAATTCCAGCCAGCAGGGGCACCCGTGCCGTTATAGGTAGCTAAGAATGCTTCACTAGAAGTGCGGAAACCCCAGGTATTATGGGCACCAATTGGCAGCCAGATAACATTCATCAAAAAGTCCAAAAGAACGAATGTCGACGAAAGGTAGAAGACGTATCTGAACATCCTCGCTGCAGGATGTGTCAACTTTGAACGCAAACGAATGGTTCTCTACCAAAAGGGAATCTTACGCGGGAGAAAGTTGACTATGGCTGCAATGGCAAGCAAAGCCTCAGTGCATATCCACTGGACAGCCCTGAACTTCACATCGTCAACACTTTTGGGGAAGTCAACATCAAACACAGTTAATTCCTGTGTTTAAACCGGTTAGCTGCTGTGTTGACCACCGGGGTATCAATTGACATACGGATAGAATGTAGTTTACAGCAGATTGCGTGTTGCCTGCACAAATGAATCAGTCAACGGGGTTCCTGCAAAGATAACAAAAAAGCAACGATCTCAAGCAGGTCCGTTACGTACTGGCACAGAAGGTCGTCCATGCCGTGGTACTCCACCACGCAACGACGAATCCTAACAGTCGTCCGTACTTGGGACCGCCGGCCTCAGCGGCCCAGAGGTAGATTGAGCCGGCAGAGGGAAGAGCAGAGCAGATCTCGGCGATGACTGAGGCAGTGATCCCCGTGAAGACAGCAGTAACCAGGTAGTTTGTCCTGTCCGCCCGGTTAGCGCTATTCCATCCACTATTTCGAAGTTTCACAATATCTATTCACCGCGAAGGAGCAGCCACACACGGAGCGCAGGGCGCATAGACTCACCAATAAGCCAAGTTCCCACCGGCTGCGATGCCAGTGCTAAACGTCACTCGTACTCCGCCGACGAAGTACAGCGCAGCTAAATCGCATGTGTTAGCAATAAATAGCTACTCCTTCGGGATCTCTTCTCGAAACGCTTCCATCTTACCGAAGGTCGTTGCGAAGCTCTCCAGAAACGTGTACGTTCGGTGCAGAACCTAGACGGAAATCATATGCACGAATCAACCTCCACGAACCTCCCGGAGGCAGCGCGATGGGTCTCGCTCGATCTTGGTATGAAATCATGGGAGCAATTCATACCGGTTTGTACCCAAGTGTTTCCTATGCGTGGGCTGGTCAGTTATGCGACGATGAAACAGTGAGACGACCGAGACCCCCACACATGTCCTCGCGGGAGTACGGAAGCCCAGCAGAGGGGCCAAAGGGATCAGAAGGAGGATCAGAGATCAAACATCGGCCATACGTACCAGGAGTGCGGTGTCCGAGAGGGCGTCCTTCTCCTGGCTGCCTCCCTCGACCTCAGCTTGGCTTGTATCTGCGATGGCGGGCTTCATGCTGGTACGGCCTTCGCTATCCACCTGCGATTCGCAAAAATAAGAAAAACCCACCGCAACGTCCAATCGGTGGAAGGCGATATATATAGAAGCGAGCAGAACTGGAATACGCTGTATCAAGCTATATATATGTGGATTTGATACCTAAAGGGCGTGTCTATATAGGTCCCGACGGCCACACCATGCATCTGCGCACAGAAGATATTCAAGCAGCAACCCATGCAAAAAGGCAAAAAGGACGAAGCAAATAAAGCGCTTCAGCGAGCTTCCTGGGCGAACAAACTACCGGACAGTGCGCTAAGCTAGCTTGCTAGCCGGCCGTTGGCTCGTTTGTTAGTAAGAAGAGCAGGGCAAAGCTGATAATAAGTTTGCCGGCGCTGAAAAACTTTGACTGGCGGATCCGCCTCGGATGCGGCCGTCGTTGGGTAAAAGAAGGTCAGCCCTTTTGAAGTTATTTTTACCTTTCGAAGGGCCCAATGACGAATGCCATGATGGCAGCGTGGAGAAAGCATCCTCGGTTGCCGCGTTACAAGGGGGGATGGGTGGACGGAGGAGTATCAAGCTTGCGTTGACTGACGTAGCGTCAAGGCGATCTTATTAGTAGAACTAGCTATTTTCTGGTGGATTATGTCGAATAATGCCGGTAAATGGATAGCAGGTATTCAGCAGCTGTATGTGCATCATGTGCAAAGGAAACGAGGTAATGACTGTAGAGAAGGAGAACAAAGCACTGCAGTGTATAGTGTGTATCCGAAGAACCCAACATAGGAAAACGAACGAAGCGATGAGAAGGATAGAAGAGAAAAAAGAAACAAAGCAGCCAGGCAAGGATATGCTATCAAAACAAAATGGCGAAAAAGATAGGAAAAAGGCATTAGCAGGTCATTAGGGATGGGATAGTAAAAGAGAGAGAAAGGGGCAAAGCAAAGACGAGACGAAAACGACAAAATCCCACCCACGACCAGAATTCCCGATCCTATTTTTTATGTTCTCCCGGTAGAGATGAGATGCAAAGAAAAGTAGACAAGTAGGGGGTATATGTGTGTAGAAGGATAGAAAATGAGACAACACAAAACAACAATTAAGTAGCTGTGTACTGAAATAATCGTGAATTTTAAGAGGTCGTTGGCAAGGCCAAGGACTTCTTCTTGAGGATGGAGCCGAGCTTGTTTCCCGCAATAGACATGCTCTCGCTGGTACCCTGGAACCATTTGCTCTTCGATCGAACATGCGTGTTGGTGCTGTTGCTGTTGTTGTTGCTACTAGTGCTGCTGGACCGGCCGGTGCTGATGCTTGCCTTCGAGGTAGTCGAGTAGCGCTTGGATTTTCGTCCGAGGCTGCTGTTGGAGAACTTGCTCTGGTAGGGCCCGCCCATGGTGTCTTCGTCAATCGTGTCTTGTGCACTTGTAAGCATGCTGAGGTTTGTGGTTGACATTGTTCGGAGGAACTTGTTGTAGCGGGATGATGGAACGCTCGGTCGGTCGGACATGGTACTGCCACAGTCCGATGGACGACGATCACTGTCGGGAATAGTAGTAGTAGTAGTTGGTCGAAGGTTAGATGTGCCTGAAGGCGTTGGCGAGGTCGTTCGGTTTTGGTACTTCTGTGCAATAGCCTTGAGGGAGGCGCTATCAAAGGCTGGAAGGCTGAATTTGCTAGCATTGCTGGCAATGCTGCTGATGGAGCGGGTGCGGGCTCGATTGCGAGGAACAGGTAGTTGCTCTAGTGAATTATTAGGGGGCGGGACCTGCAAGGTCTTTGTTTTGCGTAGTCCCAGAGTCGGTGCTGGTTCGGGGGTTGAAGAAACAGGCAATTTTTGCGACGCTGGAGGGTGACTATTACTAGATTGTGCGGAATTATTATATTCGGGAGACGTTGGAGGTGAGGCAGGTGTCCATGCCACTCTATTAAAGGACGGTAATTTCTCCGTTGCTCGTCGTCGATGGCCCTGGACCTGTGTTTGTTCGGGTTCGTTTTGTGTATTAATATTATTATTACTTCTCTGTGATAGTGGTGCTTCAGTATCGGTTGGTGGAGGGGTCTGCTGTTCAGACGCGTTTCGATCCCGTCTTCCGCTGCGTAGCTGATTGGGGATGAGAGAGCGTCGTCGACCGTCAGAGGCCTTCTTTGGTTTCTTGGTCTCGGTGAAGAACTTTGCAGAATCAGGAGGTGAGGTTGTAGACATGGGAGAGGTGTTAGTGCTTGCATTCATAGCAGCAACTGGTGGTATAGGAGTAGGCTCAGTAGAGATGTACGCTGAACCCCGTCGTGAATCGCTCTTCTTGACCTTTAAATGCTGAAGACTCCTCTTGATGCTGCTGCTGGTGCTAGAATTCCGCTTGAGGCCCGCATCTGGCCGCTCCAGAGAGGCCGGGCCGCTCTGCTTCTTCTGCTTCTTCTGTGCCCGGGGAATCTGTTCTTCCATCTGCCGTTGGGTCTGGGTTTGAGATGAGCGGCCTGACCGTGATGGCGGAGGGGAGATGGAGACCAAGCTGGGCCTACCCTTAGGCAGATGATATGTTACCGGAGTAGCAACGAAGAAGGACTCGTGAATTGGCCCTCCGTCCTGGATGTCGACGTCCGTATCATCACCCAAGTCACTGTCATTGAAGACATCAGCATCGTATTCCGAGGCATGGTCGGAGTAGACGGGATCCTCGAATTCCTCCTGTTCGAATATCATGGTTGCCGGTCTCTCTGTTCGGTTTCGTGGTGTTGCGGATGGACTTCTTGACCTGCTGGCGTTTCTCTGTTGTTCATGCTGCTGCAATTGTTCAGGGGAAGTCTGCAACGGTGGCAGAAGTGTCAACCCACTTATACGCCTGACAGTGTAGAGCGACGAACGGTTGGGAACATCTGTTGTCCCCTGTCGTCCATGTTGCATTTTCCGTTGCTCTTCGGATAGAGGCATAGTCAACTCGAAACCTCTTTCAGCGTGATCTGTCGTCCCACGGCTGCCTATCACAATATCACAGTCTGCATTTGGGGGTGAGAACAACCGATCTTCACGGGTAACGGGTATATCTAGTTCTGATTCTGCTTCCTCGTCGGATTCGTACCTGGTCTGCGGTATGGGGTGAATAATATGCAGTGATGAAGGCACAGCCGGGATGCTTCCACCCAGCTTCTCGTTAGATATAAGTGAGTGAACTGACGCGGTGGCCATGACGAAAGGAATGTCGGGCGATAGAGGGGGGGTGGAAGCCAGTGGGACCGCAGCCACGCAGGGCCTTCCCTGTCCCTAGTTTATGGAGCCGTAGAAGGTCTTGTGGAAGATAGAAAAAAAAAAGTAAAAAGGGAAATAAAAAGAAAAGATGAAGAGTCCGCCGGTCTTGTTCTCTTCTGTTTCTTCTCTTGTGCCCTCCTGTTTATATCGCCAACCCCTGGAGGTAGATTGGTGAGCTTAAAATGGAGCAAAGAGGGCAAACACGTCAGGAGTCCGAGGAGGTCCTTTGGTCCGAGCAAGGATAAAACGAGCGTTGATGGAGCAGCCGCGGGTGAAGGAGAGTAAGAGAGGACAGCCTAGCTTCTATATGGAAGATAAAATATGAACGAGAGTTGATGGTGGAAAAGTGAGAGAGAGATGGCGAGGAAGGGGGTGAGACGCCGGCACCGTCTTCACGCACACTTTCCCAGCGGCAGCATCGGGATGAAGCGAGAGTAAGTAGCAGTCAAGAGTGCGCGAGTGTGTCAAGCTGGCCCATAAGTAAGATTAAGAGTCAGCGAAAGGGTAAAATTGGTTTGAAACATGCGTTATATCAAGAAGTCGTGTCGACAGGGGACTTCTCCGGGCTTGCTCCTTTTTTGGCTCACAGGAATGATCGACGGACGGAAAGTATACTCTCTCTCTCTCTCTCTCGTCTCTTGCTCTCTCGATCGCTGGAGCATATATTATTATCTATCTGCTTTTCGGGAGATACCTTGGTGTTGCTCCGTTGGTGGGTAGCTATACTGAAGGACGGAGTACCCGCACTAGCCGTATGTAAAATATGGTTGATTGATTGCAGGAGACGTCCTCCATATATCGACACTACTCTTGCTGCTGGGTGGTGACCAAATTGAAGAGGATAAAGTAGCTTTAGCTCCAGGGGCAGGGACTGGACCCAAAAGAAAGGGTCATAACGCATGTATATAGTGATGGACCAGCTTATCAGCTCAAGGTCTCCCCAAGGGGGAGAAAACTGCATCCGCTTCCGCCCTCTTCCATCTCTGCATTGCATGCACACTCCATGGCGGGGATTTGGACGAGTGGGGATCCCAGAGGTCCAGCGCAATTTTATATACCCGCGAACAAGACCAAGTTGCATGCATGCACTTTGATGCAAATGCAAGCGCACAGCCCTTGTCTAGTTTGATAGATGAACTCCCCTGACTGGGCGACTTACTCGTCCAGGACGCGATGATTGGACCACGGCCGCCCCTGGGGCAGAGAAAGCAAAGGAGGATCAAATTAGTTAGAGTTGGCTCGAAAAGGCACAGAAGATGGGTGGGAAAAACGCCACTGAATGGTGTACTCCGTAATCAGAGAGGATTCGGATTGCTGGTTGGCTGGCTGAAGGTGGCCCGGTGTACTATGCTCTGCGTTTAGTTTACTCTATCATCGACGGAGGAGTCACGCGGGACATCGAGACAAGAAAAGAGAAATTGAGCGTTTGCCATCTTGCAAGCGAGCTTCCCTTTCTCTCCTCAATCGGGCTGGCGAAACGTGCAAAACGTGCGAGGCGAATACGGGCAGCGAGAGGTCATCTCACCACTTAGTTCGCCGGTTAGATGACTGGTTAGGCCCGCTCTTTGCCTGTTTGGCTTTGGGATACCTGCGGGAGACTCCCGTATATGCTTATTCTGCAGACAGGCCTGTCCAGGTACAGCCGATGTCCCTGAGAGACACAGCAGCGCACACACCCCCACAGAGAACGAGACAGCAGCAAGAGCTGTTTGGTCAGACATGCCCCTGGCGCCGATGAGACAAGCCGATTCCCTGCATGTTGCACTGGAACAAGGTCATCGTTCTTCGAGAAGCCTTTCTCCGGCTTGGCTGGTGTGGCTCTTCGTACATAGAAGTAGGAAAACGGGTTCTCACTTGATAATGGGGAACTGGAGACCTGAATTAACTTGTCGAAGCAGAAGACGTGAAGTTAACTAGCTAGCTGTCCGTCATGTCCTGCCAGGCCAATTTGATACTTCCGAGATGACTGTCTAAGCCGTGGCTGCATGGCATTGCTGGCTTCACTGGTGCTCGACAAGGTGTCTTCTCGCTGTCTTGCCACGTTATCGTCATCCTGCTTTCTTTTTCTCTCTTCTGCCGAGCATAAAGTCCTTTTTTCTTTGCAGTTGATAATTGACTGATAGTGTTGTGTATGCATGCGGTAGTTCCCCGTACTATCCCATCGATCAACGCCATCTCTGCTGAGGGCGCCAAAACTCGGTGAAGCCTCGCTGCTCGGGTCAATCAATGAATGAGCAGCGACTAGATTAATAGTTCTGAGTTAGCAATCTATATAAATAAGTACTATACAGATTAAATCCGCTGTATGCTTAACTTTGGCCATCCCCTGGCTGTTGCACGCTTATCTGCTTTCTGATATTATATACGCCCGCTACTCGCTAGCCGGCCAGCCCGTTCTGTCTCTGTCTAGAGTCCGCTGGGCACGTCTCGCCGTCCTCCGTATCTGAGACCAGAGGCTGGGCTATCTGGACTGTCTGGACCGGCTTGACTCTGGAGCTGGGTCGGAAGCTCCTGTTGGTGGTGGTGACAGGAGACGCGGTCGTCTTACTACGTACTGGGCCGGCACAACCCCGTCTATATAACCCGTCAGGTAAGCGGCAGACATGAGCACTGCAAAACGTAAGTCATCCGGAAAGTAAAGCGATCCCTGAGCGTGCAGAAGAGGGACGACGCTTATAAAATCTCCTTGACTGGGGAGCTTCTGGGCTGACCGGTTAAATTACCGAAGTGAGTCAGGGTTCTGTGAGGCCGTTGCAAGTGAAGTGGTGGCTTGGACTCATGTATAATGGCCGTGGTATCGGCTAGGAGACGGGCCCGGCTATGGCTTGGTGTGCTATCCTATATCAATGTTGTACGGAGTAAAGGGAGTGAACGTATGGGAGGGAATAGAATAGAATAGGGGGAAGTGATACATATATAAAAACAAAAACAACGTCCGACTCGCTGATATTGATACAATCCAAACCAATTCACCATCACCTACCGCTACATAAATACACATAGACAAACTGAACAGGAAGAGAGAAAAAAACCCCCCGAGCTATGAATTTTTTTTTTTGTTTTTACGGTTTCCACTGTCATTATACCCAAAAGAAATAAAAGAATAAACCGCAATAGAATTGAAGTGAGGAAGACGAAAAAAGGTGAAGAAGGGGGTCAATCAAATAAAAGGTGTAATGCAAATGCAAGTACTAGAAAAGAAAGAAAAAGGAGTTTATTAGTATGTAGTAAGTAATGGTAGCAAGCATGGGGTAGAAAGAAGAGGACGGGAGATGAGATGGGATTAGAGGAAGAAAAGGGATGACGAATGGAGGAAAAGGCAATATTATATCCTATCCATTTGTTCTTTCACTTTTCTTCCTTCTTTCTTCCATTTAGGTTTCATTTGCTTCTCCCTTTCTATGTTGTATATGTATGTCGTAGGGGTTTTTTTCCAATGTGTGTCTTTTTTTGTCATGCAGGTGTTTCTTCGCGGTGAAGTGAGAATTAGTAGGTAAGGGAGTGTAGGTGTGTATTGGATGCAAAAAAGATGCATCCCTCGTATATAAAAAGCCATCTCAATCATATCAGGCATCCGTACCCAACCAAACCGTTTGCGTCCGTCTGCATCAGCCAAAGCTGGAGGAGGGTATGACTCCGGTCCAACAACTTCATGTTCCCATTCGTACAGTCTCCAAGTATATTATTATACACGTTCATTGTAAACGTATTCAAACGTAATTATCGCAAGAAAAACGTCAGAGAAGCCACCTAGTTCAGTCAAGTCGGTCGACAGTGGCCATTGTGGTGACCCTCTATGCCTTTCTTGACCTGGTGACAGGTCCGTTGGCTCGGGCAGTGGTGGTAGCATTACCGTTAGAAGCACTTCCGTTGGTGGAGCCGTTGGAGACGGCTGGAGCAGAATGACCGCCAACATGAGGAATTTCCATGTTCTTCATGGCAAGAGCAGCTTGCGATCCAGTGTTGCGGCGTGGGCGGCCGGACTTGGCTCCCTTCTTGTAGGTGGCGAGGTAGAAGGAGATGAAGAGAAGGAGGTATGAGGAGAGGATGATGAGACCCGCAAATGCAGCGAATTCTTCACCTGCGCACTTTCCTGCATTGGGCAACCAGGGCCAGTAGGTCGAGGTAAAGTAGGTGTATGAGGCAAAGTAAACAAATCCTATGCATCTGTTAGACTAATCACAACAAGGACAGAAATACAGACAAAGAGTTAAAAGGCATAAACAAAAAGCCTTACCTAGGTCAATAACAAACTGTGCGATCTGCAGACGGGTGATCCATTCTTTCCACCAGATACGGATTCCACGGGCGCTCTGGAAGTAGTACCAGTACATGACGACATGGACGACCAGGTTGAGGGTGATGGGCACCCAGGAGACAGCGGTGGAGCCGATAAGCTGGGTGTAGCAGAGTAGAGCAGTAGCGCCATGGTGGTAGGTATGAAGGAAGGTAAGTGGCTTCTTCTTAAGGACCAGGAAGACGGTGTCAAGCAATTCAAGATACTTGGTGAGGTAGGTCAACTATACCTGACAGTTAGCAATCTCAGAACCGAACGAATGGAGAGCAAAAAACAAACTTGACAGGGGGGCTGCTAAAAGACGACAGGGGTGGGCACTCACGTAGTAGAGGAGAACCAAGGGCTTAGTCCAACCACCTTCGTAGTGGCAGATGGCATGGAAAGTACCCTTCCGGACCAAGGTGGGCAGCAATTGTTCGATGTAGAGAACCAGTAGGAGGAAGCTGACCACTGTCAAGATGAAGTTGTGTACCATGAACAGACCGTTCAGCTTCATGGCCGGACGGCTCCGCATGAGCTCACGGCCACCAAAGATGATGACATAGTAGGATATTAGGGCGATTGTGGTAGCCTTGAGGGTCGACATGGGCGTCTCGTTGATGACGAACCGGAAATCATCTGCCGAGTAGCCCATGATGGAAGTGTAGACGGAGTCGAAGATAGGCCATAGCCTCACGCCAAACGGCTGATCTATCGAGGGGGTGGAGAAGGAGAGAGGAATGTTGGAGAGCAGGTTGGCCGACATCTTTTCAAATCTTTTTCTTTCTTTTCTATCAATAAAACTGGAGCGAGTATTTTGGAGATCTATGAGGTCGTATCTCGTGTCTGTAGGTGTCTCTATAATAAGGGAGCGGTATCGAACGGCGCAAGGCGGAACGGCGAGGAATGACACCCGGAACGAAGGGAGAGAGCTGGTCTGAGTCTGCCAGCAAGGAGAGCGGACACGGTCAAGACGCGAGGGTATGTCAATGGCCACCGAGATAGGTGTTGTTTTGTGGTGGGAATAGGGGCTTGTTTTGGGTTTTCCCGGACGAGGTTTCGTAGGGTTAGAAATGTGACGGCCAAAAAGAAAAGGATAAGGAGATTAAAAAGGGTAGAGAGCAAGCATTACGAGAGAGAAAAAGAAGTAGAAGAGAAAGAAAAGGAAAAAGAAGAGAAGAGACCAAATGGCAACAGGCGAGAAGAAGAGTGAAGGAAAGAAGAAGCCAGCAGGACGAAAAGTTGGAGGTTTTTTTTTTTTTTTTTTCCTCTTGGGGGGCGTTGAAGATATTGGCTTAGTCAGCTGCGGCTGCTTCCGAGGTACAACGCTGATTGGTTGGGCGGAATAGGGGTAAACAAAGCAGCAGCAGAAGAGGCAGACGAGAGGCGAGATATAGAGAGACGGCGGAAGGTAAGGGTGAGTGGGCGGTAGAGTGAGTACTCCGTATGGCCAGTGTAGATGAGATGGAGATGCGCTCCGTACGGGGAGTTATGGTGTGTAGGATGGAGCAGTAGATCGCTAACCCTGGGGATGGGGAACAGGCACATGAAACCAAGTTCTAGATGGTGTGCTAGTTCTATCAGAGGCGGTTCTTCTCTCCCACGTCCTGCCGCCGACAGCAGCTCACTAACTACTCTCCTCCTGCTGTCCTTTTACTTCTCTATTTCTCTTGTTTATCTCTCTTTTCCTCGCCTCCTTCCCCTTGCCTAGCTATGCCTTCTAGTCATATTAAACTAGGCCCTCCCCCATCACCCAGTCAGGGCTGTTGGTTTAGTGGTATAATACCCCCTTAGCATGGGGGTGGTCCAGGGTTCGATTCCCTGACAGTCCAACTTTTTTACTTGATTTTTTTGTCCTATGATCTATTAATTTAAGTATCTATTTTCACAAATCCTCTTCTTTTGTCTTTTCATTACCTGTTTCGCTTGTTTCATCCTGTAAGTGTCGCCGAAATAATAATAATAGCTTGCTGTTGTCTCGGGTGGTGTGACGGTCCCGTGACCCGCACCAAGAAACATCCAAACCAGCCAGAAAATCTTCCTTTCTTCAACGTCACAGCAAACAACAACCACTCTTCGACCGCTGCCACCGTGAGCTTCTGCCCTTCGCTCGCCCTCAATTAAGCTTCTCCCTTCTAATAAACGCTGCTACAGCTCTCCCTCCGCTTCCGAGCGTCGAATGACCCTTTGTCCGTCCGCAATGGCTTCAACAACCCTCTTCCGCCTCGCTACGCGCTCTCCGGCCACCTCTTTCTTCAAGGCCGCTCCATACGCCGCTCGTGCCAGAGTATCCGCTGCTGTCCCTACCCCCGTCCTCAGAGCCAGCGCATTCAGTACCACCCCCATGCGATTCAGCGGTGCTCACGAGGAGGAGACCTTTGAGCAGTTCTCTGCCCGGTTCGTCAGCGCTAGTCGATTTCTCAAAATTGAACCCTCGAGAAAGAGCCATTGCACCTTCAATGAAACAGAAATGCTGATTGAAAATATAATATGGTAGATATGAGAAGGAATTCGACAGTGTACAGGACGTTTTCGAGCTGCAGGTTAGATGACCTTCATTAGCAGTTTTTATTTTTGCCTTCCACCAGACGACTCATATGGTTTATATTAACAGAGAAACCTTAACAACGCTTTTGCTTACGATCTCGTTCCATCCGTTGCCGTCATGACTGCTGCCCTCAAGGCTGCCAGAAGAGTCAACGACTTCCCCACCGCTGTCCGTGTTTTCGAGGGTACGTCTCTCTAGCCTGGCTAGACTTTACTCTTCATTTTAATATTGGTTTATATCCCCTAACTTCCTGTCTTGCTTGTACCAGGCATCCGATCAAAGGTTGAGAACCGATCTCAGTACGAGGTGTACCTGGAAGAACTCAAGGATCTAAGAGAGGAGCTCGGTATTGTTCTCCAGGAAGACCTATACCCAGAGGAGTCCAAGTAGGCTCGCCTTCCACGGCCTGCTTCCCCTCTTCTTTTTTGTATCTGAATAACTACTACTCTTGTTGTAACATGTCACCATATAGATAAAACAATTATTACTTGTTTCCTGTCTATACACACTCTCTTTCTCTATTCCGCTCCCTCCATCCGCCCCTCTCATCAATTATCATGTCACAATGTATATTCTTGGATATATAAAGTGTCACTTCTATCATCACTTCCGATGTTCAATTATATATAATTCTCAATATTTAGAACAACTAATCAAATGTGTGTTTAGCCGGCTAAATACAGCTATTTACTCTATTCCGTATGTATTATTTTTATTCTACGCATCCAACGACTGATGAATCACATTCGCTCTATAACTCTCGCATCTCTCCACGAGTTCCGCATGCGTTCCTTGATCAATACACTTTCCTCCCTCAATCATAAAAATCCTGTCAGCTCGGTGGATTGTGTTCAACCGATGCGCAATGGCAACTATAGTAGTCTTTCGAGCCACCTTCGCCAGCGCGTCTTGAACATGCTTCTCGCTCTCAACGTCAAGAGCACTCGTTGACTCATCCAACAGTAACAATCTAGGCTTCCTGACGAGCGCACGGGCAATACTCAACCGCTGCCTCTGGCCACCACTGAACTGTTTCCCATCTTGGCTGCAGACAGTATTATATCCGTCAGGCAAGGCGGCAATGGTATCGTGTATGTTGGCCAGACGACATGCTTCTTCGATTTCTTCCTGTGTGGCTTCAACGTCGGGGCGGGCTCCTAGCCCAATATTAAATGCCACTGTTCCTTCAAACATGACGTTCTCTTGTGGTACGAGGGCAATGGTGTCTCGGAAGGCCGCACCAGATTGCTTGGTGATGTCTACCCCGTCAATGATGATAGATCCAGAGGCTGGGTTGTAAAACTTCTCTAGAACGGCAAAAGTAGTTGATTTTCCTGAACCAGAGGGACCGACTAAGGCGCAAAACTGACCGGGGGAAATGTTGATGGATAAATCATCTAGGGCTGGTTGGTTGGGTCGAGACGGGTATCGGAAGTGGACATTGCGGAATTGGATGCCCATGCCCTTTGTGGGGAAGGATGAAGGCGTAGTCGTAATTAACTGCGCCTCAACATCCCTGGGCTTGTCCTCGAGCATGTTAAACCTTGGATCGGTGTGTTTGGCACTTGCTTTCGAACCAGCCTTGTCGTACTCCTCATCTCCCTCATGCCTGATGGATAGGAGGTCAACGATATTTGACGCCGCAATGCGAGCTTTGGATATATCCGGAACCAGAGCAAACATCTGCCCGCACGACTGGGTGCTGAATAGGAGAGCGGGCAGGACGATGAAGAATTGGACCTGCGTGTACATGCCTGCGAGAATCTGCTGTGACCCCCACCAGTATGCTAATGCGTATACCAGCGTGCTGATACTGTAAGCCAACGAGAGCCAGAAGTTTCCGTGCAAGACAGACTTCATGTTCGACTTATATGGAGCTCTCAGAGATCGGTTGAAGACGCTATAGGCTTCTTGCTCTAGAGAAAATGCTGCAATTGACTTGATATTGTCGACTGTCTCGACTGTGATCGCCGTCGCCTTCGCATACGCCTTTTGATGCTTCTTTTGATATTGAGCCATTACACGTAAACGAAGGACTCCAGATGCCAACAAGACGGGTAAGGTAGCCAGAAGGACCACGGCTATCTTCCATGCGATGACGTGAGACAGAATAACACCCGCAAAGAGATTCGCAACGGTGGAAAAAAGAACACCGATGGTTGTACCTGTCAAGCTGCTAAGAGCTGAAGCATCGCTTGTAACTAGGGCAACTAGTAACCCAGGCGTTCGTCCATCTGCATTATGCCATTCTAGCGGTTGACGGAGCAGTGAACGAAGCGAGAGGACTCGTGTACGATATAGAGTCTTTTCAGCAGCCCAGCCAAATGCAGCTCCATTCACAATCACAGCAGCAAATTTCACAATTGCAAGGATGAAAAATAGGAGACCAAAAAGCATACCGCTGGATCGAATGCTTGGGCCACCTCGGCAGACGCTCAGACTGCCTACCGTGTGACCAAAAATGACCGCTTCACCTGTATAACTAACACCAATCATAATAGAGGTAATCAGTCCAAGTAAGATGAGGAGGAGATTAGGTCGGATGAGTGGGAATGACCCTCGCATCGTAGCCCAGAGAGTCTGTTTTGGCTTCTCCTTTATCTCTTCGGGTTCAGTTGGTAGGTTGTCCGCTTCTTCCGACATATATAACTGAGCAGGTTCCTCCTTCTCGTCTAGTACACCTTGCTCAAGGGACAATTTTTCTTCCTTGTTTAAAAGGGTATCAGTGGTGAGAGATCGGTCAATGTTCGCATCAACCTGGGTAGACTCGGTCATAATAGAGCTAGAAGAACTGAATTTTCCTATATTCTGCAGCCTTACCATACCAGCGTATACACCGTCGCGAGCTACAAGGTCCATGTGCGTGCCCTGTTCCATGACTCTGCCTTTCTGCATAACAATAATGTTATCAGCATCCTTAGCAGTAGCCAGCCGATGTGCAATTGAAACAGTCGTAACATTCTCAGACACTTTGTTCAACGCTGCTTGTATCAACCTCTCGCTAGTAGAGTCAAGAGCAGCCGTGGCTTCATCCAACAGCAACACGGGAGGATCACGGATAAGAGCTCGGGCTAGTGCAATGCGTTGCTTTTGGCCACCGCTAAGCTCTGCACCAGAACTTCCTACCCTCGTTGCTAAGCCGTCCGGCAATGCATTGATGAAATCAATTGCATTTGACAAGGTAGCTGCATGGCGTGTGAGGTTGACAATCTCTCGAACCACATCTCCCTGCTCTGTCACAGCTTCGTCTTCACTTGCACCTTGACGAATCTTCTCAGTAAGGTCGGAAAGGCTCGGGCCTAACAATGTAGGAAGAAGGTGCTTGTGTTTCTCTTGTGATGAGCTAACAAGGCCGTGTGCGATGTTCTCCAATATAGATCGATCAAGAAGGTTTGGTTCCTGCTGAACTAGACCGATGCTTCCACGTAAATGCCGAACGTTGATTTCTTTTAGGTCCCGGTTGCCAACACGGACGCAGCCAGTAATTGGATCATAAAGGCGCTCCAGTAGGGCTACAACGGTGGACTTCCCGCTTCCTGATGTTCCAACGATAGCAGTGTGCTTATTCGGAGGGATCTTGAAGCTTACGCCTTGCAACACTGGAACTTCAGGGCGAGCCGGGTAGTTGAACGTAACGTCTCGAAGCTCAATTTCCTCTGAGGCCAAAGATATAGTTGAGTCACCCTCAGAAGAAGTGCCGTCGATGGCAGATTGGCGTTTGATTGTGGTCATAAGTCTATCACCTGCAGATGCTGCCGAAGCAAAAATATGCATGAAAGGAGCCATCTGACTTAAAACAAAGGAGGCTATAGAAACTATTAGATAAATCGTTCCTGCAAGTGGGCGGGGATACTAACCATCTAGTAAAACGAATATCACTGTGTAAACAGCACCGACGGAGACCTTAGAAGGCTTGCCCTCTGCAAGATCAGCAATCATTCTACTACCTTGCCAAAAAGCAAGCGCATTCGACGCATATGCTACGAAATAAAGCATTCCAAACTGTATGGAATGGGTAATGGCCTTCTTCAACGCATCCATCCTTGCACTGACGAGATGTTGGGCGAATAAGCCTTCCAGCCTGGCATTCGCATTGAAGGCATGGACGATGCTCATATGCGACAGACTGGACGAGACAATTGACGTGGCGGCATTCATATGGGTTGAAATCCTGCCAGAGTATTTCTTTATATAATGTCCTCCGCCAAAAGCCATTAGAAAGTAGATTGGTACAACCGACATAAGCATGGCCGCGATTGTAGCAACTTTGAGAAATGCTACGATATACGCAGCAACAAAGTATGAAATAGTACCAATGAACAGGCCTACTTTCTCCGACGTCCCAGCCTGGATCACTTCGATATCACTGACCAGCCGAGAGGTGACATCGCCCGAAGGCAGCGTGTCCGTAAAGGCAATCTCCTGTCTCAAAAGACTATGGAAGTATTTGGTTCGTAGGCGTCGCACCAGGCGTTCGCCAACCATGCTCCAGCATCCAGTATGGATGTACATGCACACAAAATTTAGGATCGAGACGTAGATGACTTGTAGCACCTTTGTGGTTATAGCGGCCTGGTAGCCACCTGGTGGAGCTTGAGTAGTCGAGCATGTCGATGAGTTCAGGTCGTCGACTAATTCACCGAAGAGGATACCGAGCAGAGGGAATGGAATACCAGCGCCTATTCCAGCAATGGTCCCAATAACGATAAGTGCGATATCAGTTTTCCCGGGCTGTGTCCCAAACAGAAGACGAAAGTATCCAAACGTCGGGGTTATAGTGTTTTCCCGGGAGAAGAACTTCTGTGTCTTCGTCCACCACTTCAGGTAAATGTTAGGGAAGGAGTATATAGACTATGGGTGATTGGGACAACCATACCTCTGGCTGACTCTGCTGTGATGACGGGCCTAGGATGCCAGTATTTGTCATGGCTGCCCCCGTAGGGGAATTCTTCTCTTCCACAGCCATTTAGAAAGATGGAGAGAGCGAGGCTTATACAGGTGCTACACTATTCTCATCAATCACAAATGGTCCGGGTTCCCCGAAGGATTGTAGGTACAACGAAGTGATGGGAAGAAAGTAGGTGGAGGATATATTTCAACCGAGTCCACGTAGTCCATCAGGGCTTCGGAGGTGAGATGATTTGGCACTGAGTCGATGACATGTATACAGTCATATCCCACTAGGAAAAAGCCTACGAAAATAAAGAGCTGAGAATGTCTCCTCGCATTCGGGTGGAGAAATTTGGACGAATACATGTTGGCGGTCTCTCTAACAGGGTTTCCAGGCACATTCTCGGGGTGAGGAACCCTTTTCTTTGGGAACGGATAGGTGACATAGCGGGACCAATGCGGACGAAGACTCTCTTTGGGCGTTTTTCTTTTTCTTTTTCTTATCAGATGGGACGGAGAGGCCAAGGGATTACGAGGGCATGGCAGGCCCTGTCACTGGACGGGGTCAATACCTCCATGAGACAACCCAGACCGCGTCAGGCGAAGAGGGAAAAACGAGAGAAAAGCCTTTAGACAAGGGGTCACATCCCGCTGCGAAGATCTAGGACAGGGCACTGAAACAATTGTCATCCATTGTACCCCTCATATCGTCGTAGACGGCAAGATATTAAAGGAGCGTTGTAGCGCTCTGTGCAAGCACAACACGAGAATAGGGGGTACCACATGGAGCATACGGAGCGGCACATTACAAGGAAAGCATCGGCATGTCAAACAAACGGAGCTGCTGGAGAACAAAAGAAAAGAAAGAGATAAGATGGGATGGACCCACTTAATTCCATCTGATAACTTTGTCTTGACTTTTTCCCACAAAAACAAGGGAGGCCAATGCTGTCGAATTTGTGGTGAGACGAGACCTGTGATATGACGGAGATTGACTCCGTGTTGCCAGTAGAGAGGCCATGTTAGATGTGGTTTAGCATGCGTTATTGGCCTCTTAGCCACCTACCCACCGCGCCTGACACGGCTCCACGCTGTCAAGCTTGGTGATTGCTGCAGCAAGGCAAGAGACAAGAAACGAATGGCGTTATCATCCCAGCGCGAGTGATCCTCGAACAGCTCGACTGTGGGCTTTGCTGTGGGTATCGGGGTATGTGGTGCCCACGGAGAGCGAACGCCCAGGGGCTCGCTTAGCTTCCGTAACAGCCATTTTATCAGATGGACAAGGACGGAACAAACGGCTTCGCCGTCGTCGTATCAAAAATTCAATTTGCAGCGCAAAACCCAATAAGAAGCATGAAAAGGCCGCACTGGTAAGGTTTGCTGACTAAGTTGGGAGCTCTAGGGCGGTCTGTGATTGGCTGGGATTACCGCTTGTCTCATGCACCCTGTAGCTTTTATGTCTTATGTAAGCTGTCAAAGCCACACCCATCCCCCCCCCCCCCCCAGGCCCATGCAATAACACAGTCCATTATTATGACATGATGAGAATTTTTTCTTTCCTTCTGATCACTGCCTAGCTCGCCGGTTGCATCATACGTTGCTCGTATTCCAGGGCTCTGGTGACGAGGAAGCACAACGGATATATTATGCTTGGGCCTTCCGTGCCACCTCGAGAATCTACTTCTCTCTCCCCTCCCCTCGATAGGAAAAGAAGAAGGACGCAATACTCTTGCTCCAGGGACTGCGCATACTCAATTGTCTCGGGATCAGTCATGTCGGACTTCTCATTGCTCTCCCAGGAGCGTGCTCCTATTATTCGGATTCCTGAACCCCAGAATGCTACTTATGAAATTGCTGAGTCGACTGCTGGCAGCAAGCCAAAGTCCCTCAGGGTTCAGCTGTGTGGCGGGACGGGCACAGAGTCGACGCCTCAGAAAGTAACACTCCACCATTCCTGCCTCACGTTCACAGATCTGTCATTGGAAGACGCCTCGAGGGTTCCTCCAGACAATAACAATTCAGCCTGGGCTCGGGCGAAAAGGAGTCCGTGGTCTAACATGTCGTGGGAAGGAAATGATACTCCCACAGTCGGACAGATATGGATTGTCGTCTATGCCATTCTCACGGTCCATCCTGAACTTGAGGTGTTTAGAATCACATTAAATGGGACCGGAAGTGATATTCTAGCTCGTCAGCTTGAGGCTGTTGGGCTTGTCGTTGTTCACCCTGGGCCCAGCGCACCGCCAGGCCAGCCTGTCCCAGCGTCAGACGATCATATTGGCCAACTAGTTGTCCTTCGCCGGTCTTTCTGGCAAGGCGCTGGCTCCCCCTTTGGGCCCAGGCCGATCTGGGTTGCTGGAACGGATAGTCGAGATATCTCCCCATCGTTTGAGTCTGCTTTCCCTCCAAGAGCATTGGACTACTCTTTAACCACCAAATTCCCCGCGTCACGCATTCATACTACCCACCCAATCCGACCTGCTAAACCAACTCCAGGCTCGACTATTTACAGCCGTTATATACCACATTTAAAAGAGACATTTTCCATGGTTGCTCTTGACTGGACCAATGAGGAACATGTCAACCTTTTCCACGTATGGCAGAACGACCCCAGAGTTGCTGCGGGCTGGAACGAAACCGGAACGCTGGAGCAGCACCGTGCCTATCTACGAAATATGCATGAAGAATCTCATCAATTCCCTGTGCTGGGTAAGTTCGACGATGCATTCTTCGCCTATTACGAAATATACTGGGCCAAGGTAAGTAATCACACGACAGATGGTATAGTTCAAAACAAGTTTTGACTAAAAATCCGACAATTAAATCTATAGGAGGATGCCATTGGACCGTACTACGGAGCCGGTGACTTTGATCGTGGCAGACATTTTCTTGTAGGAGATGCTCGTTTCCGTGGTCCTCACCGTGTTAAGGCCTGGCACACCTGTCTTACGCACTACATGTTCCTCGATGACCCTCGCACCAACTTGGTCGTTGGAGAGCCAAGAGCCACCGGCGCCAAGGTCCTTGCATACGACCAAGCGAATGGATTCCACATTAATAAGCTTATTGACCTGCCTCACAAGCGTGCTGCGTTAATCATGTGTCCAAGGGAGAAGTTCTTCCAAGATCCTCCTTTCGAGTACAAGCAAAGATGAAAGTCGGTGGCACAGGCATATGATTAACAAGTTTATTGACTTGTGATAAGAAGAAAAGAGCACCTTTCGGTGGAGGTGTATGCCTCTCCTCTACAAACAGCCGCTATAGACGCTTAAGCTACGGAGTACTCCGTATAGCATCTCTGTTGCATAGAATGATAATATACTAGAAGTTCGTTACACCAGGTCATATAGGTACACATCAAAGCCACACCCAAGTAAACTATCCATTAAAGTTCTCGAAATATTTAGCACGAAAGTTTACTCCTGCTGCATACATAATAGGGGTGTCATCAGGGGATCCCAGGGGCCGAAGGATTATCTCGTTAGTGTTTAGACTAAAGCATAATAAGGCTGCTCCTTTAGTTCATATAGACTAACGAAAGGGGGAAACGACGTTCTCAAGCGACACAACAGCCCTTGAACATCGGCACTTGGGTGGCCAGATCGGGATCGACAACGTTGATCTCAATTCCGCATACGGAGTAATTCACTCGATGTAGCAACCATGCTTGAGATGGAAAATGCCCTTGATATCTGCAGCCACCTGCATCACCCGGCCAAGCCGCACGTAAGCACAAGTTAAATATTTTAAGAAGTGTGGAATTCCCGAAGCTTACTATAGTAGTATCGTATATGCATCCTGCATGTATGGAAGCCCACCCAAAGAAAAGTCACAAAACAAGCAGCACTCCAGCCCTGCCTTGTCGCGCTGAGGCCAGAATTCCAAACCTGGCCAAACTCCTCGGTCCCAACTCACATCACTGCTGTTTTCTAGCGTCCCATGCATGAAGCGCAGGAGTCACGGCAAGGGTGGAGAAACGAACAAGGGCTGAATCGCTGATATCAAGCAACATTTAAAGTTTTTTCCCCCAAGAGACGAAGAGAAAGAAAGAGGAAGAAAAAAAAAAAAAAAAAAAACCAAGCTTGGGGACCGAATTGAGTGCGTCACTTTTTGTCAAATGCAATCCAAGATGGAAGAAGAAGAACAGAAGTAGACGATATATAGAAAGTATTAAATGTTTACTATCGAGGCCGGACGCGGAAGTGAAGGGAAAAAGACCAAGTAGAAAGCGGAACCAATATCGAATAATACAATCCTGACGCTTTGGTGTGGCGAAAAATCATCCCATCCCGTCTCACAGCATGGCAGCGTACAGAAAGCGATACATTGCTTGCATTGTGAAAATCTAAAGGGACCAAGAACGGAGCACGAAAAAAATAAAATCTGACGAGTTGGTCAAGAAATATTAAAGAGAGTACGGAGTATGATGTGGTCCAAAGCCAAGGGTATGATGCAAAATGTGTGCGGTTCGACGGAGTTTTTCGTCCGAAAGGAAGAATTAGAAAGTGAAAGGGCCTCCTCGGTCTGACTAAGTTTTAGGTTTCCTCATGATATAGTATGTCAGGAGTGGCCGAAAATCTTCTCCGGGAGAGTTAACAATGGACCAGAACTTCTCTTCAGGCTTTACCATCTCGTGTAGTTCTAGGCAGAAGTCCATGACTGCACGGCGGACGTCAGGCTGAGGGTTTCTGAGATTTTCGCTGGCAAACTTGCCCAGCCGTTGGAGTTCGGAATCATTGAAGTAGAGCTTCTTTTCATTCAAGCGGTGAAGGAGTCCACAAAGGACATATGTGCCCATGGATACCATCCGGCTTGCTTCTGTTGACTTCTCTTCTGTTTCCAAAAGCTCAAGAATATCATCCACTACCTCTTGAGGGTTGCAGGCGCTAACGATATCTTCGGAGGTCTCTTCAAGACCAGAAACAATGTGATTCGTGATTTCATAATGTTTCCGTGTCCGGATGATTGATAGCATTGCTCTCGAGTAAAACTTGGAGAAATACTCCCGGTTTTGTGATAGCATGAGCCGTATGGTGAAGAGGATTTGCGTTTTGAGGTCAAAGGATCGGCTTGTACTGGATACTCTGTTTTCATCCGGTAATTCTAACGCATCGAATAAAGCAAGCAAGATTTGAGAATACTTCGCTTCATCATTTACGATAGAGTCATGGTAACGGATAAGACTCTGGAATTTCCTATATCCGTGGACATCTAGAGCCGAGGATCGAATTCTCATAAGGCCCCTATCGACCATATCCCGTGCCCGATTAGGATCTTTAGAATGAGGGCTCAGGCTTCTTCGCTTTTCTGATATTTCAGCCTTCTTCCATCGCCGATGGGAGTTCTCATTTGAGGCTGAGGCTGGAGGTGAATATGAAAGTGGAGAAATACTCTGAGAATCCTGGTTATATTTGCGATTAGTACTTGAGGGTTCATTGAGTGGTCGGGCCTCAAGAGGCTTAGTTTTTGAAATTAGTCGGTTTGTGTGAGGCGTTGTAGGGGAAAAAGTAGAAGCCTTTGAGATCGGAGACTGAGGATCCTCATAGACTTTGAGGGCTGTTGCTCCGTTGGATTCAGCAGTGGTTAATGGCGGTGAGAGTTTGATAATGGAGGAGCTTTCTGTTTCTGAGGGTCGAACATGGCTCTTTGGGGGAGTGCGTAGGGGACTAGAGAGAACAATTTCCCTGCTGTGTTGGCGGAATTTAGGAGAAGTAGGGATTTTAGATAGAGGAGTTGTGCTGAGTACGAGCTGCCTAGGAGTTATTTGATCGCCAGTGATAACTGCCTCTTTGTGAGGATCTGGCAGTACTTGAGGCGTGTCTTCAATGCGGGACGACTCTGTGGTGTCGGCATTGACATTTGGAAGGTCGACCAAATCACTAGCGGTTTGGTTATCATTTGGAACTTCAACCGGAGACTCAACCGAAATGTCGGTTTGCGTGGCCACTGGAATTTCAGCTAGGGTTTCAGCTGGAGTCTCATCCAATACCTCAACAGACTCAACTGTTGCTTCAATAGTCGATACGGGTGCTTCCACTTCCACTTCAGTTGATTCTTCATGTTGAGGTTCAATAGATACTTCCCCTGGGACTTCAACTGGTGTTTCGATGGAAGATTCTGCTGGCGCTTCCATTGGGCTTCTATCCACTGATTCTAGTGATGTCACCACCGAGGGTTGAACTGGAGTCTGGGGAGCTTCAACCTGTATTGGGTCATTGATATCAGGCAAGACAATAGTAAAATCTTCGTGTACTTTTGTCGGGCTCACAATATCTTCGTCGAGTGCCCGTGAGACTGGGATGGCCGCCTCGGGTTTAGCCTCGGGTTCAGGTACGTTCTGTTGCTCCTTTTCAGGCTCGAGACCAATCAAATTGGTAGTTTCTGGTTCAAGCGGCTGAGCCATCGGGGGCTCGGATGCTGCGGCTTTCCTTTGAACAGTATTTGTTGTTACACCTTCCATCCTAGACTTTGGCCTTGCCTGGGGGTTCCTTGTGCGTGGAGCCGGAGCTGTCTTTGGAGAAGACCTTTGCGGGCTATTGGTGGGGCTTAATACCTGAGATTGAGCACTGAGGGGGGCATTTCTTCGGGAATAAGGGTCTGCCGTTGCAGGTCTGGACAGCTCTGGTCTGCGAGAGCGCATCCCGGGCCGCATTGGGGCCGACGAAAGCGAGCCTCCTTGGGCAGATGATGACGATGACGATGAAGGTTGTGTTCCAGTAGGTACATTGCGAATGGATGCGGAGGATGCGGGCTGTCTTTGTAAATTGGGCCTTGCCAGCTTTGGCTCCGCGAATGCAGATTGAGCAGACTCTGGGCGCGGAGGGAGGTTCTTTGCTGCAGCTAGCCGAGCCTTCTTTTGAGCAGCAATGGTTTCTTTTAAAGTTATCCTCATCGAGGAAGAGCTATAAGACTGCCCACTACGGGAAGCCGTAGTAGCTGTGGTGTGAGCAGCTGCGTTCGGATTGCCGGCATCCTTTTCAAGGAGAGCCCTTGACTTAATATCCAACTCAGAAATAATACTTTACATGTATCATTAGAAATTACATGATCATATGGTCGGAGGGGGGATGAAAACCTACCTTCTAGCTCTATCTGGCCATATACTTGCGAAGATCCAGTAAGTGCCACGCATGTTTTCTCGAACTCCCGGATTAGCATCGGCGAGGCCCTTCTTGATGCATTTTTCAATAATATCCACACCACCGCTATGCTCGATAGTATTCTTATGTTTAGCATGTCGGTTCATAAGTGTTTTGAGCCATCTAGTCGCAAAAAGCCTCGGCTGCGTATTTTTGTCCTGGCATGCAGCCCACATATGTTGAAGTAGACGAGCAGAGTAAGAGATGTTGCCAATGATGGTATCAACAGTTATATTCCCGCTTTGGGAAGTTATCTTTTTAACAGCACCGCACAATTTGATAAGATTTTGAAGCAGAATCTCCACCATTGGCTCTATAGCCGGGCCGTTTACTCGAGCAATATCTTGAAGAAGAGAGCAGCCTGCAGCTGATAGAGTAGTACGGAGGGAGTTGACTGCTTTAAGAATGCCATCGAGTAACTGTTTTATACCCGCCAAATAGTGAGCTTGGTAATCTTGAGGTGCATTGCCTTTGGTCAACCTCCGTAAGGTGTGGACACTCCTTTCACGGTGTAGCCAGTTATGCTCAGTTTCTTTGCCCTCAAAATGGGGTATCATATCACGAAACATCTCATCAATTTCTCTGTTGGAGTATATGGTGATAGGGTCAAGAGAAATGGGAAGCTCGTGCTCAATGCTGGCTGCGGATAAGGATTCAATACTAGGAGCGTGCGACAGTGCATCTTTTCTGGGCGGGTCGCCTCTAGGAGGCCTGGATGGAACAAAATGGGAGTCATCATTTCGGCCTTGGATTGTGTGTTAGACAATATACATATCTAGGAAGTGGTGGGATGTGCGCAAAAACTTACTGCTTCCATCTTGATAATGATGCGAGCGAGTCGAAAGAACTGAGTTAGGCCTTGCTGGTTCTTCTCGGCGGTGAGAGAAACTGCTTCCTGGCCGGGCAGGCATGCCAGAGTGGGAGGAGGGGAGGTCTGCATCGGATATAGAATTGATGCCAAGCGCCGCAAATATTGATAAAGCTATAGACCTCCTGACATTGTGAGACTGAATCTGTTTCTTCAGGTCTGATATGGCTCGTGGAGGGGCGTTTCTAAGCACAGAATACTAGAGTTAGATAATGACGAACAACTGACATAAAACCGGCATGGCATTGCTTACTGAAATAACTCGATCACGGCAGCTTTGGCCGTCTCTCTGACAGAGCTGTCTGCATCTTCAAGGCCAACCACGAGGCTAGGAACATGAGCACGGAAGAGCACCCCACGTTCCTTTGTCATCTGCATAGCATAAGAGTCAGCCGGCGTGTATAAAAACAAAAAAAATGTCAAACTGCACGAGTAAATAATGAACAGCGGACAAGTGCACACCTTTACCAGCCACATCATACTCGTTTCTTTAGCCCTGGGGCTCTTGCCAACGAGGGCGACCTCTAGAACATGGTGCTCAACCTCTGTGGGAGCCGACTGCCAAAAGTCCACAAACGCCTGAGACGCGTGAGCCCGTACACGCTCCTTGTGATCACCGAGTTTCTCAAGCAGCAGCGAGTACGTATGTCGTCCCTGGCTGGCGATCAGGCCATTCTGTTCTTGGAGATAGAGTCGCTTTAGCAGATGACCAAGCGCGGAGAAACCACCAGCGGAGAGGGACGCATGCTGTGACGCAATAGCCAGGCGAATGGCATCGAATATATCCCCGGCAGCGGACGTGGGAACATTCTTCTGTTTGATTTCCGACTTGAGCTTGGTCAGCGATGCTATCTTTGCATCAACGGAGAGGGAGGTGTTGCGCAGGGCAGCTAATAGCTCCGTAGCTCGTTCATCCATTGTCAGAGTCGCACAACCGCAAATGTCATTTGGGATAGTCGTTTGGCAGTGGTCGGCAGGTGTCAGGCTGTACGAGAAAAAAGCTGAACTTCGGCTTCAATAGCTGGGGAGTGGCGGGCGGGAGAGAGGGTTGTTGTTGTTGTTTGGTCGGCTGCGGGTCAACTTGCTTTTGTAGATAGGCCGAGTTACACAACGAAAGGGCGCGAGTGATGGGCGCGGCGGCGTTTGACACCGTTATATCGAGTCCTGTGAGATGACAGCAGGCAGCGTGAGAGACAATCCGCGGCGCAGCGTGCGTCTTGACTTCGTCTTCGGCAGCTTTTGGTATGTCGTTGGCGATGTTGATGTTGCTTTTTCCCTCTTTCGGTCGTCCTCGCGGTGTTGTGGGCAGGCCACTGCTGACTCAGCACACTCCTTTTGGCTGCAGCCGCCCAAGCGCCTTCGCCCGCAAAGTTTTACTATTATTGGCCGTCTATCAAACCCCAAGTTCACCAACAGCGCAGGACAGCGACGCCAGACACACCCGTGGCTGCAGGCGGGCAAAGAAGACGTGCATATACTGTGAGAGATCGTCTGGCACGCTCTGTGTATCTGCCATGTTTGGAATTTCTGGTTCTCAAATAGCCTTCCATGGCTTGACAGTCAGGCACAATAGACTATGTCATGTGTGCCCATGGGTCGGTGCAACCTAAAGGCCATCTAACTTCGTGTCTATACATTCGTATATTCAATATATTCGTCTTCTGACTAGCCGTAGAAAAGAAAAGAAAGAGCCATTCTGCTCCCAGTGCTGATATATAGGCCGTGTCTGTGACATATATCGCTGTCTCTATGCGTCACCTACACTCTGTGTTGTGCAGGTTGCGAGTTGCAACGATGTCCGAGACCTCTTCCGCTACCCCGATGCCCGCCTCCTCTTTGCTGCCCCCAGGGGTTGGCGGCGAAACAGACGACAAAAAGGAGGCTACCGACAACGTCCCACAGTGGGGAAAAGAAGGATGCGGGTACCCGCCCTCTGCCTCTGCAGCGCCGGCAGTCCCGAAGCCAAAGCTGCGGCTTCATTTTGAGGATCTGGGCAACCAGGCGTCAAAGCTCTTTATCAAGTCCATTCAGGACCCCTATGCGATCATGCAGAATGCGATAGGAGAGATCGTTAAATATCTCTATACATCTCCGTCTGCCTCTGCGGCTCCTCGCCGGCCAATCCAGTTCAACCCTTCGCTGCCCCCAACCTCCTCTGTCTCCTTTATCATCCATGATTTCCAAGGAGTCGCCTATACTATCGGGGTGAGCTCAGACGACAAACAAAAGGAGATTCATATGTCGCTCTCATATATCGCCCACGCTGGCTCTTTTAAAGACACGGCTGCCGAGATAGTCGGGATCATTCAGCACGAGCTTGTGCATTGCTATCAGCATACCAACCCGCCTGGCAAATCAACTCCAAACCCACCCTCTGGTCTTATCGAGGGGATTGCAGACTTTGTCCGCCTGAAGTCCGGCTTTGGAGCAGCCCATTGGAAGCGCCCGACTTCTCTGGCCGACCTACCCAAAAGCTGGGATGCAGGTTATCAAAACACTGCTTTCTTCCTCGAGTGGATCGAGAATATTAGGATCGGAACTGGCGCCGTGGGATTAATAAATGACCGTCTCTTGAGGCAGGGGTATCTCGGTACCAACGGCGAGGTCTTCTGGAGAGGCCTTTTTGGTCGCGAGATAGAGGAGTTGTGGGCTGACTACGCTGAATATATCGGAGGCCAAAAACCCAAGATCCAAGATTGTGGATGTGGTAGCAACTGATGGTACACTATTATTTCTCGTCTCCCTATGCGTTATTCTGGGATTACGAATGGGGTACTATCACTTAGCCTTGTACATAGGTAGCAAGAGGAAGAACCATTTATATAACGGTATCTACTTGCAGATGCCAGAGAAAGGAAGGAAGGGGGGGGGGGGGGGGGGGGGGAATTCCACTGCAAATGGCAATAGTATGTTTATAAAGCTATTCAGGACATTCTATTGATGGCTATAGCAATTCCTTAATCTCGAAGCCTTGCCTCGGATATATGAGACCTCAATTTATAGCAGTTGTAAACAAAGTTTTTATACTTTTATCCCTGGTTCATATGCGAGTAGCTGTGGTATTTGCGGAGCAACAGCTCATAGAATCGATTTATTTTGCTATTTTCAAGCATGTATGCGATTATTACAGGCGTACCTAACTAACTATCCTTTCGCATATCCAGCTGGGTATTGGAGAAACACGTTGTTTAAGGAACAACACAGGGAGTCAGCTTAGTATTTGAGAGTTAACCTGAATATGTTAAATAAGCCAGATAGCTGTCGCTCTGCTTGCCATGAAAAATGATTACCTACTCTTAGATAATCAACCAGTAATCGGGCAGTTCTGTTGGTTAAAGATATCCATTATGATTTATGATTGGCTGCCCGTAGGCTGAAATGGAATAGTATTCTTGCATGCTAACTGATGCATGAAAATGATTCGAGCACCTCGTAGGACTTGGAGAGGTAGAAGAGGGTGCTGAAGTAGGCGAGTCCGTTGCTCCAGAGCCGTCCAACGTCCGTAGTGTCAGGTAGGGTAACCAGTGGGGCGCAAGTGGAGGGCGAAGTGCAGGGTGCAAGCCGCTTAACTGAACGAGTTATTAGTGCTTAACTAGTTAACTAGTTAGCCGCCACATGAAAAGTATATTCTGTAACTAACTGGCTATCACTGGCTAACAAAGCGCCAGTTGCAGGGGGGTATATAAATGACGTTGTAGAAATACCACCCCATCCTTCTACCAGTACCTTTTTTCGTATCTCCTCTATCAAGCCGTGGATATTGCCAAATTTTCCCAGCGCTGGATTGTAGACTTGTTTGATGACTATGTCGCTACTGAAGATGATGGCACTGAGTGGAAGATCAAGAAGAAGCTCTCCGAGGGTTCAATCTTCTATCCAGCAGAGTATAACGAGTGCGGAAAGACAATAGCAGAGGGACAAGCAACCTACATCTGCGAACAGATTAAAGGAGAGTCAACTAGAAAGGAGGCCATTTGCAAGATTCGACTACAGGGAGTACGAGGACCCGATTTGAACAAGTTGAACATTTCACTAATACCCGGTAACTAGAGCACCGTCTGAATACCCAGCAAGCTTGAAGCCAGAGTCTCGAAAAAAGTTTGCTTCTACGGAACCTTCCCATTTCATAAAACAGGAGGTTGAAGCTCTTCTCCATTTTTAAAAAGTAGGGTGTAGAGCGACTCCAAGCTCTTCTACATACAACAGTCGGTTCAGCAACATGATTATGACCCAGTCCCAGGCGGTTATATGATATTTATCGTAACGGAGAAGGTGCCTGGTATATCTCTATCTCAATTTTGGAGTTACGATTTAGCCAAACGTGAGAAAATTCGAGGTGCTTTTCGTGAATGCTTGATGTAAGTCTGCTGCACTTCAGTTGATGGGGGTCATCTCTAAATATGGTATCACATAGGGAGTTACTCAAACACCACGGTTATGCAGGTGATACACACCTTGGAAACATCGTTTACGATGAGGAAAATGACAGATGGTAAGATTTGCAGGTTTATTTCGATACAGCTTTCTATTATTGCTGCTTTTTACCGAGTTACTGGCTGCTGACACTGATTTTGTAGCTGGATTGTAGACTATAAGCACATTTACGTCTTCGACGATGGAGAGCCCAAGGTGTTTGCGGATAGGGATTATCGATTCTGGGGGCTTGGATACACAGTCTGCGAGAAAGAGATATGGTAACCGCTATTTCATTTCAGTTTCTATTTTGTTGCCTCTCCATCTCTCTCTCGATTTGCCTCATCCTCCGGTAAAGCCTACCAGTCCTGCAGTAATAACTACTTAAAGCGGAATCCATTACGTGTCTTTGATTTACCGGGGCAAGAGGTATTTAACCGGGCCTGACTAAGACCCTGCCGTATGGTCTTAGTCAGGCCCGTTTACCAGTAAAAATTTTAGAACAAATATAGAATTGACGCAAAAACGCCATATATATGGTACATGTTATTTCAAGGGAAATCATCGTAGTTAAACATGGATGAGGGAACGGGTAAAAAGGGAGAAAATAGTGTATCATGTCCAACCTCTACGCGCCATGACAGTATGGATAGGCCTGTCTGTGTATGTATGTATAATATCGTCTTTTGCACTATGCCTGGGAAATCAAACAATGATCTCTCCTGGATCAATATGAGCTCGTTTCCAGGGTTCTGCGCCTTCTTCCTCCATTGAACTGGGAACTCTGGCGTTGAGTGGACTGTAAAGGTACCAGCTCTTCAATGCAGCAACAGCTGCCCTGACACGAGCTTCGGTTAAGCTGGACCCGGCACCTTCACCAAGTTTGTCCTTGCCGGAGAGATACCCACTATAAACACTGATGCCTGCTGAGTCGACCCGTTTACATAGCTTTGAGAGGTCACGTGTGGGCTCTGTAAAGCCGAAGAGATCGGCAATTGGTAGTTGGCGCGACTTAAAGTGTTCCTCGAAGAAAGTCTTTGCAGCACGTCGTCCTCCGTGTAGGTATACAGCACCCATTAAGGCCCGGACAAAGTTTGCAGAGGCCCGAGTTGGTGTGACAGCGTCTCCGTAGGCGTTTGGATCGACGTCACGACACTCAGAAAATTCAACATCATTAACAAACAGCGAGCCGAGTCCTCGTCTGAATTTCTCGCCGCGCAGAGGTTGACGAGATATTCCGGCAGGTATTTCTTCGCTTTCCTTATCTATTGTTTGCTGATCTGCTATCCGGAACTGGAGATAAGCAGGGTCAACCTCGCTGCCTGGCTCCGCTGCGTGTTCAACGCCCCATTCATTGGCCATGACAGCCAATGCCTTTGGCCCTATGTATGCATACATCGCTGTCCAGAGCACCGACATAGGCAACCGTGGATATTGGGTAATGAGGTGTTCGGTAGTATAATAGGAGAGAAGGTCGTTGCCGAGAACAGAGAAGGAATGATTGTTAAATTGGGTTGAGGTATCGGCGGAGGCATCAATTAGGGTGCGAGCCAGTGTCTGAAGCGGTAGACGTTCTGGTAATGAGAGTCGAGCATGGAGGGAGGAGAGTTTTGGAGAAGCTATGAACTCTTCTGCAGATGCGAGCGGAGGGCTTCGAGTCCGAACGCCGTGTGAGATAGGAAGGGCATGGTCGGGAATTACGGGCGCGGCCGCAGAGGAAAGCCATCTTCCATTCCTCTGGTGCTGGAAGGGCCGTAGATATGAGCTGCGACACGACCGTATTGGCGGCGATACAACGGCACCGCTCCAGCGTAGGAGCTGCAATCTTTTCATTTGGGCTTCCCGGTCCACGGGGTACGGCGAGGGCGTGGAGAGAGGTCACCGGAGCAAACGAGCAGCTCAATTGAGGACGTCAGAAGTGTCGTTGTTGGCCTAGGTATCCCGTTGTCCTCTCCTTGTCCTCTTTGGTGCTGGCAAGAAACAGATTTGCAGAAGAAAGTCGTACAATTTGATGGAGGTTGAATTTGTGAGCGAACGAGTTTCTGCGGCGCTAGTCCGCTTTAGGACTAGCGCTCCTCTTGCTCGTGCGAAACCTCTAACATCAACGACGAAGGCCAGCGTAGAGAGGGACAAGCAGCAGCCGTCGACAGATACAGGACCGCATCTCGTTCGTTGTTTGACTGTATATCTCTGAAGAAAAAGATGGGTGGAGGTCCAAAGATTCGGTATGTACAGCGGGGCTTAGCTGGTTCAATTGGCGTTGGATGTGTTGCAGTGTGAACTGACGGCTATATATTATCACAGCTACCCGACTCACGTCTGGTCTCCTGCCGGTGGTTGGTACGCACAGCCGAGCAATTGGAAGTTCAATACGTTTGTCATCGGTAGCACCGCGCTTGGGCTTGCCGCATTACTCTTCAACTACAGCGCGCAGCATGAACACCGTGACAAGTTCCCCGAACCAGGCCGCTTCTTCCCCAGCCGATGGTATGTCTGCATGTCCTACCTACGAAAGGGGAATGAGACAGCAATCTAACAGCAAGATTTAGGTGGAGCAAACAAATTATTGAGCATGAGCGAGCATTGGCTTCGAAAAGTGATTCGTGATCGTTGAAGGAGAACAATTGCACCCACGGGCCTGTACAGTTATTTACATTTATGGCGTTCTGTTTTCAAGTGGATAGAAGACAATTGATGTTCAGTTCATTGAGCCTTTCCAAGCTTTTGTCTCTTGAGAGTTTCCTTTCTGTCGACGAGATGCTTAGTGTACTGACGGACTCGCTCGACATAGCTCGTCCCGTTCCAGAATTCCTCCCCTTGAGGTGAGAAGGAAAGGACTGGAACGCCTACTTGCTCGATTATATAGCTTGCTACAACAGTGGCGCATATCAATCCAGCTAGAATATTCCCCCTATCATCCCATGCAGCGCAGATTTCTTTCCAGTCTCCAGATTGACCCATAATCTCACGAGCGGCCCAGATAGGTGTGTGATTAGATCCTGCAAGGACCTGACAAAGGGCTCCGAGGAACGAGTTGCCAGCACCTGTGGGATCTACTGCCTTCGAGTCCAGCAATGCCGGCAACGCTAGCTGGTCATCCTGAGAAAAGGCATAGCATCCGTCCCGTCCTGCTCGAACAACTAATACCCCCTTCCCATCTATGCCTATACCCGAACGGACAATAGACCTGCATATCTCCTGATCCCTGGGGTTATCGAAGCCCCATGACTCATTGCTAAAGTAACTTCCCATCTCATGATCATTCGGGCTCACCACATCTACATGACGAATCACCTCGTAGAACCTTGGAAGCTCCTCCGGACGACAAGAGTCCGGGAAAGGCTCCCAGACAAATATTGGACGCCGTAGAGTTACCTTGTACTTCTCACTGAGCTCATGGCGTCTTTCCAGCACCCCCTGTACTATATTATAGCACCTGTCTGCAGAGCATGACATATGAAAGGTATTTGAAAGCACAAGCTCCTCAGTGAGAGTCTCGGGAACAATCTGTATCTTAGGAGTGAGATACTTGAATACTAACAACACCGTGTCAAAACCGATCCCTTCGGATATACGCTGGGGCGCGGTAGTATACCTCTCTTCTCATTAGCTTCATAGCCATTCCACCCTTTCGTGGTTTGTCTGTTCATATCCTCTCGAAATACACAATGTGTCTCCCAGCTTGCAATCAGGTTTCTGACATGCTCGGGAAAATCGTTGCCCGCATCCACGATCCAGCCAACGGAGCGGGAGTGATCCTTGCCAGCTGCAATGCGAGCACCGATAGCCGCAAACGAGCCAGCCCCGCCAACTATACCTCGTACAGGGGGTGTTGGAGGCTCATATTCGATCTCGTCTAATCTTCTCTCACCGTTAGCATCAGCATCAAGAAGTGGGATTGGATGGTTTTACTAGCCAATGATGAACATGGCGAGAGTACAGAAATCTATCTGCCTAAATCCGTCAGGCAGTGACCCTGCATCTCGAGCAGCCATCTTCTTGCCTGAATACAAATATGCCTAATCAATGCTGCTGCCTGTTTTTCTTCTTTGATTACGTTCGTCGATGTAGAGATGTATGTAAAGGAGGTTTGGGCGTGGTATCATTAATTACAATGATATTGGTAATTAACCCTTCATTTAGCGCTATCCCCATCGCAATCGCTGTATCAGCTTGTAAGATTAGGCATTGTAATAAACCTCCCAAGAGCTCCTTCGATGCTTCGTCTCTCTTAACAACGTATCAGCACCCACTCCTTTTCTACATCTACGTCTACGCCGGCACCAGATAACTCACCCTACCCTCTAAACTGTTCAATATTCTGTCAACTGAAGGAGTGAGAGCTTTTCTTCTATACGTTCACTGCGCCTGATTTTGAGAACAGGCGTTGAGCCGCCCTCTCCTTATCCCAGCGATGCAACATACAGCTGGCAAGATGGTCCCGAACAACCACATGAATAACCTGACAACACTTATCAAGCGGTATGTGTAGAGTGGCTCTTGTTTAATCATTAACTGTCGGGCCAAAAAGATATAACTGACGTGTAATTGCTATTACAGGCTTGAAGCTGCGACCTCCCGGCTAGAGGACATGGCTGCCTCCCTCGATAGCCCAGGTCCTAGCCCAGCAGCCGGCACCAGTATCCTAAGCTCCAACGTCTCGCCGGGTGCTGCTCCCCCCTTGCCAGCTGCAGAGCCTCTACCGAAGTGCATCGAGGCATTTGATGCCATAATCTCGAATGAAGTGAAGGCATTCTTGGATATCAGCCAGCAGCTCGGTGATCTAGTTGTCCCCCAAGTAGGTCATCATTGTATAGCCATAAGAGCGAGAGAAGCGATTGACTAACATAACTTACTATAGTCAAAAGCTGTCCTTAAAGCCTTTGAAGCCGAGCGGAAATATCTCCTTGTCTCTACGAAGGCAAAGAAGCCCGAAGCACAACCCCCAGAGCTCTTTACAGACCTGCACAGAGCATCTGACGAAATCAACAACATCCGTGAGAGCAATCGCCCCTCTCCGTTCTTCAACCATCTCAGTGCTGTGGCAGAAGGTGTAGTTGCGTTGGGCTGGTTCTTCGAGACTAGACCAGCTACTTTTGTCACTGACACTCTCGGCGGAGCACAATTCTACGGAAACCGAGTGCTCAACCAATATAAAGACAAGTGAGTAACCAGGATCCGTCGAATGCTGGAGAAGACGGCTTTGCTGACTTCTAAAAGGGACAAGACACATGTCGAGTACATCCAAGCTTATTATCAAATCTACAAATCCCTTATCGACTATATTAAGGAATACTACCCTCGGGGAGTGACATGGAACGACAAGGATGGCATTGATGTGATGGATGCACTAAAACAGGTGTCATCAGGGTCTTCTTCCGTCGCTGCACCACCTGCTGCGGCCGCAAAGGAAGCAGGGGGCGCTCCTCCACCTCCACCACCTCCACCACCTCCAGGCCCTCCACCAGTAATCAAAGCAGCGGCACCTAGCAATGACATGTCCGCTGTTTTCGACCAGCTTAACCAGGGCTCCGCCGTGACAGCCGGTCTCCGAAAGGTGGACAAATCCGAACAAACACACAAAAACCCTAGCCTACGAGCACAGTCAATCGTTCCAGGCAGTCCTACTTCCCGAGGCAAATCGCCTGCTCCCAGCAAGAAGCCAAAACCAGAGAGTATGCGCGTCAAGAAACCTTCCCGAAAACAACTAGAAGGCAATAAATGGTTCATTGAGCACTTTGACAGCCCAGCTGATATCGTTGAAATCTCTGCCTCTCTCACCCAATCCATTCTCATCTCCCGATGCAACAAGACCATCATCAAGGTTAACGGCAAGGCTAACGCGATATCTCTTGATAACTGCGTTGGCGTCTCTATCATCGTCGACTCACTGGTCAGCAGCCTGGAGGCAATTAAGTGCTCCAAGTTCGCACTGCAGATCGACGGTAACGTTCCCGCCGTGATGTTCGATCAGATTGATGGAGGCCAAGTTTATCTTAATGCGGGAAGCATGGATGCCGAGATTCTCACCAGCAAATGCACAGCTATCAACATTGTTCTGCCACCCCAGGAAGACGTTGAAGATTCAGATGCAAAAGAGTGCCCTATTCCAGAACAAATTCGTACCACTATTAAGGATGGGGCTATTTTCAGCGAGATTGTGGACCATGTAGGATAGACATGGGCAAGCTATGATAGAGCGGGCACTGGCGAATACAGGTTCGCTGTCCGTTGAATTGCACATAATTTCAGCTGCTTTAGATGTCTTGGTAGTTGCGCAATACATACCTCTACTTAGTCAAGTCACGGCCATGGATAAAATACTGTAGTTTATTCCAATTTGAGCTATCTGAATTCACCGCTAGCGAACTTGGTCGACTTTATGAATGTGCTTATGGTAGGAAGAAAAAATGCTCTATATGGTATCCAAATCAATTGCAGCCTGATTCTTTGCGAAGTGAAGAGGGGAGGATATATTTAAGCTCACTCCAGAGATTACCATTCCGATGGCAGAGTAAATAGCCATTTAGTGAAGGAATAGCATGCAATTTGAACCTGGGAATGATAGTTTCGAAGTAGCTACGTACATGGCAAGCTAGCGGGTTTTCCCTAATATTAGGAGGGGATTGGGTATCTTTAAATGATTAGAATAGTTCATATGATAGAATGGGTATAAGATAGAGTGGATGATGATAGATAAGAGAATAGGAAAACTGGCTGAAACTGGCACACGGAGTTATGGTGACGGAGGAGATGACTCGTTCAGATCCCGTAGTTTGAGAGATAGCAGACTTTCGGCATTGGATGATCTGCTGGAGGGTCTAGAGTTTGATAGGGGTGGTAGCTGGAGATTTTGTATGGGTGGTAAGGGTATAGACTGTTCTTGACGTGGCTGTGGTTGCTGTTGCTGTTGCTGTTGCTGGACGTCCTGGGTCGAATGGGGAGTGAAGGATGTTAAGGGAGCCGTTTTTGATCGAGGAGAGGTTGAGGGAGCATCTGATATGCCGTCAAAAGTATCTAGCATGCCTGCGGTAGGCCGCATATGCCATGCTGTGGGGGACATGTATAGTGGGCTTGGAAATGAATTCTCCTGGTCCTTTGCACGCCCATGATCAACTCGCAGGTTCAGAGGGTCGGACATCTGGGCGTGCAGGGATGGGGGACGCAGTTGAAATGCAGAAGGAGGCTGGGGCGGTTGGGAAGTAAAAGACGACGAGGAAGTGGGAATGATCTGCTCCCTATCTCGATTGCCTTGTTTGATACCGGAGCTACGACGGCGGTGCTGTTGGGCCTTCTCGGCAGCGAATCTGGCTGATTCCTTGGATAATTTGTACGTGCTAAATCGTGGCTCGGGGTACTGTAGTTCGTTACGTAGCTTCTCCTTGCCATCTGGCACGCGGTTTGCGAAAACAGCACGGATGCCGGAGTATAGATAGAAACGGCCCCGGGAAGGACAGCAGATGTTGATGTGTATCAGGTAGCGAAGGACGGGTTTATCCTGGGGGTCAGGGGTAGCGGTGCTAGCCTGTGGTATGTCCACGGCTGGACCAGTGGAATAGCTTCGTTGTCTGATGAAGGTTTTCGTTCCTGGTTCCATGCCTTCTAGGTCATATGGCACGAGGAAGAGCTTGACAGCCGTCTTGTTTGGGTTCTTGATAATGATCTGTAGCTGTCCCTGCTGTGGGATGCGATAGCATCCTCCTGGCGGCGACTTTGGGGATTGTGAGCGCCGAGATCGCTTTTCTCTGGCTCTGAGCTCACCGCGTGGCGAGAGAGATATGTCTGGAGAAGGGATCTCTTCAGGAGGGTGACAGGGACACTTCCGAGGAGCAACCTGCTTCTTTGGCTTTTTGGTAGCAGGCCTGCTTTCAGCCGGCAGGGAGTTTTCAAGATCGATAAACCCAACGTATGGACTTGGACTGTCATCTGCAATGTTCTTCCCGCTGGCCGAGCCTGAGTAGCTGTAGAAAACTGCTGGGAAGGGGACCGTGACGTGTGGTGGACACCTCAGGTTCGACTTGCAATTGCCCTTCCCGAGGACGCCAATTTCGGCGGTGAAATCCAGTGGTTTAGATGGGTTGGTCGACATCCTGCCTCTGAGGATAGACTCTTCAAACGATCCAACCATGGAAGCATGGTGTAATGGAGAAGCCTCTGCAGAATGAGAGGGCCGTCTGGGATGAAGAAAATCATGTCCTGCTCCCTGGGGAGACGAGGCCATCTGCAAGCTCCGCATGGAAGTGATAGACCTCCGGGGCTGGTGTGCCTGGTAGTAAGAGGAAGAAGGGGAAGAAGGAAAATTCCGAAACGTCTCTGGCGGCAGAGTCCGTCGTCTGTTGGCCTTTTCCGAGCTGGTTGAACATATGTCCATATGTTCATCCTTGACGGAGAAGTCTAGGTCTGGGTTGTTTGCCTGGATGACCAGCGGGCTTGTGGGAGCCTTGAGGACGTAACTTGACGGGACAGAGCCGAGAGAAGGGGCTCTGGATCTCCCCGTGAGAGAGGCCAGGGCCTGGCGGTGGCCGAAGTTGAGACTGGCAAAGGGGTCCAGCGGTGCAGGAGGTATCTTGATGTTCGAGTCTACCCATCCTGGCTCCTGGTAAGAAGAAGAGGAAGAAGCAACGCAAGAAGACGACTCAGCCAGCTGTTCGATTCCAAGCAGCTTGGGAGACCCTTCGCGGAAATCTCCTGAATGAAGTGCTGACCTAGGCCGCTCAATGCTAACGGGAGAACCACAGGATCTGTAGCTGGGAGCCTCCTGGTCCGGGGACCGTTCAAGCTCCACAGACGGCAGCAAAAGCGAGCCATTCCGCTTCTTTTCCTCCAGTCTCTCGAGCGGAGAGTCACCATGCGTAGCAAAGTATTCTTCGAGCTGTTTTAGTAGTGTATTAGCAATAAGTAGGGGAATACGAGTGATATCAAAACAGCAGTCAAGGGGGGGAGGGTCGGTAGGGATGAAGAACTCCAGAACAGCACCAAACGCTCCGGGGCCGCTGTACATCCTCTCTGGCCAGGATAGACGCAGCAGTAAAGGGAATAGAGCGCTCCGGCAGAGAAAAGACTACTTACAGCACGGTTGGGGATCCAGGTAGGGCTTTGGCCGTCCTTGATTCTGCGGATGAGCTCCTCACGGCTACTGGTCGGGGGCCCATGACAGGCGGTCTCCATGTTCTGATCAGCAGAAGACTGGTCGAGCATCATCTCGTCGTCTTCTTCGTCTGCTAGATCCGGCTGTTCATGGTGTTGCTGGTGCTGGAGAAGATGCTGCTGCTGCGGTGGTGTTGCAGGACGGCGCAGAGGCAGGGCAGGAGACCAGCAGCTATACTCCCGGCCCTGGGCCTCTGGATCCTGAAATATCGGCATGTTGGGCTCCCAAAAAACAAATAAAACGGGGTTATTCAACCAGACATTGTACAGGCACAGCAACCAGCAAGCAGTCAGGCCGTAGATGGGGCAGAGCAGCGAGACGTGGCAGAGGCAGAGCTCTCTCGTCCTGCGGCCTTACGGGGCCGGTGGAGAGACAGACCGACAGAGCACAGCAGTGACTGCACGGAGGAGATATTCAAGGGAGATAAAAGAGACTAGCTAGCTAGCAGATGGAATAATAATAATAATAATAATTATCTCGAGCAACGGTGGAAGAGAGGAAAGGGGGACTTTTACATGCCGGCCGCCAGCGTCATGTTTCAGGGACGGCCGCTCTCCTTCTCTCTGCTGGCTATAAGACGGAAGATACTGGACTCTTTATATCGCTCTCACGGGGCAGCACATCTTTTCCCTCATGTCTCCAGGCTTGCTCCGTCTCTTTTTCTCCCCATGCAAGAGTCACCTGCTTGCTCAGGCGATGACGGAGAAACGATGGCTGGCTCACTCATGAGTTATGGAGCGAGTGAAAGGGCTTGTACGGGCGTTACCGCTAGGAAGAATCCCTGCAGAAGAAAAGTTGCTGCAGTTAAGATTTTCACTTCTTCGCCAGCGAGCTACGGAGTAAAAGCAAACAACACCATCTTCGACAAACGGCTCGGAGGACCGACCAGGACCGACGATGGCGCCCAAGAGGAAGATGGACGACGGCGAGGGCGAGGCAGGGCAGCAGAAGAGGGCGAAGAAGGGTTTCTCGGTCGGCCCAGCAAACCTGCCGGACGGGACATACAGGCGCAAAGGTGAGAGCCCTCGACCAGCGTAATGTGATGATACGGGCTACGGGTGCTAATACTCGATTTGCTCGGGGCGATAGTCATAAAGATTAAGGCAGATCTCATTCACAAGGCCAAGCTGAAGAAGTCGTACGAAAAGATCAAGGCACGCGAGCTCGCAGCGGCGCCGGTCAAGTCTGTCTACGAGACCCAGGACGCCAACGAGGACTGCCATGCTGAGGCTGCTGCGGCAAGGCAGGACAGTTCAAAACCTGCAGACAGGCCGGCTGGGCTGGAACTGCACCCGGACAGACAGGCCATGGTGGACTCTCACGGCGAGCTGGACCAGTTGCGAGGTGAAGGAGCCAGAGCACGACGCAGAGACGAAAAGCAGCAGGAGACGGACCAAGATGGCCGGCCCGGTGGCAGTGGCAGTGGCAGTGGCAGTAGCAGGAGGCAACGTCGGGCCAAACCGTATCCCTTTGCAAGGGAGGAGGATGCTGCACAGAAGCGGATCGCGGAGGCAAAGGCGCGAGCTGAGCTGAGGAGGTTGAAGCAGAAGGAGAGGGCTGATATGGCCCGGGCAAAGCGGCCGGACCAGTTTGGCAAGAGACGGCTGGGCCGCGAGAGCAAGGTGCTGCTGGACAAGGTCAAGCGGCTCGTAGCAGCAGACTGATCTTGCTACGGCATCTTCCTCGCTCCCCTTTTGCCCTGCCCGGATACTCTACGGTCACGATCTTACGACGTCTCAGAAATAGACTTAGACTTCCTCACGAAACACACAACCTTCTGACACAGTTAATTCAGGCTTCCAGAGCGCCGTCCGGGCTCCTCGGTAACTATCCAGAAACTATAACTACCAGCCCAGCTTGTTCGAGATCTTCGGTCCCCAGTCCTAGCTCATCTTCAATCTGCCATCCCGGCCTCTTCTCAGGTTATAAATAACCATTATCAAAGAAAAGGACGACCCGGCATATGACGTCGACTGACGGAATCAACTCTCCGGAAATTTTACCCTGGGCGACGCTCCACTCGCTGTATGTATCGTGTATTCGCTTGTCACTGGTACCAGCCTGCATTGAAAAGGAATGTTAGCCCGGGGGCTCATCTTGCGGCCAGTCAGGATCTGCTTTCAAAAGTACCTGCGTCTATCTATGCCATGATAGCCCTGGTCCGGTTGGGATCCCACTCACAGTCCCCAACAGATAGATACACAAGAGACGATTCCTCCATTTAACTAGCCAGTTGGCTAATTTTTAGTTGCTTTACCGGTTCGCTGGCGATGACTCGACGGGATATGCAAGGTGAAAAGGACAACCAAGCAGCCATGTACGCCACATTCTGCACTTAATGTATTTTTTTTCTCCCCCTTCGCTGTCTCTTCGGCCGGTTTGGCTACTTGACCACAGCATCATACATGGCACGAATAACTACCCCGGTCATGCAGTCGATCCTGAAATGAGTTTCTTCATGCGCTTCCTTTCCTTCGCCTTCTACTTTTTCGCTTCGGGGTAAACTCATTGTAGTAATTTGGTTCCTTCTAGCTGTTTGAAATTAGGTCATATTTCTCGTGAGGTGGTAGGTATTACAATAAACAAAGCATCTAACTCATCAATAGTGCTCGTTCATGTCGAGTCGTAAGAGAAGATGCTCAAAAATGCTGTTCAGATCTATATCGGCCGACGCATCCATGTCGTCATCGTGATCAATCATATTCTTGAGACCGCCTGCCTCCAAGCTACGTAAAAAGCGGATGAAGCCGCCTACTTGCTTTTTGAACCGCGAGTACAACTCCCGAACCGACCGGTTGTAGTACGCCGTTGTCTTGGACGACGGCATCCTGCCCGCTGCTGTCGCGATGTCCAATCGCTCCTGATACGCCTTGACGTGGAAGGAGTACGCTAGGATGGACCGGAGAACGTCTTCAAGCATGTTCCGCGCCTTTAGCTGGCTCTTGTTCAGAAACAGCGTCAGAATAATTCGGTCGAGAACCCTTTCGTGGTATTCTCGCAGCCGCCGGAGTCCCTTTGCATGTGTGATGGTGCCTTCCACATCTCCCTCGTCAATGCACCGTTCTATCTTCGAGAGCTTCTTGTCAAACTGTTGCCATGGGTGGTTTATTCCGACCTGGAAGCTATAGTCGCTCACCACTTGGACAAAGTGGAATGATTCCATGCGAAATCTCTGCTCAAGTGTTCCTACGCTTGATGTCTGTTGGCCCGGAGGGCTGCGAACCAGGTCCCTCACAACAGAGAGCATCCTTATCAATCTAAGAAGCTGCTTGAATATTGTGTCATATTTCTCAAGGCTCAGAGGGGATATCACTTCCTCCAGCGGTGAAGGTGGGGTATAATGTATTCGAAGGAAATCAAGGGCCTCAAGCGAATGTGGGTTCTTGCACCTTTCCAGTTCTTCCCCAGTAAGCTCACGAATGGAAAAGCTCAGTCCTCCGGGTAAGTCTCCAGAACTAGGGCCGCCTGAGTGCTGGTGCTCTCCATTAGAATTACCTTCATAGCACTCAGTGAGTAACCCCGTCAGGACCAGACGAAGCTCAGAGCTTGCCGGAGGCCAGGAATTTCGGTTCCCAAGTCGTAGACCTGTAGATGAACCGCCCCTTGCAACGCCAGACTTTCGCTCACCGCTATGCATGTTCGGATCGAAAAGGGCTAGGGATATACGGAGCAGGAACTCGGCATTCCCAAGGAGTTGAAATCGCTCCTGCAGTTGCAGGTGATCTCTAACTTTGTGGACTTTGAAGAGTAGATGCAGGCATGAAAAGTTTACAAGATGGCTTTGTGCCAAGATGACTGGTGCAAAGGAAAGTGACGGCGCTAACTCGAGGGGAGGGCCAAACGTATGCTCTGCGATAAGGCTCTTCTCGATATTGACACATGACCCTTCCATTACAAGCTCGTAGAGTCTGCTGGACCTCACCTGGCAGTCACTCATGCTCTCACTCTGGGACTCAGGCCAGTCCTCAGGGCCTGGGATTTTGTATATATCATCAATGGTGATATTTATGTCCTGCGGGTAGTCAAACGTGTATTCCTTTGGTGTCGCGGACCCTTCACCGGCTTTCCCGAGGGTGCTGTTGTATTTTAAGATTTCATTTCGCAGACAGGCCTCATAGCACTTTGCTTTAAGCTGAATGTTGTTGATATCTTCCCATGTTAACCCCCACTCTAGCGTCAAGGAAGATGTATTTTCCTTCTGGTGCATTTCGGCCAGCGGATGGCCCTTGTGGGAGGACCTTAGCAAATTCAGGCCCACACCAGTCTCGTAAATAACATCTGCATTTTCGCGGGGGATGAAGCTCGGCATTGACTCTGGATTAAATATCGTTTCTTCAGTGGTATATTCATCAATGTATCCGGGATCGAACACTTGAGATGCATTTAACTGGCCGCCAGCTGGTCGAAGGCCAATCCACTGAGCTGCACGATGCAGCCATAAACTGGAAGTAGCACCCATGATCTTGTGGAAAATATCAGCAAGCCACAAATGTTGATTCGAGTAGTGATCACACTTTGCAAAAACCATCGAAACAACCTGTACATCAGCTGTAAGCCTGGTCGCATTCTGAACAATATCCACTAGACATTTAACAAGACAGCTGATCCGTCTAAAGTACATATTCGTCTGAAGCAAGGTCGGTTTTGTCTTCGATTTTGCTGAAAGTTGATCCTCAATACTGTATAGGAGTATGAAAACCACCCGAGCGAGACTGGCCAGGGAAGGCGGCGATCCTGACTGAGATGGCACACTAGCGACAAAACGACGAAGTTTTCGCATCCACATTCCACATTCCAGGATCCCTTCAGTCAAGCCGTCGAGTGCAGGTAAACTAATGCCCGAGACGCGGACATCTCTCAGATGCTTTTCAAATTTGCGGGACTGCTCGTTATAGCGGAAAAACACAGAGTTCCAACCGAGACCCAATTTGAAGAGCGAGGAGATGAAAGCATCAGTCTTTGCAACTCGTCCTGAATCCTCTAGACCGGTATTTGTGGCTCGATGTATCAAAGCTGCGTCAAACCCACGGGGACCAGCTTCACTCAGACATGTTGGGCCTGATTGTTCTTTCCGGGTATCCGGGAATATATCCCAGGATAATAATTCGTAGCCTGTGCCAGGTAACGCTGGAATATTGTCTAGAGACCATATATCCTCACCAGAGATATCATCCATGGGTTCTTCTTGGCTATCATGCTGCGCAGAGCTAGATGAAGAACCTGCCACGCTTGGTGGGCTTGGCTCCTCCACCTTCTCATCTCCAAATATATTCAAGGTGTGCACTGTGTCACCTTCATGTTTTAATAAGTGTATGGGACTCTCAAACGGCCCCGCCGTAAGATCTTGATACGTATCAGCCACTAATTATCCGTAAGCCAGAACGAAGATTTAGACTCATACCTGGTAGAGCATTATCCCAGGGGTAGTTTTCCAAAGGTTTAATGGGATCAATCGTGAAGAAAACAGGCTCCTGGAGAACATCCAGTTCAAACGGGTCCTCTGGAGATTCAAACTCCATGGCTGGGTGTATGACACGCGAGCCTGAGAGACTGATGTACCCTGAAGAGACCAGTGCCAACGCAAAATATCATTGTCTCAGCCGTCAGTCTAAAGCTGTCCTCCTATGCTCCAGATATTGATAGTTATATGCGTTGCATTTCATCTCTTTCTTCTGCTTCTTTTTTGTCTGTTGTCAATGATTTCCCTTTTTGGCGTTCGAGATGAGGATTATGTAATCTCAACGCATCTCCACGTGACTACTGAAAATAACGCTAGTCCAAAAAGGCAGGGATCGGCATGACTTCCAAAGGTTCCCAAAGAAGCAAGCAAGAGCTGCAACCGAGACTGTGGACAGGGAACAGCTCAACAAGAGAGACACACGGGGAGTTTGAGGACTAAGATACCTTATACACGGCAAATATTGTTTTACACAGCTAGTAGCGACCAAGTACGAGTTGTATAATATCAGAATGCCTCCACGCAAGAAGCAGAAGACCGCGGCAACCCCGTCGCAAGAACCACCACAGCCCACACCTACCGTCCGCGAGATAGATTACGACGCGATAGTTACAGACCCATGGACAGACGAACAAGAGACATCATTGCTAAAAGGAATAATACACTGGAAGCCCGTGGGTTCGTTCGCCTCCGCTCTGCAAGTAGCTAGCTCCGGAAGCTAATATGGCTGGATGATTAGGGATGCACAAGCACTTCCGCATGCTTGCTATATCGGATTATATGAAGAGTCAAGGATATGCGACGCCGAATGATCAGCATACGCGAATACCAGGAATATGGAAGAAGCTAGGGACTTTGTATAATCTATCAGCGTTGGATGATAGGGTGTGTGATAAGTTTATCTGGCCATTCGGTGCGCGAAGCTATGCTAAACTCTGGATATAGGAAGAGCCAATATCTACGGAGGAATCTGAAGATGCAGAACAACCCCAAGAGCTTTATTGCCCGTTTAGTTTACCCGAAGGTGAGTTTGGAGACATGATGTGGGATCGAAGGTTAAATCCAGAGGGCTCTGTATCTCCATCCGTTAGCGGGAGGGCAACTTCGAGACGACCTAGCACCATTGCAGATACGGATGGTAAGCTATTAATTATACATTAGATTTATGTTATACCTTGAACTCCATACTGACTTTGCGGGATGTCTAGAACCCCGTTCATCCCCAGCACCATCCCGAGGTAGCCGACGAGGAGGTCGGGCGAAGCGTCAACCTAGGGGAGGCACGCGCTCTTCACGGCTCCAGGTCGAGGTGGAGTCTAACAGAGATGCTGCCAGTGAGAAAGGTAGCGCCAACGAGGAGGACGGGGAGGAAGAGGACACTGAGGCAGGCAGGGACGGTAGTGAGGACGAAGGTGATGGAGACTCGAAGGTAGCGGAATCTCCTGCCCCAAGAGCTACGAGGATGCAGTCTACGCGCGGAAAGCCGAAGGGAAGGCCCGCGTCAAAAAGAGGGGGTAGACGGCGATGATAATGTACTTTTCATGAGTTAATGATATTTGTATGATAGCAGAATACCACCAATTGCTTTATAATTGAACATGTATCTGAATACCCCCCAGGATTTTCCGAACATTCATCCGAGTATCATTTATACACATAAAATAACATAGCAACAGGTACAAGGTACAAAACAATCAATGAGATAGACAGATAAGAAATGCAGCGGAGGGGGTAAACAATATCCAATTCAATGGGGAATGCAGAACGATTCTACTCCGTCTAATTAACTCTTCTTATGGGACTAACAAGATCCGCGCTGGATTAATGCATTAGGTAAATGTCCGTAGTGTTAGGGTCACAGACCACACTTATATGTTTTTGATGATGGCGTCGGCATATTCGTGGGTCTTGGCCTTGCCTCCAAGATCACCGGTAAGTGCCTAGTAGTTAAGTCACAGTCAGTCTAGAATTCAATGGCCTAAGGATGGAGATTCGACGTAGCATACTTTTCCTTCAGAGAGGGTCTTGAAGATAGCAGCCTCAATCTTGTTTGCATCGTTGGTCAATCCCATGTGGCGCAACATCATCATACTGCTGAGCAGGAGAGCAGTTGGGTTAGCCAATCCCTTGCCGGCAATATCGGGAGCGGAACCGTGAACAGCTTCAAAGATAGAGCACTCGTCTCCAATGTTTCCGGATGGGGTCAATCCGAGACCACCGATCAGGCCGGCGCACATATCGGACAGAATGTCTCCGTACAAGTTGGGCATGACGAGGACCTTGTCGTTGTATGGGGCGGGATCAGTGACGACTCTCAGACAGGTGTTGTCGAGAAGCTCAGCGTCGAAGTCAATGCCAGGGAAGTCCTTAGCAACGTCCTTGGCGGTGTTTAGGAAGAGACCATCAGACATCTTCATAATAGTGGCTTTGTGGACGACGCGGACCTTCTTCCTTCCAATCTCCTGGGCATGCTGGAAAGCAAATCGGAGGACGCGCTCAGAAGCCTCGCGGGTGATGAGCTTGATGCTCTGCACAACTCCGTCAACGACAACATGCTCAATTCCAGAGTATTCTCCCTCAGTGTTCTCACGGATCAGGACAATGTCAACATCGTCGTATGGAGTCTTGTAGCCGGCAATGGATCGGCAAGGGCGGAGGTTAGCAAAGAGGTTGAAGGTTCGTCGGAGGGTCAGGTTGAGAGAAACATGTCCCTTGCCAATGGGGGTCTGGTCGAGCCGTCAGTTATATGCATGTACATTTTGGTCCACACGAAGGTCCCGGAGCTTACAGCAAGAGGGCCCTTCAAGGCAACAAAATTCTTCTTAACACTGGCGATAGCATCGTCTGGGATAGCAGTCTTTCCGTTCTTCAAGATGGGAGTAACATCAACCGGTTCCCACTTGATCGGTACCTGTGATCAAAACCGGTAATTAAGTAAAGCTGTGGCTCAGGACATGGAAAGGATCCGGGGAGCTATACATTAGCTGCGCTGAAGATCTGCTTAACGGACTCTGAGATTTCTGGTCCGATACCATCACCCTCAATCAGAGTAACAGTGTATTTGCCCTAATCGTGCACCCGTCAGTATCCCGCCCTCGCCGTACAAAAACCCGAAAGCCGTGCAGCATGGACACCTACGTCTGGGCCCTTCTGGCCGTTAAATTTGGCAATCTTGTCCGCGGCCTGGACGGAGTAGCATCGAGACTATCCAGCGAAACACCGTTAGTCCAAATTATCCTTGTTGTGAAGCTATCAATCTCTTCCGTCAAGAGCACCTACAGCATAGAATGGAGAGGGGCGGAAATTCGAGAGCGTCGGTCCCCGCAGGGACGATCGCATGGGGAGAGAGAAGAGACGACCTGAAGCCATGATGCTAGACCTCCTGGGCACAGCAAACAAAGGTATCTCGACAGAAACTTAGCAATTGGGCAGGGCAGAGAAGAAGGGAAAAAGAGAAGACGGCGAAGTTTGGTGTTTGAGAAAGAGACGGAAGATGTAAAGCCGCGAAAAAAAAAAAAAAAAGTGTTACACCGGAAGCTTGGATCATGTTTGTCTTGTTTGTTTCCGTGCGTCGCCTTTCTCGAAACCTCAACCTTAAAACAACTTGACATCGAGACATCAACAAGAATGCCAGTAGCAGCAGCAGGACCAGCAGCAGCAGAACATGCGATGAATTGCAGCTGAAGACGGAGCTGTGTTTAGGGAGACAGCGCAACAAGATACAGACGCCGAGATGGCCGATGTTCAGCCCCGGGATGCGGCGCAGTTCTACAACCTGCCGGATCTCTACCCTGAGGAGTGGCCCGCACAGTTAGACTCCGACAGCGAGGGCGAAGGTGAAGGCCCCTCAAAGAGCGATGACTATCGCCGCCGGTCCCAGATACGATACTCCGGCTTGATTCCAGGCAAACGAGACCAGGAAAGATTCAAAGGCGGCGATGGCGCAGCGCTGAAGGACGAGCCTGACCCCCTCGGAGGGCCAGATACGATTTTAAGAACACTAAGGATGCGCGGGCTCCCCGTCGACGACGAGAGAGTACGGAAGCAATTCTTGCTCTCTTCCAAGAACTTTTCAGCATCTGATTTCCTCTCTGAAACGCAGGAGTCAGCCTCGACTCAGTCACTTCTTCAGGGGTTGGACTACCTGTCGAGGTCCATTGATGAGAAGTCTGCCTCGCTGAAGATGCTGGTCGAATCAAACTTTGAGAGATTCGTGCGAGTCAAGGCAACCCTAGATAACGTCTATACGGAAATGAAGAATAGTGGCGAGAGCAATACGCGACTGCATAGGTCTCCATCTGGCGGGCACCGCAGGTCAGGCTCCCAATTAGGTTCAGCTACCACAGGCTTATGGCGATCGAAGAGCAAGGCTGCCCTTCGGCCAGATACACCAAGCTCCGGAAGTCTGACAAATGTCTCTGGCATCAGTACACCATTGGCAGAGGCATCTGAACAAGCACGGGAACTATGGAGTGAAGCTTTGAACGGTCAGCAGCGCGAGGAAGGCCTCAAATCTATTCTAGATGCAGTCGAAAAGCAGCGTGAAATGTATGAAATCGGAGGCCATTTATCGAAATCCATCCAGGAGCGTGATTACCAGACGACCTTCGATCAATATAATAGGGCTAGGAGATTTGCAAACGAGGCGAAGGTTGTTGCAGAACGGGCTGCCTCGACGAAACAGCCGCTTAGAGATGAACAGGTCTACACCATTTTGGTCACGGGAAGAATGTGGATGGACGTCGAAAAGCAGATCCAAGCATTTAAACGCGATTTATGGAAACGACTCAGCAATGCACAATCTACCTCACCCGTTGGCGCAGGCGGTGTGCAAGCTGAGGAGCATATGGAACTTATAGCCGCTCTCCTTGAACTCGGAGTAGAAGATAACCCGGTATGGGTCTGGCTCCTTAGCCGCTATGACTACTTGAAAAACAAGATTACTGCCTTCTGCCAAAGGTCAAGATTTGAGATTGAGACTCTAAGGCGACGGCTTGCCACGGGGAAGAAGCCTGATCCACAACTTGTCGCTCCCTACCTGCGAAATTTCCTAAGCGAGGGATCTAGACCCAGCAGACATCACCTTGACTCGGAATCAGTAATCGAACTCTGGGAATGTATACACACCTTCTTAAAGAAACTACTTTCCGTCCAAGGCGGCATTCTTGGAGATGTGCTTGGGTTCTGGGACTCCACGCAGTCTTTTCTTGATGGAAGCAAACAGAGATTGTTACCCGCCGGGTTTGACGGTGAGAGCCGAAAACATCACCGCCTGTCCACCAACGGAGTCAACGATCTCAAAGATGGCATCATTGAGCTTATGGGTCTGATCCGCGACAATGTTGCCACCATTTTTGCCGAACCTCCTGAAGATCTGGCCTCTCTCATCCCCTCTGCTCTCCCAACAAGCCCAACTGTACCCTTTAGTAGGCTAACTCCAGAATCTCGTTTGATGGTCGATCCCCAGAATATCCCTCCGCTGCCAGAGAAAACAGGGCAGCCGTGGGAGGATTTCGCATTTTGGCCGCCTTATTCAAACCCTCTGAGTGGAGTGCACTACCTCAGTGAATTCTTAATATTAATCGGCACTGCTGCAAGCGAGATGGCTTCTCTGAGCCCCATATCAGGCCACAGCGGCTCCTACGATAGACTAAAGCTCCTGGTGAGCGGAACCCGTGAAAGATGTGCTCGTGCTGCTTGTGCTGCGTGGAACAGTGATGCCGAACTGTGCAAATACCTTGAAGATTGGACACGACACCAAACAATTAAAAGTTTGAGTAAAATGCCCAGCTATTTTATGACCTTTGAGTCTTCAATTCTTTCTGGGATGCAAAGAATACTTTATATTTCTGAATCGATGAGAAAACCTGGTGCGGTAGAAGTTGTTACACCTCCTCCGGCAAAGCTTCTCCAACTGGTGAGAACGCAGTTCGTGACTAGCGTGTACAAAGCCTTGAGTGGCCTGGTTGAAAACGCTGAACATCCAGTCAACGCTGAGGTCGACGTTGAATGGGTACTTCCCAGTCCTGAAGCTGCAGCAACAGGACCAGATACCCATTCTTCCGTCTTTGCAAGCGGAGGAGTTGACTCAAATAACAGGGTTAGTTTTTCGCGATACACTCATAACAATTCATTGGTAGATTACTTACACCCAATGTTTAGAACGTCCGTATATTATTGACTCTGTCCAACCTCAAAGCTCTCCGTGCTGAGCATGTACCGCAACTCATCACGACATTCGAGTCTTCATTCGCTGTGAAACTAACAGACGAATCGAAAACTATCCAAGATGTACTAGGCCAGATCGACGCCCGTTTGTTCCAGTCATATCTAAAACCGATCGTTGAAAACCTGAAACATACTATCCTTGAGGGAATCGCATCTCCTGACTGGGTTCCAACAGACAGTCGCCCGGATCAAATTCGACCATACGTATACTCAACCATGCTCTCACTCGTAATGGTTCACAATGAGGTCTCTACCACTCTACCAATGAGGGTTCCAACCCCTCAGTCTTCCTCCTCATCT